TAATCAAGTCACGTCGTCGAGTTTGGTGGCAAGTAGTTCCCTGTCGGCTACGAGTACATCTCTCATTTTTGGGAGCACTATTACTAGTGTATCTGTGACATCTTCTTCCGCGGGTGTTTCGTCTCCTGCTGCCACCATCTCGTCTGCTACAGGCTCCTCATCTCTACGTCTTCCATCACATCGACAACAGAGGTGATCGCAGGAGGTAACCAACTGTCAAGTACCCCAGCCATCGGTCCGTCCTCATCGACTCAACACGAGACGGGCACCCCATCTACTTCCGAATCCGTGTCAGGAACCCCTAGCGAGTCGTTAGGTTCTCCAATCGAAATGCTTGCACCTCCGCCAACATGGATCAAACAGTATTGGTGGATACCTGGTATTGGTGCATCTTTTGGGCTCGTGGGAGCATTTGCATGTCTTGCATGCGTTCGGACACGAAATAAGAGGAGAAGAGCTCTAAATACTGATCAACGGCTTCAGGAATGGGAGGCGGCTATGGTGAGGCATCGTGTGGAACAACTTGATAAACGGGGGTCACTTCTGCCTCTTGGAGCCGACTTTATGGATGGTATAGGTGCAGGGCTTCGGAAGACGGCGAACCGATTGTCGGCGGCGCTTCGTCGGCCCCTATCACTCATTCTAGGTGCCCCAGTGAATTTGAATGTACCGCCCGCTGGTTACGCTCCGGCTTCCACTGGTGAAATGGTTGAAAAGAAACAAGATACAGATGTCGTCATTGCAGATGAACCATTACAGGACAATACACGGCGTAGGACATATGAAAGAGCAATGCAAGGGTCGTCCGGCAATATGTTGGGTAACATTCCTGAAGATGAAGTCACAAATGAAACGGATCTTATCCGATTCTCGTCTCCGCCGGTCCCGAAAGATCCCAAGGAAGGAGATCTTATGAGATTTTCACTTCCACCGGTCGCGGGCGGTAGTAAAGATGGTGGGTCGGTGCGGACCTCCACGGGCAGGTTTTCTGCCTTGCGCCGCGCTGGAAAAGGTATGGGAAAACTCGTCATGAACAAAACGCATAATGAATGTAGAAGATATAAACATTTTGTCAAAACTCATCAGGGCCTGCTCAACCTGCATCCATACCTGAAGAATCCAGTCTCCCCCAACGCCTACAATTAAATTACAACACAGACCTACGCATCGGCGAGCCTCTTCCAAGCAACAGCAACGAAAAGCGAATCTACGCTGGAACGCTTGCAAAAGACCAGGGCTTCATTCCTCGTCGTGTAGCCATCAAACACGTTTGGCGCAATGCCGCAGAGAGTGATGAGCAGGCTTCCGCCGCTTTTGTAAGGGAGGTGACCATCATGGCTGCATTAGCAACCAACGAAAATGTTGCTAGAATTGTTGGATACTGTACCGTCCCAAGGATTATTGTCACGGATCTCTATGAAGGTGATTTGGACTTTATTTTGGGGAATCGACGGTTTGAGTTGCCGGATGCTCGAGCCGTGAGCATTCTCAGTGATGTTGCAAAGGCCCTGTCCGGTAAATAACTGTTTTCCAATTCGACATTAATGTTTTGGTTTTGAGAAAAAGAACCTAACTGAAAATCCTTATTTCTACCAACCAGCAACCCATGAAATGGGTTTCGCCCACGGTCGTATCCGCCCAGGCGCCGTCCTCCTCGAACGAGTTAAAAATCCCGCCCGTGTGTCCGTCAGAAACTCAATTTTAAGCTTTAGTCAATCCCAACAGCCGCGCACTTTTTGGCGGGCCCGACTGAATGACTTTAGCGCCAGTCGTCCCGACGGTGAATCTGAATCCAAGGCGCGGATTGCGCCGCGGTATGCTGCCCCTGAATGTATTTTGACGGACAAGCAGATTACTACTGCTGGAGATGTTTATTCATTTGGAGTGTTGATATGGCAGTGTTTGACGAGGAGGACACCTTGGGAAGGGCAGGAAGATGGATACATTGTCTGGAAGATCTGTGAAGGTGAAAGGTTTAATCTGGGGGAAGTCGTCACGGGCGCTTCCATTGTGAGGAAAGAGCTGCTGGAAATCGTCCATCGATGTCTTGCCCCAGAGCCTTTTGTAAGGCCGACGATAGGACAGATTTTGGCAACACTGGAAAAGTTGAAATAGTAGGAAAGAAATAATACATACGATGCGTTTAACCAAAATCATCTATAGGTACGAATCATGTACTGAAAATACTGACGTCTTCTCTATCTTAACAAAACACATACACACACAAGGCCGACACCAACCTCCCAAAAGCCATTAGCAACGAACCCAACCATCCGTCCATAGACAAATATCCGTGATAACTACACAAAAAGGGAAACTAAAAAATACTAGACAAGAGACTACAGAAAAAAAAAGGGGGACAAGACTGCGGAACTGAACAAAAAAACGAGATGTTTCTTTTTGTTTCATTTCCCATCATCATGCACATCCAGACCAAATCAAAAGTCCCCCCCAAAGCTACCTTATCCCACCCCACTCGAGTATATACAAACCATTTCACTCGATCCACGCCCTCTCTATATATGTAAGAAAAAAACGGTCCACAGCCTATATACAATGCATTCGCGTTCAAAAAAGAGGTTTCGATGAGTTCCGGCCCGTCTGCATATTTCCTTTAGCTTCTAATCGGGTAGAGGGGCTTTGATTGTCACTTCGCGTGAGAGGTTGGGGGAAAGGATGTCCTTTCTGTTCGCCCACCCCCGCCACAATCCAAATAGGCAATCTCCCCAAAAGCGGGGAAAAAATGCGATGGATAGGGGGGAGAGGAAAAACAAAAAGGATCCATGCGCCTAAGATATTGACAAAAGTAATATACCGGAAATAATACTGACAGGCGGGCGTATCCGAAATATGAGGCATATACACAAATATAAACGCATATACAGAGGCGTGGTGAAAGGGCGCGAAACGAGTCGATAACAGGTATAATTCGTGTCGAGGGTATGGGATATAAACAGTATGCGCTTTGCGCTCCTCCACCAATCAGTCGATTTCGGTAGAGGAACAAAAGCCCATCGAGACGCTAAACAGCGCCGGGTCGCAACGGGGAAACAAATTAGGTACGGATAAGAGTACGGAAAAGGGAAAGTACGTGCAGGAGGGAATGAAAAAGAAAGACAAGAAAATTGGGAAGGGGTTGACACAACAAACATGATGGTTCGTTCGAATAGGTGTGAGGCGGAGAGGCAGCGAAGGGAAAAAATGATGGGTCGTCATCGACAAAGCCGCACAACCGTAGGTGAAAAAAATTCGATGAATTCGATAGGATAAAAGAATGCGTAGAAGTTCTAACGTGCCTGCTGGCAGCTGGTGATTTTTTTTTGTTTTTTTGCTTTTGGATGTTCAGGTTATTCGATCAAATGGCTTATGGGTTTCGGTGAGAGCTATCCTCGGTGTGATGGAGAATCCAAGAATCTATTGTCCCTTGCACCGCTTGGCTTTGATATGCCGGTGCAACGCGTCGAGCCTGGTAACTATGAGTAACAGAAAGGATGAGATTCTGATTGGATTCTTGCTAATGACCAGTAGAGAGCCAAACGTACATGTCGTTTTGCAATCCTCGCACGAGTAAGGCTTGAAATTCTCCAAGTGGGTGGTGGAATGCCTCTTGAGGTCGTGTTTACGCATGAATCTTAAACGAATGGCAATAGCCTGTGAGCCTGAGACGGACGAGAGGCACACGGAAATCTTGTACTCACCCGCGCTTACAGACTTCGCAGACATACGGCTTGTCCTTCTGATGCTGCTTGTAGTGGTTCTTGAGGTTATACAACTTTTTAAAAAGCTTTCCACAGACACATTTGAAGCAGTTGTGCTCTCCACGAGGTCCTTTCTGCTTCTTGTCGTCGCAGCCATGACTCTCATTGACGAAAAGGTAGACGGTTTTGGTGTCAGAGCACACTCCCCCTTCAGAAAATTCCTCAGGGTCAATGTCTGAGAATGAAGACGTGGAAGCATCACCAAAAGAGGACACTGTAGAGATGGACGATGTGCTGCGATGCCGGGGAGTCTTTGCGCTCTTTGGAGATTCAGTCTTGATCGTCGGTTCAGAGGGCGAGAAAACAAGCTCCCCAAAGAATGGTTGGGCCGGCGGAGATGCAATCGGCGACGATGGAGCTGACAAATGTTCCGGAGAAATGGGTGTCAGCGGCGACATTGGCGAAGAGGGAATATTTTCCATCGTCGGAGAGACGACAGTTGGCATCGGCGCGTCATCCTCAGGTGAACAAGGTGCCGGCGGTGTGAGAAGGGAGGGTGGGATCGTCAATTCGTAGCTGGTCTGAATTGTCGGGTGCAGGGCCATTTCCATGTCGTTTACGCTCGGAGGAGCAAAGACATTGGCTGGGCTGACTGGTGTCGACATTTGATAGAATTGCGCCTGTTCACGAGGTAAGTCTGTAATAATGGGGCTGTTTGTCACCACATCTGTAGACCCGCTCTGCTGCAAATGCCAAACTTTAGTCCCCTTGAATGCTGTAATTCCACACACAGTCTCTAACCTTTCCATAGATGGCATCCGTCATAGCCATATTTTCCGAATTAGATGCATCCCACCCAGAAAGTCCCCATTCATAATCAGCAGGATACACCGGATGGCGGAGCATGTTCTCGTTCAGGGATTGATGTGAAGGGTCGGGTAAAAGTTGCGGTTGGCAGTCTGACAGATGGATCCCGTTCATATAGCTTTCTAGGGCAACTGTATCATGCGCGATCGAGTGGAGATGCTGGGCTCCAGGTGACATTGGCAAGTCGACCGCTCCGTAACTTTCATCCAAACCGCAATGAAGAGCTCTTTCAATCGGCGACATGTGCGTTGTTTCCCAACTACAGTAGCCCTCATCCACGCGTCCAACAGCTTCTGTCGCGTCGTGGGCCATTAGCGGTGCAAATAATCGCGCGTCAATGTGGAATTGCGGATTGGCCAGCATATTGTCTTCGAGTGGCGAGCATGGCGGAGAAGGAAACTCGGCCTTGACATGGCACGTGACTGGTTTGGGTGCTATCGGACTCGCCGTCGGTGTTGTCGTTGTTGATGCTGTTGTTGCATGGACTAATACCGGACTTGAAATTCGTCCTGCAGCTCCCTTGACCGGACGCGGATGTTGCTGATGCGACACGAGAGGAAAAAAGGACAAGGTCATAGTGTTTCTTTTGGCGTGTTCAGAGGCGTTTTGGAGGATGGCACAAAAGTCAACAAGATATGCTGTATGAAACGATGATGCCTTTCGGGTTGATTTCACCACTGTACGAAATGGGAATGCGAGAAAAACACGCAAGAGGAGGATGATTCAAAAACGAAAATGATGCTATTCTCCCCAGCCCGCGCCAATGATCCGTTCTTTCTCGTTTCGCCGTGTATCCAAGCGGGCGGCAAAAAGAAGGATGAACCACCAAAAGAAGGACGAAAAGGGCAAAGATGCCGGGAGTAGCTGGGGGGAAAGGGGCGGAAAGGGCGGAAGGGAAGAAGAAGGCGACGACGACGACGAGACTTTTTAAGTCCCAAAATCCCAAAGGCAAAAAAACCATCACCCAACTTTTTTCCCACGCGCTTATTTCTTTGGGTTGTGGTTATAGCTTAGATCAACAACAAGAAGGTGTAGATATACAACCCAAAAGCCTCAAATGGGGTGCAGAGATTCCAATAGATTGGAGTGCATTCCACGCATGTGACGTATTGGATCCACATTTGTTCAAATTCTTCATTTCCAAATGGCCCGAATTTGGATATGGCGACAAATGGATACAAACCGGTGGCAATGAGCTTTTAGCCTTTAAACGGAAGCAAGACGGAGCGCCGCCAAACGGTGAGGGAGCCAAAGGTTTCTCTGCGCTTCCAAAAAAGCCGTTCGGAGGTTCGATCACCGCATGGCTCGGTGTTTAGTTTGATCTTGTAGGTTTTCTTTTTATTTTAGATGTGAGCCCCCATCCCAAGGATCCACATGGCTTTTCAGTTTGGTTGCTGTCGTTTCGTTTGTTCATTGCTGCAGGCCCCGTCCTTGGGCGTTGCTGGTTATAGACAAATGCCCGCTTGCGATCTGCGAAATGGCTGCCATGTGTGCAAACCAAAAAGGGCGCCGGCGCGTTCAACAACAGTTCGCGTGGTCTCCCCCAACTTTCTCTCCATGCATTTCTCGCTTCATATTTTCTTTGTGACCTTGGCGTAGAAACGGGCGTTGAAGAAATGACGGTCATCTCAGCACATTTGTGTTGAAATTATATATAAAAAAAAAAACGGCACGTCAAACGGTGGTGAGATTCAAGTTCATTACACAATGTGTTCAAACAGCTCCACAATTTAGCCGTCGTCGGTCCAGTCAGGGCGCGTTCGATCCTCGTTGCTGGCAGATTAGATGGGAATTTTCCCCTGGTTTGCCGGAATGAACGATGACGGCGATACGACTTTGACCATGACATTCGTTTCGTTTCGATCGTCATTTCGATGAATCTTGTCTTCTCTTCGCCTTTCAAGATCCATTCATAAACATGCTCCATCGGTTTGTATGGTCACAATGTCATCTCGCCCAGATCGTTGCGCGTTTTGCGTCTGCTTACTCTTTGGCATCTGTCACGTCAGGCTTCCGTCAGTGCGAAAAAGGCCCAGTCAAGAAGGGGGCAAATAGATGATCGGATGTACCTTCATGCTAGTACATTTGCGACTGGACGTTTATGATGGCTCTTGATGATGATACAGAATAACTCGTTTTTGCGTTCAAGAGATTGAGTGAGCGTGAGAAAACAATGGGGGAGGCTTGGAGAGTTTCCCACGTCCGCCTAGCAAGGCAAGCCTTGACACTTGCCACAGCATTCTCACACTCCCAAGCTTCCTGTCATCCGGCAGCCAACTTAAGGCACTTCGGTCATTGCCATCCACCGCCCTTTTGTACAGCTGCCGAGGTTTGCAGACATATGCTTCGACGATTTTACATGGCTAGCAAGATTCAAAAAGGGCTCACTGTGGTTTTCAGATTTTGTATCGTCCTCTTGGAGACTCCCTGTCAATTCTCCCACCTCAACTATTTCGAACCCAACGACAATGACGTTGATCAAAAGCACCAACCAAGCGGCATTGGACAAGATCGATGAGATCCGCAAATTGGGTCTCACTGCTCACATCTCCCTGCCGCAAATTGCAGTTATAGGCGACCAAAGCCGCGGAAAGTCCAGTCTTTTGGAATACCTCTCCAAAATCACGTTTCCAAAGGATATAGAAATGTGCACCACTTTTGCTACGCAAGTTGTGATGCGCACAGCTTCAAAATTCCACGCCAATGTGTCCTTGTCGCCGGAACGTGATGGATGCACCAAGCTTAAGGTCCCAAAAAAACCAAACGAGGTCAGCGACGTCATTTCGCACGCCAAGACCCTTCTCATGCAAGGTACTACCGGTGCGACGGTTGTCAAGGACATTCTCACCATTGAGCTGAGTGGTCCCGAGTATCCAATGTTAACGCTTGTGGATCTTCCTGGTTACGTCCACACACGCTCAACTGGTCAAGCGGTCACCATTGTCCAAGACATTGAAAACATTGCAGAAACTTATATCGCCAATGACAAGACAATTGTACTGGCCGTGATACCCGCCAACAAGGACTTTGAAACAAACGTCGTGATGCAAAAAGTCGAAAAGCACGATCCAATGGGGAAGCGTACCATATGCGTCATCACCAAGCCAGACCTGATGGACAGGTAGGTATCTCATCGTCTCGCTCTATGTTGACAATATCTCATGTTTTTCTGTAGTGGTACAGAACACAAGATTGTTGAGGTCATGAGTGGGAGGAAAATGGAGCTGGAACTTGGCTATCATCTCATACGCAACAGAAGCTACGATGATTGTCAAGCGGACATCTCGGTTGAGCTTGCTTGCCAAAAAGAAAAGACATTCTTCGATAAAAAGCCCTGGAATGACATTCCGTCCAATAACCAAGGTGTTGAATCTCTCCGAAGCAAATTGCAGGACATCCTCTATGATCTCGTGGATGAAGAGTTTCCTAAAATCAAACTGGAAATCCGCAACAAGTTGGCAAAATGCAACGAGGAATTGGACGTCCTCGGTCCTACTCTCGACACAGAGCATGCACGCAGAGCCTTGTTGGTCGCAAACACAAACAAGTTCGTTGACACAGTGCGGCCCTTGATTGAAGGACACTACAGTCTGCTGGAGTATCCGTATGAACATTACATCAGGGCAAAGATCCAGGGGCTAAATGAGACATTTTCGGCTACTATCCTCAAAACTGTTTCAGAGGATGAAATTTCAAAATTGGACATTGAGGGTACGATCAGCAAATCTAGAGGGCGAGAACTTCCTGGGTTCCTGCAGCACGAACCCTTTGTTGCCCTTGTAAGGGAAACCATAGCGGAATGGAATAAAATCACCAAGGCCCATTTTGGTATGCGTTGATCATAATTTTTCGTTATTGTTAACTCTCAATCCGTTGTTTCTGTGAGATGGTGTGTGGGTATGCAAACGACTCACAACATGCTACTGGCAACTATCTTTTTTTTTCAGATGCTGTCTGTGTCCTACTCCATGATACGATGAACTATGTTATTGAGAAGGAACTCAGTCCACGTCTTAGCGCCACGTTTCATGGGGCAATTGAGGAGTTTGTCGACGAGTGCAAAAAGGATATGTACAAGCATGCGGACACCATGTTTAGGAGTGAACAATCGGTGCCGATGACGTACAACCATTACTTTACTGAAACACTCGGCAAGTCTCGCTTGACGCATGTCGAAAAAAAGATCAAGTGCGTGGCACCTGGGGCCTTTGGGACATGTAATGCTCAATCTCTCCTCGATATCGTCCGCCCGTTTGTGTCCACATCCAACAAACAGTATGCCATTGAGGACATGACCTTTGCGATTCATGCCTACTGCAAGACTGCCGCAAAACGGTACATTGACGCCATTTGTTTATATGTCATCGAGGTTGTTCTCTTTGAGGATTTTTCTGGTCGTGCGAGGGAGATACTCAATAACTGGCCTCTGGACCACGTGAAAGAGCCCAAGCGTGTATCGGAAAGGAGAAAAGAGCTGTTGAATGTTAAGGAAAAGCTGGAACCTGCGCTGAAAAAGATTTGAGAAACAAAAGGAAAGGAAACATATGAATAGGGTTTTTGCATTTTTTTTGCTATATAGGAATTACTTGTTGGTTCATACATTGCTAGAAAATAATCAACAGAAAACGCATCTTGGCTGAACTCCCACCATTTTTCGCACGTACTGAAAAGCCTTTTATTTACTACTACTTGGTTCCAGCTTTGTCAAAAAAGCTAGTCAGTTTACCTTTTTTGCTCTTTCCACCATTACTAGTGTTCTGCTTTCTCTTTATACCCACACTCCCTTGACTATTCTGGCCCGTCTCATTTCGTTGGACATTTCCTTCACGGTCCGCTCGTTGGAGATCCAACGCAAAATGGTAATCAGCGTGCTCTGCTTGTGATTTCTCGTCTTGACCAATCGCTTTACTACATTTAGGACACGCGACTGTCCCCGGTGGTTGTGGAGTTGCAAAAACGTCCAAGGGACGTCCCGTGGATCCGTGTGGTTCTGGGGGCGGCGATGTTGGAGTGGGCTCAGCATGCGATGCAGCAGTTGCATGTCCACCACCATCACCCAAAGCAGAGCCAGTCGCTGACGCCTTTCCAAACCATTTTGTCAAAACCTCACTCCCAGTCTCTTCCTGGACAAATCCAGATACAGTCAAGGCAATTGACGAACAGGGATACATGCGCTCGCCTCGAAATAACGTCCATGCTTTGGCGAGAATGTCGTCGGGTGAAGAAACATGATGACGCGGCGGCATGAGTGCAGATTTTGATCGTCTCCCGCCTGCAAACATATCGACTTTGGAGTGAAGCTGAAAACAAAAATAAACGAAAAAACCAAAACAAAATGAGGATGCTATATGGACTGATTCTGAAACCCATGGTCGAACTCACCGCCAAGGTCTTTGGCCACCTTTGATTCATCTCATAATCATCCTGTAACCGTGTAAACAACTCGCTAGACAAGATTCCCAACCAATGTCGTGCTTGATCATCGTTCGTAATGGAAGGTCTCAAATTTTTGCAAGCACCCATTGACTTGTTAACACTGTTCTCTTGCACTATTCTATTTGGGTGAGTCGTAACACTCTGATGACCTGGCAAGAATCACATGGGCTTACCTGCTTCATTGCATATTCCGCGACAGATGTTATGCAACCAGACACCTGTTGCGTCCCCAAATTTGGTTTTGAGTGCGTCCAAAGAGAATTTCCTGTCGCCATATAGCGTTGCTCATGAGAAAATCTGCTCTTCCCAACTGTCCAATTGATACACACCACAAATCACCGGCCATCTCTACTTGCAATTCGGATTCCACTTCTGCACCAAGTTTACCTATATCCAATATCAATGGCGTTAGAATAAATTCTGATATCAAACAGTTCATAAAGGCATACCTCCCAGAAACCGAATCTTTGACATTGGTAGTGTCTCCATATATTTCAACACCTGGCTCTCGCGCATGATCGTCTACAGGTGGTGATGAGCGCCGGAACATGTGTTGCGTCCTCAAAACCCAATAACTACCTGTTTGTTTGGTTTATTCATGCCAGAACAAAGTTTGGCGAGTGTCTTGTTATGGGCAATGCCTGCCACATGCAAAAAGGTCATGGAGGTGTGTAAGTGCGTAAGAAGACTAAATCGCCACAAGATGTAGGCAACGTACCTGTAGAGCAAGTGTAGTTTAACTCTTTGTAAACCGTATCACGAATCTCTTGACTAATGTCAGCAGCCAATCGGAGTTGCAAATCTCTATTCTCCATCTGATGAGTTTGCATCTACCAAGCCATCGCCGTGAGTCGTAACGAGACTCACCGCCATCCCCTTGACTCCGATAATTCTTCACCAACTAGAATCCCAGCACCATCCCATTGCACAATCGGTTCTCCTTGGTTGTCTTGGGGTATGTGCGCCAAAGACGCAATGCGGGTATTGACCATGTCGGTAACGTCCAGGTATGCTTCATCTGTAGACAAATCATATAAATGTGAATTTCCAAAAGAAGGCAGCAGGTAACAAGCTACCTATGGATGCTCGCTGGAATTTGGGGCAGAAGCGCTTAAATATAGCCATCACATTTCTGCTTGCGCGTCTGCATCTCGCCATTAGGTTTCGTTGAAAGAACAAGAAACGTTACGAGAACATACCGATACGGCTCTAGAGACACCTATAATGAACATGCAGCTGTTAATGGAGTCCTTTACCGTCACCCTACGTAAATGATGCCATATATGGAGTCCCTACCTACCTTGTGCGTCTTGGCTGTTACATTCTCAGTATGATATTTTGGCTCTGCCTCTCCATTTGCATAGGTTGCAACTATAAGGAACTTCCATTCAGCAAAGCAGCAAAGCGAAAGGTGCAACGAAAAATAGTTGCAAATACCAACCATGGACCAACTTGACATCTAGCCAAGTGGACAGTCGTGTAAATGAAAATGTGCATCAGGTCCCAGTTTGACTAGTTCACTCACCAGGACACATTTTTGCGGCTTCCCCGACAGTACAATGCCTATAAAGAGCCTCAGCATGGTCTTTACACAAAACCCTCCGCGCGAGCCACGTTACGCTACCGTTTGATACCCGCAGCACGAGCAGCGTAATTGACCGCAATCAATCCCTGCCATTGTTGTACGCACAATGGCACATCAATGGGTATGCCTAAAAGTTTTACCACGTGAATGACTGCCATTGCCAGAGTGCAGGAGTTGCAGATATCTACCCAGCCGCACATGTTCCACCTGAGCATAGCACGACGGTACCCAGTCAGGACCGCGAATGCGACCAAATATGGGTAAGATGTCAACATCATACCTGACAATAAAATGCATCCTATCAAGCGTCAAGAAAGGTAGGGTCAACACTAATGCTTGTAAATTCGCATTTTGGAAAGTGACATGTCGTACCAAATCAACGTGGAGGATAACTCTGCTCCTCTTTAAATTCTCCTCCATGGGGCAAACCTCATGCACATACAAGATAAATGCCGACAAAGGACCCGCGCCATGCTACTCCAAAGAAATCCCCACCAACAATAATCCAAAATGGAAATCAGAATGCAAAGCAGAGATCTTGAAAACGTTCGCCGACGAGGTGACTCATTTCATTATGCCAAATTGGGGTTGAAAGATCTGACGCGAGCAAACTGCCAGCGTTCGTCATGTAAAATCACCAAAGCGCTGACAAAAGTTGTGTTTTCGACGAGCGGATTTCCATTCATTTTGTTGTTGGATTACAGCTCTTTACGAAGTAGAGGCAACTAGAACACACATATCTCGTATATTTTTGGCTATCTGTCGCTGTATTTGACTTTTTCTGGGGTGGAAGATTGTTCAACATGGTGGGGAAGAAACAATGAAAGTCATGTTCAGTACGATGCGGGATTGATTCATTTCCTTGCAGTATGACGGATATTACGATGAAGCGCATCAGTATATGCACGGAGGAATGGGTGGAGCTGGGTCCTTTGTAAGCCGTTTTCGTAATTTGCCCGATTTACGACATATGTTTACCATTGGTTACAATTACAGTCAGAAACGTTCCGATGCTATTCCGTAGCGATGATGCCGACAAGGAGCGAGAGACCTGAATTGCTATATGGCGGAAAGAGTATGTTTTTGGCGTGTGAAACTCTGATTTTCGTTTACGGGTTCGCAAATCTTACCGGAACTGAACCTGCTTGCGTGCCCGCAGTCGTCATGCCACAATCTGCACTGACAAAACTTTGTAAGCCTGTCGATTGGACTCACTGCTTCGCTTGTTGATAGCTGCTGATCCGCTCCTACTCTTCCATAAGCCGCCCTACATATCAGCTGGCCCATGTTGTTCCAGCTCACGAATCCCGCTCATGAGCGAGTCACCCACTCTGGCGTGCTTGAGTTTACAGCCGAGGAAGGAAGAGTATATGTACCACAATGGGTATGTCCTTGATAACTGTCAGAAACGCACGCACACAAGTCCTTATCGCTCCTCCTAAGATGATGCAAGCACTGCTCCTGGAAGAGGGCCAATTCGTGCAAATCAAGAACGTCGAACTTCCCCTGGGCACATTTGTGAAGATCCAGCCGCAATCAGTCGATTTTCTGGACATTACAGACCCTAAAGCAGTACTTGAGCAAGCCTTGCGCAACTTTTCGACTTTGACGGAAGGAGATATCATTACATTCAAGTATAATGACAAATTATTTGATATTTTGGTGATGGAGACCAAGCCAGCTGGAAAAGGGATATCGATTGTGGAAACGGATTTGGAGGTGTGATCTCTTTCTCCGCGGTTCTCTAGCAAAGGTCTCATGAGCATCTACAGGTTGATTTCGCAGCGCCTTTGGGGTACCAAGAACCAGCACCTGTAGCAAGATCTACACCGACGCCTTCACTGGTGAGCTAGGCCACTGCCGCCATCGTGCGTATATACGGCGAAGCAAAATCTAAACACACTGGACTTTCCAGATAGGGAGCACAACGCGCATCGCAGAACACACCATCGCTGAAGAGATTGGTTTTGTGCCGTTTGGGGGATCCGGGCAACGGCTAAGTGGCAAAATACCAGCAACCTCATCTTTGTAAGTTTGTCCGAAATCAAGCCATGCCGCTGCGTTTTACTCACAAAATGGATAGGAACACAACATCGGGTGCGAATGGACCACCAATTCCTGCTGCCCTGCGACTACCTCCGGGAAAACTCTTTTTTGGTACGATCAGCCTCTTTCTTGATGGGTCCATTTCGGAAATGATTTTTTGACATGATGTTTAGGGTACCCTGTCGTTCCCCTCAAACAGAAAAACACCAACGCCGAGCCGGACGCGGTATGTCCCGTATTGCTGTGTCCAATCTTGTTCATATATATGGCTGATCTCTGTTACAGGTATCCGCGACGACGTTCACTGGCCAAGGGCAAACCCTGAAAGCAGCCCGTCGGGGTGGGGGCACTGGTAGCAGTGGAGGCGGATCGGCATCGGGGAGCAGCGGCCCGTCATCGAGTGGTAAGTTGATCAGTGCAGCCCCGTCTTGTGTGTCTACCTGGTCCTAAAGGTTTCACTCCTGCGATAAATGGAGGATAGGTCCTAAATAATACTTGGTTACCTGTATTGTACATAAGGGTCAAATGGAATCCCACCCTTTATTTGCATTGCTCTTTTTTTCCAGTGAAACCAAGTTTAAATCACAATAACAACTTGCTGATTTGGGTCCCAGACAAATTCATCAAGAAATGATATTATACGAAAGCCAGTTACAGCCCACCACCCCACATCATGCAGTTAAGCTGATTCCTGCCTTGTGTTCGCTCCACCCGCATCGGCTCCGTCCGCGCCAGGTGCACCAGTGCCCGGCACACCGGGCGCGCCAGCGCCCTGTGATCCAGGAGGGGCAACATCAGCACCACTGGCTTCTGCCCCAGTATACCCTTCAGTACCGTAACCCGGATACTGCTGATAATACTGCTGATAATAAGCATTCCAAGCTTCCTGGTCGTATTGCTGCCCTTCATACCCTTGTCCATAAGCGCTCTGATCCCACCCTGCGTAACCTGCAGCCCCACTCTGGTCATACCCTGCAGTCCCAGCAGCATAACCGCCAGTCGCGTCACCACCTTGAGCAGCTCCCCAAGCATTAGTGTTGTCTCCTGACGCGTAATTGCCGTAGTTACCGTAGCCATTGTAACCTTGCTGATTGTAGCCGTACTGAGGGTTACTGTCCCTGCGTCCTTGAACGCGGTCCATGACCATTTCTTTGGCACGATCGATATTCTCCTGAGGGCCTGATATAGTGACGTCTCGGTTCCCCTCGGGGTCGGCTTGCTGTTCAATTTGGATGCGGACATTACACGTTGCTTGGATGTTCTTGACTACTTCGCCTCCGCGTCCAATAATCAGCCCGACCTAATCGTGTGGTTATATACTGCAGCCAAGAAAACCCAAATGCAGGCGAACCAACCTTTTCAGTGTGAACTTTAATAGTTTCAGAGCTCCCACCATGGCCATATTGGTTGCCATAGGGCTGCGACATACCTCCAGGACCTCCGGGCTAGAACGTATAGTAATTAATATCAGTAGAAATACCTAATTTTGCCAATCCGCTGAAACATACCCTGGACGGAGCATTTACTAAGTCGTCAATAAGAGCTCGGGCCATATCAATGGCTTCTGGCGATCCAGATAGATTGATTTGTCGAAGATTGGAGGGCTGATCGCTCTGAGAGTCAGGCATAACTGCGATCCTTGCACCGCTGCGATCCTGCAGAGAGTGAATCGTTTCCCCTCCGCGACCAATGACGAGACCAACTGCGCCGACAGACATGTAGTGAGGGCGACGATAACACAAGACCATATCGATTGACAATTACCTTTGTGGGCAGGGATGCTCATTGTTTCCGTATTGGTGCTGCTGTTCCCTCCGTACGAGGGCATAGAGGAGGGAGGCCCCCGTGGTCCAGAGCCTTGATTAATTTGCTCTAGGATCATGCTCTTGGCTTGCTGGACATCTTCCGGATTGCCAGTTATAGTGGTTCGCCTTTCAGGCTCAGATCCCGCTAATAAAAAATAACACTCAGCACCAACTACAATAAAAGTAACAGAACCTTGATATGCATACCTGGAGCAAACTGGACCTTGACATTGCAGGTTCGTTCAATCCTCTTCATGTTCTCCCCAGCACGACCGATGACGAGACCAACCTACATCGACGGCGTCATGACCTGCACGCACACACAAAAAGTGGCGCACGAACCATCGAGTCCCCACCGACAATCGCACTTACGTATTGATTTGGCACCGCTATTTCTTCGGTGGTTTTCAACGACGCGCTTGAAGAAGGACCGTAATGCGATGTGGTTCCTTCAGAGTGACCAAGGCCGTAGCGTTGTCGTCCTCCCGATCCACCGTCTCGACTCCCATAGTCATACTGATCCCGGTCGTCACGGTCATAGCGATCAGAGTCCGAAGCGTGCCTCTTGTTGTCCCGCTCCGACGAGAAGTCGTCTCGTCGGTAATCTTCTTTTCTATATCCTGAAGAAGGTGGACGGTAGTCATCCACCTCTGAGTGACTACGCTTTACACCTTGACCGCTTGCATCACCACTACTGGTATCGCCGCCTGTGATAAACAAGAGTAAGCTTCTTGGATTCTCCTAGTGAATCAGAGAAATGTACGCTTTATCCTCACCTTTTGCAGCAGCAGCTGTCAGACGTGCCGCAATCGCTTTTGCACGTTCGAGAGCACTTGTGTAGTCGACCTATGCAAGACACCACAATGTGAGCATCTCTCCCAGCCCATGTCCAAGACAAGACTTACCGCAGCTGATGCAGGTGCAATAGAAGATGATGCTTCTCCAGTGAGAGCATCTGGTGGCTTCACTGCGTTGTAGGTCATGTTTCCAACCGTGAAATGTGTGATCTTTGAGGGTAAAGGAATCTCGTTGCTCCCCCCGTGCAACCCGTTCAACTTTCTCGATTTGCAGCCGTCCATGATTCTAACCAGCATTCGAATGCGATTAGCTAACCGATCGGAAAGTGACGAAGGTTCCAGCGCCAGAAGGGACACTTTTTCCTTCGATAAGCATCTTTACGTATCCCGTGCCAAGGCCAAACGTTTTATACCGTTGACCACGGAGCAACTGCTGCAGACAGCACTGCGGTAAAGTGATCTATCATTCTAAACAGAGAAGGAGTAGCGAGAAAACGTGGTTGTCAAGTATGATGCCCAAAGCCTGGAGGAAATGGTCCAATAACAAACAAACAAGGAATCCCTGAATGAAAAAAGATGGACCAGTTTTGGATCCTTCCAAGACGGAACAAGTATCCGTTCTATTTAGGGGCTCAGTGGAAATAGATTCATCTACGTCTATCTGTTGGCCAACTCGTCTGGTAGGTCATTAATAACTTCAGATCATTGTTTTTCATCAAGAAGATGACTTGTCTTGTTTTGCTAGGGTGATAGTGAGACTACCGTGATACTGCGTCGCTCACTCATCTTTCGCATCTGCTTCCATGGGCCTACTTGGCTTATAGAGAGTAATAGTGTGATTGCATCATGATGCAATGAATACTGCTTTTTAGATGTGGGTAAGTTCTGATTAGCAAGACAGAAAAACATGTCTACTATCAACTTAAATGAACAAGGATGAAGAAGAGAATAAAAAAACTGATAATAGCCAACATGAAAGCGCCGATATATATGGCCTCGGACAAAATATACTTCTGCTTTCTTTGTTGGACATATAGAAAAATACGTGGATCACGAACTGGATCGGTCTGACAAGACGAAACTAGATCAACTCCATTCAACGTCGAAACAATTGCGAGACCTAATGTAGCAAAGAAGCAACCTCTGTTCAGAAATAACCGCCATACACATGCCAGGGAATATACAAATGAGATAAAATGTCTATTGTTAGCATATACAATATCATAGCTCCTCAAAGAAAATATATATGAAAATGCCTCATAAAGGCAATAAGGATGTGCGATAAAGAAAGCGGAGAGCAATTTCTCAGTACTATGTCAGTAAACGGGTCTCCTCCGCGGTCTCGACTTTCGGTTCGTAGGCGGGCAGAGGCTCAGCGTCCGCATAGTCTGGCAGCCTCAGCCTTCTCGGATCCATCTCCACCTGTTCACCCGCCCAACGAACTCGTTCCTCCTCCTCACGCATTCGGCGAACAGCCATCGTCAGCGCGGTAATAGCGGCCGGGAACACCGTGCAGGCGCAAACTACCACGAGAATTGTTGGTGCTGGTGGTGGGACAAGAGCAGCCAAGAGAGCAATAACGGGGATCAGTGCAAACAGTAGGGCAGAGAGAACTAGGAGACGGAGGATAGTGATGTGGGTTTTTATGAGGAGAGCGGCTGGTGGTATATAGTAGTACGGGGGAGCGGGCTGGTTTGACGTGTCCCGATGAAAAAGCGAGAAAAAGATGGAGGAAGTCAACGCATTGGGGGGTTGTGACGGTAGCTGGGGAGAAGACGAAGAGACTATTGCTGTATAAGGTAGTGGTAGGCCGACATCCGTGGCCATTGCTTTTGAAAATGCTCAACTCAACGAGGAGATAACAAGTCACACTCGAGACCTTTTAGCTTTCAAAAGCGCTGGCTGCGGAACACGTGACGTGAAGGCAGTGGTCCAAGGGGGAAGCCGCTTGTGTTTTCGTTCTGTTACTCCAACAAAGAGTTTTGATCTGCTGAGGGGCGGGCGGCGGACAAGGTTCGTAGAAAATGTGGTCAAAGGGACGGCGAGAGAAGCGGCGGCGCTTGTTTTGATCAAGTGCTTGCGATCAAATGCTGCTTTTTGCTTGCGGATATTCATAGCAGCCATGTGATTACGAAAGACGTGCAAGGCCAAGGATCTCGTCGCAATACGTAGCAATACGTTTCTTTATGCATAAATGCTTGAAAGGACAGGACATGGATGTTCGTCTGACAAGTATCAAGGATATGAAGTGCTCTTGGGGGTTGGTCAAGTGTTGGAGCGATGCCTACAATTAGATGTCTTTCAAACGTTATAGGATGCATTTTGATTACTTGTCATGGCTCGATGTCAGTTCGCACAAAAACCCGATGATGGTCAAAAATGCCCAAAGCAGATATCATGCAGAATGTCATTAGGTGCTGAAAAGCGATGAGGAACATTTGTGACCGATCCAAAGGCACCCTGGCCATTTCGATCGATTTGGGCCGCGTCCAAGTGATATAAAATCGCTGGGCAAGGCTCTCCATTTCCTATTTTTCGTCCAGATCTGCAATATGCTCGTGCTTATAGTGATTATCCTACATCTAGTGGACGGCATCCAAGGGCGTCAGGCGCCATTAGTAAGTGCTGGCTGGACTCGCCGAGTGACCTTTATTTGATTTTGCGAACGCTGTTCCTGATGCACTGTTCAGTAGACGATATCCCCAGGTTTAGACCTCTTTGGCGGGACATCTCCTTGGAATGTGTCAGAATGGGAAGCCATAGATGATCGGTAGGCATAGCGTACGATAGTCCCTCTCGTATGTTGAACTAAAACAAAGAACAACGAAATCCTAGAGTTCGAGGAGGCACGTCTGAAAGTACCCTGGAACTTGTTCAGAATAACACAGTGCTCTTCAAAGGCTACGTTGACACGGAAATCCTCGGCGGAGCTGGCTTTGCATCTCAGAGAACCCGTGGGAACTTGATGTTGGATCTTTCTTTGTATACGCATCTTCAGATCCAGGTTGCAGCATCGGATCAAAGAACCTATTCGCTGAATCTCTACACTAGCCCCGAAAAGCCGAGCTATCCATACTCTCGTCTTACATACAAGTACAGCTTCAATCCCCAGGGCCATGCAGGCGATTTCTCTGCACCGTGGGACGATTTTAAGCCGTTCTGGAGGGGAAAGGAGGTGGATGGCCCTAAACTGGATGCTAGCTCCATCCAAGGCCTAGGAATTATGTGTCAGAGCTTTTTTGGAGCGCAGGAGGGCGATTTTCAGCTTGTAGTTGCGAGAATCTCTGCCGTCGTTAAATAACTCGTCGAGATATTTCTGTAGACTTGTAGTAGATTCAGTATAGCAGATATAATGGCTTACATGAACATTGGAAACTCTCGTTGCTTTCACCGAATCCACAACACCCCGCACGTGGGCATATAGCAACCGACCATAGTAACGGTCCCCGCGAAGATCCAACGCTCAACTTGAACGCTTTCCAGACCACTTTGGCGAAATGTCACTGAATTTGGCGTCGCCAAAAAGAAGTATTGTAGGAAAGTTATTCAATCTGTCCGCAAAGTGACAAAGCAAAGACTTATCGTTTCCAATAGGCAGTGTCGGAGCAGTTGCCAAACTCTTTCTCAAGACCTATACGCATTTGCATACATTCAACGAACATGCGCTTCTCAAGACGATATTGCACCAGAGGCACCGACCTGTGATAACAGTTGGAAATCATTTATCCGTCTTGGATGACCCTATGCTGTGGGGTAGGCGGCGCGAATGACTTTACGTACGCCATTGCGAGACTTACCACTGGTTGCTCGAGCCAGGCATATTGCCGTGGAAGATATTGACAGACCAACACCGCATGAGGTGGTCACTAGGTGCTAAAGAGATTTGCTTCGGTAATCGGTATGAGTTGTCCGAAAATGTATCTAAATGTTTACGATTGCATCTAAGCTTTTGGCTCCAATAGTGTGACAGCATGGTTTTTCGGTTCCGGGCGAGTGATTCCAATCGTGAGGGGTGACGGGATCTATCAGCCGGCAATGGACCTGGCTATTCAAAAACTGAACCAGAATGGGTGGGTGAGTTTTACAGGGGACAAGACATGACTGCCATGGAGGAAAAGTTATCTCATGTTGTGATCCAGGTGCACATCTTCTCTGAAGGACGTGTAAACCAAGAGTCTACCATGTTACCCTTCCGATGGGGAATAGCAAGGCTTATTATGGAATTAAGCCAACCCCCAATAGTCGTACCATTTTGGCACAAGGTGTAGGAAAATAGTCGATATTTATAGCGGATTGGTACCAACACTCTTTCCATCGCAAGGGCCTCGAGTCCGTCATGCCTGAGAACACAAAGTTCTACTTTCCCCGTCCAAATAAGGAGCTAATTCTCGCATTTGGCGAACCGATCGATTTTGGCAGCAATGGAATATTGGATTCTGTTAAAGAGCTGGATGATACTGAAGCCCGTATTCGGCTAACGGATTACATTTTTCAACAAACTGTGCAAGTGCAAAGGGATACGGAGAGGAAAATTGGAGATCCAGACTGGAGGACGCGTGGACGACCGCTCAAGGGAGTGGATGATGAGCCGCCTAAAATGGGAGATCCATCTTGAGCTCCGATGCCCCATTATTCGTATTTAATTCTTCAACTGTTTCATGGCATATTAGGGTATTCGACTAGATGTACATCTATTGTAATAGTAAACACGCCTCTGTATTGAGCATCTCTCTAGTCTGACTGAGTGAAAGTCGCCAACTATAAGTTTATCAATGTCCGAAATCGACTTAACCTATCCATGGCTGTATCGGATCCACTCCAGACTTCACGTCCATTCTCCATTTTAATCACTGGGCATCCCACCTGCTCCAGCGTAAAACTGGCACTAACACTTCCGTAACAGGCTGCAGCAATGGGGTCCTTATTTGACAGGAGATGACCCGCCATCCACCCACCAAGAAACGAGTTTCCCGCTCCAGTCACATCTACAATTGCAGTTGGATTGCCTTGGGCGACAACTGTCCAATAAGCTGGCACCAGAACGGGTACCGCTTTCGGTGGCACAACAAGGCATCCACGCTCTGCTGCTCTTAACAAAAGCGTCGGCGGAGGAATTCTAAGGGCTTCAAGCGATGCAAGAATGCACGACACAAGCTCATTCAGATCATCAATTGCACAGTTGACCTCCTGCCTGCCAACCGGTGATCGCGAGGCTTGATTTATTACTCTCCAAGTAGAAAGTGCTTCGGTGGCAAGCTGTTTTGCTTCCTCGTGGTTTGGCGACACGACATTAGCGAAACCGCATGCAGTCAAGAACTCGTTCCAATTGGTTGACCGACACGATTCGGGAGATGGTTCCCAGACAATACAGGGACTTCGATTCTGTGCGCGCCCTTGTAGCCGTTTTCGAAAGGCTTCTACCCAAGCAATCAGCCTTGCTGGAGACGTGATGAGGTGTATGTACTCAACGGTGTCAATCCACTTTTCCGGAAATTGATCTGGTAGAACGCGAAAGAAACGTGCATAGGATTCTAAGGAATGCACCAGTCAAACAAACAGGATATTAAATTGTCCCTCAGCAGAATGGAACTTACATGTACCTTCCGGGGTTTGGTACTTGAAAGCACGATGTCCAGGTTTATTTTCGGCCCCGAATGTGTTCCATGCCCTTGGCTGTGGCTGTCCCGATACACGCCTCACCAATAATGAAATGTGAAGGTCATTCAATCTCGGCACCACATCTGGCGGACACTCATCCCCAATATTGGCAATATATCCGAGTCTCTTTGATAATGTAGGTGAAGGCAGCCAAATACGAGCACCTGGATAAACTTGATGTCAAAGTTAAAGTTGGACGGAAAAGACCGAAACAAAGCTCACCTATGATCGCATGAGCACCCGCCCCACCCATCACGCCATAATTCTTTGTTCCATCCTCCAAGACAATATCGTCAATGATTAGCGAGCCAGCGCTTGCGATGAGAGGATTGGATTCGTCGGACGCGAGCGTTTCATCAACTTTCGTAGCCATTGTGTGTCGTTTTGCAAGTTTACGGCCTGCCCGCCCCAAAAAGGTCTCCTCGAGCGGTTGATAAATCGATCGTGATTACGCAACACGCGACACATGGTTTGTGTTTTTGCTCTGGCAGAAGGGCATTCGGCTAGCAGAACACTCCTAAGCAAAGCAGTGTTGCATTCCTGCAGCAGGAACTGCAAGTTGCTCGCATTGTAGCTGCATGGAAGAACTCGTTCGGCCTGTGCAAAAGGAATGGACATCCCCAAGCCATGCGGCGAAAAGCAGCCAAGGAAAACAGTGGAGGTTGTGCTCCAGCTAGCCGACTTTACGAATATTGACGTGTATCTACGAGGGTGAGAGTTCACCGCTTACTGGATAGGTTAGCGTACATGGTGACTTAACCATCTTGTTAGGCTATATCAGTTCCATTGTCGACTTTACGCGCTGGTTCCTGTGTACGAGCGGGGTCGGTTGATAAGGCGTGACCGAGTCGATGGCATTCCTACCATTTTATTACCGACAGAAGAACAGGGATCCTTTGAGCCTGTGCTACCGTTTGTTGCAGGTTAGTTACTAACGGCATCAGATTGCCATCAACTGCATTTTACACATCAATAAATCTTTTTGAAGAAACTTCGAAAGAGCTCCGGTACAACTGCTTTCCTAGTTATGTCATGCAAAGACAAAAGTGCCCTCTGCATCAAGTCTGCTCTTGGAAATGTCGCCCATCTCAAAACAGCTCGACGCCAAATGTGTGGATAACAAAGAGCTTTTACATCTCACGCGAGGCGGAACGTGTTGCCCTCCACACAGGTGTCGTTTTCCGGATTGACCTAGACGTAACGCTAGGTGAAATTGAACCGTTAGAAGATGAGTCTGGCCAATGGGATGCGCACCTTGATATTGAACTATGGCATTGCGAAGATGAAAGGTGTGTTTCGTAGGGGTTCAGTTCTGGGGTAAACCGGTAGCGTAACATTACCTTGCCTGGACAAATGCATTAGTTTGACTGACGACCCAAACTTACGAAATGTATCCCTCAACCCTCCCATTACGCTCCAGGATGGCGAATCCGGATGATTTCACCTTTCAGCAGTTGCGTCGGTTTCGTCTATCGAAATTGTTGTCATCGAATTCGCCGTCTACACAGTTGCATCAGTATGCAAGTGTGTGTTTCAGCAGTCCCTTCTTCTCTGCGTGCAGTTTACTGGTGTCCGCTTCCACGCTGGGATATCATATGGACGATCCCGTCGAAATACCAAGAACGGTGATATGGGAGGATTCTGGGCTCGGAAATGTGCTGGGTCGCTTTTGGAAACAATGGATCCCGTCAGATTCCTCGAATGGAGTGGATCCAAGACATGATCGGCTGGCGGACGTCCTGTCCGATGAACTACACAGGGAGCGTAATACAGGCGCACCATTCACACCGCTATCCGCAGATGGAGGATTGGTACGTATGTTTGGCGTATGCATACCCCTGCGCGAAAACTCATAGCTCAAACCCCTTTACTCCCAGAGCGCATTTGGGACGTACTACACCAAATTAGTGTACCGAAGCCTGCATATCCTTCTGACCTTGTATCTTTTGGTTGGAAATATTCGGGTTTCATCGATAGAAGACGCTTCATTAACAGCGCACCTGACTGCTCATGACATTGCGGCAGTTTTCAAATGTGTACTGGGTGGGGATGGTGCCGAGGAAGGGCTTGGTGAAGATGAGGACGATACGTCCATTGACCACGCCGATAAATTACGGATACTCAGATATTGTGATGATATTTTACAGGAATACTTACAGGTACGTGTACAAGGTAGAGGAGTCCCACATTGAGACCACCTGTGCTGATTTGTATTGAGTAGTCCGAAACATCTTCGCTAATATTCGAGGAAAGAATGGGTGAATTACTAGAACGGCTCCTACATCTGGTACAGTATTTTGTTTTCTTCTCCTATGCACAGGTTTGCATTAACACGCTATCATATCGTAGAGTCGCACGATATGGATGACATTCTTGAAGCAGCACGTCATGTTATCGCTTGCGGAGGTTGCCGTACTGCGATCCGCGTGGGCCAAACGCAATTATTCATTATTCTGCCGTCACATTATACCCGCAGTCCAACTACCGGCGCGTGGTGGCCTTACAAGAATGTAGGTATTTTCGGAAGAGCAGCGATTCATTTTTCTGCGCCCTAATATTAATCCTTCTGCAGTGCTCACGAGAGCATCTTACGTCAACGCTTCCCAGCAATGTTGGTTTCTGAAGAACGGCAGCTCCCCATTCCAATTGTTATCGATCAAACTACCTTGCAATTTTACGTTGACCGGCCTTTATCCCCAATATCCATTGCGGCGTTTCGACGTCCGCGTACTTGGACCATGAGCAGTGGTTTGAGCCTTGCACCATCAGAGTATGGGCAATCGAGTGTAAAAAGCCTGATGGGATCACCTCTTTTGGATGAGGATGCTAGTGTGATGGGTATCCGACCTCCTCGAAGTGTAATGTCGGATAATATGTCGATTACGAATGTGAATTCCAGTGACACGGCCGGCAATCATGTCGAAACGGAGTTGGAGTGGTTGGTTGCAAACAGATCGGATATGGTGACCAGGGGCGGATGTCATTTGGTCGTTTTCGTCCACGGACTTTTGGGTATGTAATTCGACATCATGTATCATCCAAGCCTCTGTTGATCGCTTATCTCAAAGGGTCTGCTTATGATTTTCGGCAACTCAAGAACAAGGTGATCTATGCAAGGCATAACTTCAATATACCATCCAATGGCATTGTGTTCCTGAACAGCAATTGCAACGAAGAGGATACCCTTGATGATATATCTGTTTTAGCGGATCACCTGGTGTCGGAAATTGTTGAGTTTGTGACCGAAGAGCGGTTGCGAGTAGAGAGAATGAGGTAAATACTAACAGTACCTAGCAGCAAGTATGTTTGGCAGGCAAGTAATATCAGGATCCAGTTTTGTGTGTCACTCGCTAGGAGGGATCATTGCTCGATGTGCCATCGAAAAACCTGGGATGGAGATTTTCCGGGACAAGTATGACACATTCATCACGTTAGCTACGCCCCATCTTTCGGGAGCCCTATCAAAGAATCGACTGTTGACATTTTGTAAGCCCCAGTTGAATGCTTCAAGGCCTTCGCATATGATGTAAATCTAATTGCCTCATTCCAAAATTTCTTGACAGTGGCAACAATGTATCAGTGTATCGACCGCTCGGCTTGCATAGATCAGCTGTTAATGAAGGATAATGCAAACCTACAAGAGTCCTTCATGTACAAACTCGCCACAAATGCGTCAGCACTAGGCGCCTTCAAGTGTGTTCGATTGTTGGCATCCTCGCAAGATGGGTACGCGGACGTGGAGAGCGCATTAATCGGGCTTGGAGGTGCTAGAGAGATACAGAGGGCATGCGGACAAGGATGTATTGGCGTATTCGGTTCTTGTGAATCCTATTCTCGAGTGGATGCGGAGGGAACGGCGTCGACAGGAGATGACCAAAGTGATCAAGATGCATACAAAGATATGCTGGTTGCTTTGTCGGGCGTCCTTGCTGGTGCAAAGGTGGAGAGATACATTGTTTGGTTCCCTAGTTTGGCTGGAACGACTGATTTTCTTGGAAGACGAGCGCATGTAGCAATGTTGGAGGATCCAATGTTTTTGGAAATGGCGGTTGTGATTTGTAGATTGCTTTTGTAACTAAATCTGGGCAGTGGATTTATCGCTCGTAATGTTGCTGTGTTAGCATTTGCCGATGAGAATTAGTAGTCATGAAAGATGTGGGACACTGGACGTGATTGCAAGATAATCGTGTGTTCTCGCATCATCCGAGACGTTATTGTGACACATCGCAAACCACGACGGAAACCTTTGTCTAAAAAGACGATGCAAGGGAGTGTACTTGCACGGTCTTTGGCTAGGGAAAGACAGGGCGATAGGCTTGAGAGATGCTTGGCTCGGGAGGTTTAGGCACGCGTTTCTAGACGTTTTCTTTTACGCAACTTTGGAGCACGTCGGCCAAGTAAACTGTCAGGTCATACACAGGGATGCTACCGCAGCCTCCTTCGAGGGACAACCGGATAGGTTATGCAGCTATCGGGTACCGCCACGACATTGACGTGGTGTCGAATGTGGCCATACCAATTTTTTGCCAATGGGTATTTGAGTTCCTTTCAAGACGAAGCATAGCATTCTGAACACCTACCACCATGTGCAATATCGGGTATGCAAGTCGATCAATGTTTCTGACACCGGTTCACATAGTCCCTGCATGGGTAGATGCATGACTTCATCCTTGTGAGATGTCATTAATTTGTGGAGAACCCAGAGTGACCACGTCCGTAACGAAAAAATCACGTAAAAAGCAAGAACCGTACGATCAACGTCGTATGGCGTCATTTCTAGTGGGGTATATAAGGGTGGCCTTTTTGGAAATCCCACCTTTTTAGGCGTTGACCCATAAACACCTACACACACAGCATCTGTTTTCCAGTATCAAAGATTTATAAACTCATGTCAGCTCTTTCAACCAGCGACAAGGTGATCCAAGTCAACCTCAAAAAACACGTCCCAGAAGGACCTGTCACCGAGGATGCGTTTGACATTGTCCAAGTGCCAGCCCCTAAACCAGAAGATCTAAAGGATGGAGAGGTCCTCTTACGAGCCATTTACGTTTCAGTGGAGTGAGTGTTTGTCAGATCTCGGCAGTTTGGATCAGGTGAATCGACGGCTTAATTTTGCAACAGCCCTTACATGCGAAGCCGGTTTATCAACAAGCCAGGGTATCTCCTTGGACCATTCCAAATCGGACAACCGATTGAATCTGGGACAGTGGCCGTCATTTTGGCCTCAAAGAGTTCAAAGTACAAGGAGGGAGATATCGTTCAAGGATTGTTACCTTGGGTTGAAGTTCTAGCAAGGGATCCCAAAGGCTTGAATCATGTGCAAAAGGATGCAGGATTCCCATGGAGCTACTATCTGGGTGCTTGTGGTGAGTCAAAGTAGGTGTTGCTGTTTCTGAGGAGCGTATCTTGACGACCGTGGATTGTAGGCATGCCCGGTTTGACAGCCTATGCCGGTCTCGACAAGATTGCCGAACCCAAAAAGGGAGAGGTAGCGCTCGTCTCTGCAGCCGCTGGAGCCGTCGGGCAACTCGTCTGTCAGATTTTGAAAAACGTACGCGGAGTAAAGGTCATTGGTATTGCTGGTGGTTCACACAAGATCGACTTTCTCAAAAAAGAGATTCATGTGGATTCAACAATCGACTACAAGTCGGAGAGCTTGGCAAAGAAAATAGCAGAGGAAGCTCCGGAGGGCCTTGACATTTATTGGGATAACGTACGTAAAAAACAAAAAATCAAAAACAAAAAACGTCAAGTTTGTCGATAAGATACAAATTCCGGCAAGTTTTCTTTATTAACGCCATGCTGCGTTAATAGGTCGGCGGCGAAACGCTGGAACTTGCTCTCCGCTATTCCCGTCCGCACATGCGTATTCCCGTCTGTGGAATGATATCTCAGTATGATCTCTCCGAGCAAGAGCAGGCGCCTCTGAGAGGTGCCACCAGGATTGTCTGGAACCGTATCCGAATTCAAGGCTTTATTGTCGGTGATCTCTGGGCTGAATATTATGACCGATTCCAAAAAGATATGCCCGAATGGATTCGACAGGGCAAAATCAAGGTTGTGGAGGATCTGGTCAAGGGAGGGTTGAGGAATGCCCCAAAGGCCTTTATTGGGATGATGAAGGGTGACAACTTGGGCAAAAGGGTTGTGGAGGTGACCAGTGGCATTGATCCCTATCGCAAATAACCAAAGATCCAATCTGTACATGTGCTAAATAGTGCGTAAATAAACAAGAAATACAATAAAAAAAAGTAAAAGTAACAAAAATATGCACCCATCAAGAATCGAACCCGCATGTGAAACGTGATTCAACCGCCCCGCAGGTGGCGCAGAAGGCCTAGGATGGGTAAGCACTCCGAGCGTTAAGATTTTGATATGAGTAGACAATGTTCTCGGGGTGGGGAGCTGGTGGTGGAAAATTGTTTTCTTTCTTGCCATCAGCCAAAGAAATCTTCAAGCCGATGATAATGCGTGATGAGGACAAGGAAACTACAGATTCTGGTTATCATACAATGTCTGAAGACGGAAGCGTTCGCTCATCCTGCTCGGAGGACGGTTATCCGACTCAACCAGCAACTCCAGTGACAACAGTCAACATTTTGGAGTATCTCGCAGATGAAGGCGACGTACTCTCTGACCCTTCTCTCACAGACGATGAAAAGCGCGAGAAAATGACTAGTCTCTTTATTCGGGTGGCGTCCGCTTTGGACGTGGAGAGCATGAAGAGCTTGCTACAAGGCGAAAAGGGACGAACAGTGTGGATCGATGTGGATTGCAGAGACGAGGAGGGAAATACGGCGTTAGTCTATGCCGCGGCTTTGGGATGCGATGCAATGGTGTCTCTACTATTAAAAAATGGCGCCAATGTGAATGTTTGCGACAAGAGTGAGTTTTTTGAAAAGTGGCTATATGTGCGGGTTGAACTTTTTGAGTGATTGATGCCTTTAATTGACAGACGGTTGGTCACCTCTATTCTGGGCTTGTACAAACAGCCAAACGTCTACTGCCCGCCTCTTGATTGAGCACGGCGCCGACAAGAGTCTGCGATCAAGTTCCGGTAGATCCATACGTGACCTTTTAGGCAAAAAAGTAAACGCAGGAAACAGAGGAATTATCCGTGTCCTTGAATGCACAGGTGATGGCTACATGGATGACACTGAAAGTCTAATGGGAAGTGAATGGAGCGTCTATGATGATGAGAGCGTGGGAATCGGGGAAAGCGAGTGGAGCATGCAACGAGAAGAGGAAGAGCAGATCCCATTTGATTGGTCAGGTTGTCCTTTAGATCAGATGCTGGTCTTTGGCTCAGACACCCTCGATCACATACTCGATATTGCGGTATTAAAAGTGTGGTTGATCTGGCTGACCCGACATCGGCAGAGACAGAAACAAAAGCCATTCACCGCGGCGAATATCCTCTTTTTGTGCGCGCGATATGCACATCATTATCACGGGAACGATCTGGTACAGGAATTGTTTGGGCGAGCGGTCGATAAGATTATTGAAATTGTTCGGGTAAGCAGAAGATGCAGTTAAAATCAATTTATTCTTTCAGTCTGTATTCACGCCTTGTGGCAGTCCAATCGGGACGATTCAGCCCTCTTGGCTTATTGGATAGCCAACAGTCTTCAGCTGCTGTATTACCTCAAACGTGATACACACCTCGTTCTCTCGACGCTCAGCACACAAACAACACTGTCCGAGCTCATTAATGAGCTGTACAATATTTTCATTCGGGAGATAGAGTCACGTCTCTTGTCTGTTCTGGATGCGGCATTGATCGACTTTAGTGGCACAGACGACGAGGATCTGTCGCATCAACGCCGCAAGCAACCGCGGTCAAAAGGATCATCGCGAGGGGTGGTGTTTGAGAATGCGTTGTTGGGGAAGATGAGCCGAAGAGGGTGGGATTGGGACTGGAAAGTCCCAAATGTAAATATTGGGATAGCTCTTGGAGTGAACGTTGCGGTCGGAGGTGGGGCATCTGGTGTATTGTCATCGACATCCCCACCCAAGAAGCTCCGACGGCCGCGCCAACCTGCCACATCACCTGTCGTTGCAAAGTCGACGTTGTCCACCACTCCACCCACCCCGCGCACCGTCACTACCCTTTTAACCCACACCTTACACATTCTCCAGCAAACTCAAAACCACCCACATATCATCAACAGAACCTTCCATCAACTCCTCCATTTTCTCTCCACGACTGTCTTCAATCATATCCTCACGTCACGAACGTCCTCCAATCCGCTATCCAAATCTGGCGCTCTTCAGATTCGTCTCAACATATCACATCTCCAAGACTGGATACGGGATGTGGGACACACATACATTCCCTCCAGCAGTGTCTCATTGGAGCAACGTCTTACTCCGATTGTGCAGCTAACAAAAATACTTGGGATCTTGACAAGTCTAGAGAGCATTGACGACTTTCTAGAGATCAAAAGCGTTGTTGTGGATGGACTGGGATTTTTGCAACTGCGGCGAGTCATTGAAGGTTATCGATACGAAGTGGGAGAACCTACTATCGCAACCGATATATCAGAGTACATTTCTCGCATGTGCGAAACTCTTGAAAATGATGACACCGTTCCTGACGAAGAGACCATGAAAGGCACAGATGAAGAAGGAGAAGAGGAACAAGACGGCCTTGCTAACCCCAAACGGGATCCTTGTATTGACTTGCTGGATCCTGGATTTATGTTACCCTTCCAAGTTCCAGTTTATTTGGATGACGATGAAGCTGGAGGGTTAGGATGGGGCATGGGAAGTCCTTGGATAGAGCCGGACGTTGTCGGGTTTTTGGATGAGCAAGGCGTTGGCGAACAGTATAGTTTAGCTAGTAGTTTTTGTCGTAGTTGAATTCTTAGTTTTTTTCTTTTTTTTCCTCTTTTCTTGTATTCTTTTGTATAGGTCTGTAACTAGCTTTTTGTTACGATGTAGGCGATCTAATATAGTTTGCACCTCTTTTTTGATAGTTTGGAATGTTTGACGGTCGATAGCAAATGAGTTTTCTTGTCAATCTCCCTGAAGGAATTGAATTTAATCGACTTGAACTTTGGCATAAAGTTGCTGTTCGTTGACGAGTTGATGTTAATAAACGCATCTTTGTCGGTGATACATTGGCATGGCAACAACACGTCATTTTGATGTTGTCATCTCTGGAGCATCCTTTGGTTTGCTCTTGCTTTTCTACTTTTTGCGTTTGCTTTGTACAGACAAATGACAGCATGGAGAATGCATTTTCACCCCGTGTCAAGTCCCTCATCGGCATAGCACCCAACGACAGAGCGCATGCGCAAAATATCAAAGACGCTCTACTGGAAGACCGACTGAACTTTTCTGTTCTCCCCGACTGTACGCTCTAATGTGCTACTAATGTTGGTTTTCATTGGTGTAGGGTCGATTAAACTTATTCATAATTCAATAGGTGAAGATCCAAGGACGGTGGATGCTGATATTCTTTTCAAGGCGTCGTCTCAAGTTCGCTCTGTAGCGGTCGCCGTCCACATGTTTCCTGGTTACCCTCCATGGAGGGACGAATTTGACTGGGCCAGTGACGAGATGCGTTATGTAGGGTGAGCGCGTTACAATAAATAAGTGGGCCGAGGGATCACTTTTCTCATGTTGCTTTTTTGTCATGTATGGGATAGATGACGAAGCGATGTGTGGAGATGGCGGAACATGGATGTGCATATTTGGCATGCTGTGTATTGGTAACGATATTAGAAAGATTGTTAGGCGATGTACGTGTGGAGCCACTTTTGTCTTTTTGCCATATCAGAATGTCATGCTGAATCTAGCCTTGTTAGATCCTTTTCACCGTATCTGATGGCGATTCGTCTCTGATTCCATTTCTATTACGAGATCTCCTGGTAACAACAGAGTTAGAAGCTGTGTTGGGTTCCAAATTGGTTAGTGTCATGATTATTAGTTTTTAATGAAGGTGATACTCATTATTCTATGTACAGATCTTTACTATGCGCATACTCATGGGAACGCCTCTTGCCATGAACATTCGAAATATTCTTTGGCATGGATTCGCTCATCCAGCGGAATTTGAACCGCCTGCGAAAATTTATTTCGCCTTCTTTATGATGATTTTGCTTGAGGTTGTTACTAGAGCGCGCGAATCACTCGGCAAGCTATCGCATAGATCGAAAATAGCCTTTGAGAGCACGCCCTTGGAGGAAATTGATCAGCAGTATTCCGCCGTATGTTTCAATGAAGGTATGTGTAAAAGTTTTTGCAGTTTCCAAATGTTTATCATTAACAAATGGAATAGATTTGCCCCCCGCAACTCTCCCTGCTTCGTCCTTGGAACCAATTGTTGGTCTCATTACCTTGTCAACTTTCCCCTTACCGGGAACCATCGACTACAACATGTTCTCGCTCCTTGCCTATGCGGTAGGAGACTATCATACCTTCCTGGTATCGTCCATACCGATGCTAGAGCACGCTCTTCGGATTGTTTATGTCCGTGCTGCAGGGGAAGACGCTTCAAGGCTTTTGGTTGCAGATAATAGAGTGATGTATCTGACTTTGGATGAAATGCTCGCGGATGGACGGGCCCTTTTGACTGAGCAGCTCGGACACTGCTGCGTGGTGAGTAATGTGGCCTGTGCTGCTTTATATTGATCCAAAAGTTAATAGTCTGGTTTCAGGAGTTATTATTAGATATGTTCAGTTTCCCAGCGGGACCACGGCTTCGAGATAGGCTTTCACATGGTGAAGCCAATAACGTTGTCGGATCAACAGCCTCTAGACACATTTACATCAATCCAACCATTACCCAAACCTTTTTTTCTCTCCTCATTTACTTGATGTGGATCTATTCTCCTGCGGCTGGGGGATTAAAGTTCAGTGGCCTCGTGGCGACTTGCGTAGATTTTGTGAAGCACTATCATAGCCGATACCACCCAGTCGCACGTATTCGCCAAGAGCTGGTAAAGGCCTTTGTGGAGATTGACAGATGCTTCCATACCATGTGCCAAGCTGCGTACACGCTGGCAATACCTATTGAAGAAGAGGATACACAAACAGTTTCCCTCGCTGGCGAATGGACACGGATGAGCAAACTGCCTTATCCATTACAGCAAAATCTCTATACAGTAACTCGCCTTCTTTGTCAGCAGCCAACCCGTTTGTTTACTTTTCCACCGAGCTGTCTCAGTCAACGGTCCATTTCCCACGCCCTCGAAACCCTCCCCCGATGCCACTTGCCCCAACCTCAACACAAATTTCCATACGTCCACGTCATCCGCATCCTCAGTCACATCCGTCAAACCATCTGCAATTTAGAAACCAAATCCCAAGTAACGCGTAAACGCATGACAATCATAACGGGAGGGGGTTCAGTCATTGCGGTGCTATGGACTGTCTTGAGTATCTTGGAGCAATCCCTTGTTCCCGGGTCCGACTTTTCCAGCAACGTATTGAAACGAATTGCCACCGTTGTGGATCGATGTGCGGCGATTGTTAAAGGCGGGGAATGGTGGAAGGTGCAAGGAGAGGTTGAGGCTTGGGTAATGGAATTGAAGGGTAACCATCAACGGAGACGCTTTGGTGATTAATAGACTGGAAGTGGTTGCACTCGTACAATGTTTTTACTGGCATACTTTACTATCACGGTTGTATACCCTTTACTTCATTTGATGATGAGAATCAGCAATACTCTGTCCCACTTTCTTGAAAGTTTTGATGGGCATATATAAGGTTAGGTAAATATCAAGATGAACGTTGCACAACCTTTTGGGCCGAATTCACGTGATCAAATGTTTTACTGGCTAATTAATCGAGTAAACTTTCAAAATCACGACGAATATCAATGTTTGAAAAAAGGTCAAAACATCCTAAAATCAAAATACTCCCTAATCTGCCTACGGTTGAACAGAGATATGGACTCACAAATTTAGGCAACTGAACTCGCAGTCTCCGTCGCGGATGGCTCCACCGAAGGTGGAGCCCACAGCACTTCGTCCCCCTCCCCTGCTTTTGTACTGCTACTCCTAGAACTAGACATTTCTTTTACCCGCTCAACAGAAACGCTCACACCTCTCTCAAACCCAACGCGTTCCAAAATCTCTGGCAGGGTATCCCGATATTTTAAATGCCCTTTGACAATATCCGACAAGTCCACATTATCAACAATATTGCGTCCTTTTTCGCATTCTCCAATACGAATCTTTCGTAAGCCCGCAACGCCGTTCTTGGCTTGGCTCGCTCGATACAAGTATGATAGAAACCAATCCCCCTTTGCATACCCGTTTACAACCCGCCCGCTGACCACACTTGCTACTTGACGCCATTCCAAAGGGTTGACGCCTACGGGTGCTCCGAGTAAATAGGCTTCGTCAACAATACCATACGCCTTCATTTTCGAGAGTTCCAAGAGACAGTAGAATATGGTTCTCGCGCCGAGAGACCAGCCTATGAGCGTCACAGGGCGCTTTCCTTGAACGTATTTAGCTAACACATCCCTGGCAAGGACGAGACCCGCCTTTCTAGCGCGGTCCAGACCAATCGTCCACGGGTTGTCCACTAAATATCCCATTTGCAACAGACCAACGGGCCACACAAGGGCAGACATGAGACCCGCTAGCATCGTCTGCTTGAGAACAGCAGTTGTACCATATGTAACAGCTGTGGATGTCATAAAAGACTGAAACGCTTTCCCGAGGTCCAGCAAGTGATGGGGATCAAAGGACAGGGCAGTGACCTCTGAGAAGGGTGCGTAGGCGGGAAGGACTGTCCAAGGGTCTGTAATATCGGATTCAGTGGTTAGCCAGCCGGAAATGGGTATGATGAGATGTAAAGATTGTGTGTTTGAATTTCCAGCATGCGGATTGGGCGGTGGTGTCAGGGAGTGGAAGGCAAATACTGAAAGAGATCCCAGGCGGCGATTGAACCGATAAGCTGTTGGTACAATGTGTTGCATTAGATATAATTCATCTGTTTCAACGCGGATATGATCGACTCGCACCTGTAAGACCACCTCCTGTCACTCCAAAGAGCGTGCCAACAATAGCTACACCGGCAGTAGTACCCAGAGTTGCGCATAAACCGGCGTGTGCCGCCAATCCGAGGCCTGAGAACAAGCCTCCCAAACCTGCTCCAATCATTGGTGCTGCAAGTCCTTTTTGGCGCCATCATTGTCGACAAGTGAATACGAGTGTGTTCATCATAGAATGGATGAACGATGATGTTCCTTACTTACCCCCTGTCAGTCCGATGACCACACCTCCCCCGACGGTCGCCAACCCTACTCCAGCCCACCGCTTCCACTTTTCCCTTGTTTCTTCCAACTGTGGTACAGTTCCATCATTGTCCTGCCGCTTAATGTGCGATTCTTCCCAAAGCTTTTCGGCAACGATATGCTCGACTTCCTGCACCATCAGTCCCCTTGCTTTGCTTTCCTCCATCTCGTCCCTTCCATCCGCGTCATAAACACCATCCCAAATGAGTAACGACAGTCTCCTTAATATAGTTCTCAGACGGGCATCGTAGCGAAGTTCACTTGACTTCATAACAGTTTCTTGAAGTGATGAAAAGATGAGATTGGAAAGAATAAGGGATATGGCGTCACGTTCGTCGCTGCGTTTGACGGTGTGGTCAGAGTTGGTACCGTCTGCGGCTTGTGCCCTTACGGCGGATGCAGCGGCCTTTATAGAACTGGAGAGACTTTGTGAGAGAGATTCAATCGTTACGCCGTGATTTGAGAGATCTTTGATGATATCGAGTTCTGAAAACAGTACAAGAGAATGGATCATTACGCTGCCATTATCCATTCCTGAGGCAAAATGAAAAATCTACCTTTGCCTTGCAGCGCATTAGAAGTAGCAATTCCGTGCAGTAATTGCTGTCGCCATGTACGATAGGATGTTACGGATGGATGACGCGACGGATCCGTCTCAGAATCCTTTGCTTCAAAGACGCTGGTCACTTTTGACCAAAAGCCTTTCCCATTGGAGTCATCCTGTTGTCCTTCCCCGCTAACAGTACCTTCTTCAGAAAGTAAACTTGTGGTAGACACCTTCTCGCTCAATTCATCATCTGTTAAATGCTCTACGTCCTCCTCGTCGTCGTCCTTTGGCAGGACCTCCCAATTACCGGCAATGAGTCTTTCCAGCGCTGTCTCTTCCGACTCGGCGAGTAGCCATACTAGACCAATGTATGCGAAAACGAGGTCGTCTGAAATATGGAACTGGTGAGACGCTGGACTATACGGTGGCGCTGGAAAACTCGGGTCGGGAACATCATCTGCGAGTGAACTGGTTCGAGGTGGTAATGGAGGCGGTGAGTCCAAATGTTCTGAGCCCGCCGCTATATTCACTGCTAAGGGAGTATCCGGCATGGGCAATCCACTGTTGAATGGTGAACAAGGCAAGTTGCCGTTTTTGCACGTAGGAAGCGGGGGGAGATTGGAGAGGCCTTAAACCTCGGCTGGGCAAATGCTCGCAAGCCTCGCGATGAGTCATCAGACGGGACGCGTACGTGTTCGCGAAAGGTGTTCCAAAAAGGTGTTGAGTTTAAGGAAATCTTTGGAAATTAGGGCTGGCAGGAAAAAACCCTTTTCGCTACTCTGTCATGACGCTACAAGCAACGCTCGCCTTTGTCGTCATCTATGCTGCTTTACAGCTTGCATTTTTTGTCCCGTTCGCTTCCGCTGATGAGCATAACCCAAAGCAAGCAGCCCCTCTTGCCCGCCAATTAGTGTCCTTATCAAAGATTGGTGAGCTGGCAACCGTGATGGCTCCTGGAGTGCGCGCGGGTAGGAAGCACTATCCATTTAGCACGCCAGAATATGTGTCGGACGAATGTCCGTCTTCAGGAAGTCCTCTTTTGTATCTGGTTACATGGGGCGTACGTATAGCAAGCATTCCCTTTCGCTGCGGGGATTGCAACCGTTATCACTCACAGTACCATTTTTTTAATGGCATGCATGTAGACGCACGCACGTAATGTTAGAGCTAGTCCACATGCATCCGTCTCTTTCCGGCATCCAAACTTTACTCTTACACCACCGGACTCTCGCGGGGAACTGGATGAAGCTCGCGTTTCATTGTTGGGAGATTTGGTCCGAGTCGAGGGAGACGATGAGGTGCGTCGCGGTCGTGAAAGAGAACGTTTATGAGCAGAATTAAGGGGTTGCGTTCTTAGATAAAGAAGGCGCAAGAATGTTTTTTCGCGCGGCATCCAGATGCCAAAGAGTTTCCACACCATTCAGCTTTTTATCGCTTGGAGGTTCAGGATGTGCGATGGATTGGGGGTTTTGGAGATAGACATTTCAATGGATGGATACCGGCTGATTTGTATCTAGACAATCCCCAAGGATCCGCGTTGCAAATGCAGGGAAACGGGTTAAAGAGACGAGGCAAGAGATCCAGGATCGACTAATTGTTGATTTGTTAGACTTGTTTGGCAAGGACGTGATGCAATGATGCAGTTGGAGATGGATTTTTCTTGATATTCTTTTTATCAAGGATTAAAGATAGGATCCATCGACAATAGCATTACCCTCCAAAAATATCATTAGCGTCAATAGTAAATATATCTACAAGGTGTTATGGGTCAAACTCGAGATTGACCAACATGACTGCCGAGTCCATGAGAACATGAATCGCCATCACCATGGTAAGCACAAACGTGCGAGGATTTCTACTAACAAATTTCACCCATTCCTGCCAAATCTTTCGTCCCGTCATCCGATGCACAAGCCAGAATCCCACCAAAGAACCCAACACTTCAGATACAAACGTCGAGAGTGTTTCAAACATCACTCGTCGATACCGAGTGTCGTCGAGAAGGATGGTTAGAGATGGGTATGCACCCGCATTTGGACCACGTCTGATCGCAGGTATCGAGACCACAAAGCAGACCATGGTAATGAGTTGAGCGACAGCGTTGAAGGCCTGGAACAGTACTTGGGCTTTGGTATAATCTGTGTAAGACCATGTTTCTGTTGCCTCGCCGAGAGGTGGAAGGGAATAGCGACTATTTGGCGTATTATCGTTCACTTGATTGACGGAGGTGGTTGATTTGATTGCGACTGTGGATCGAAGGTGGTTGCGTTTGTTGGGAATGGACGTCGTCGCAGCCCTTTCTAGGGTGCTAAACTTGGTTTCGCTATTGGCCATTCCTGCTTCTTGGTCCATGCTAGGCTCGGAAATTCCTCTGACAGCGCTGTCGGCCTTGTTCTCATCGGTGGGGTTATTAAATTCTGCCAGTTCACCGTCCAGTATATCGAGACCGAGACTACTCATGGATCCCGATGCAGTCCGGGTCATGATACTAGCAGAATCTGAGACGCCGTGCTGAGCTGCAAAGAAGGCTTTCAGAACGCCTGCTTTGTTCCAGTCGCTGAGCCAGATCATGATACGGTGATAATAACGAGATGTCCTGAATGTAACCCAGGCGACTCTCTGTAAAAGTAAAACTAGCCGTTAGTGTACACGATAGGCAACATTCAAACGTGGAATCCGCTCCTTTACCTGCACGAAATTGATTGCTCCGAATAGAATGATGGTCCAAGTCGACGAGAACGCCGCTGTAAAGACATTCCTATAGACTGGATACAACCATTAGTTTCGAAAAGTCCATCTGAAATGGTCTCTCCTCAGAGTACATACGCATCCAGTAAATCATATCACAGAAAAATGTGTATGCATAGATTGTGTGCCGTGGTCTACAAAGAGATGTTCAATTAAATGTTTACGGATGCTGCAAACTAGAGGAGACAACTATACCCAAGTTTTGCATGCAGGAGGATAGTGCCAATGGTAGTGACACCGACAATAAACAACCGTAATGTGTAGATAAGAACTGCAGGTGGAGATGACATTACAGTTAGAATAAACGTGAATGGACCAGAATCCGTTGGTGACAGCGTACCCAAATCGAGCCAGAGAGGATGGGGGGTTGTTTTAAAGTACGCCCAAGACCACACCTTCAGGACTTGAGCGTCAATTCACAAAAGATTGCTAACCCCAAGCAGATTAGGCACTTACTTGACCGATAAAGTACGTTGATGCTCCAAAGCATATCGACACTAAGAGCCAGAGAATTTGTACGGTCGGCAAAGGCTCGTTTTCAAGTTTATGCATCGCCATATCGTGTCCTGATCCAGTTTGCGGAGATTCCAGATGGTGCGGGATGACCTCCTTTGCACATTCACCGGCCTCTTCATCTTCCACACCATTACTCACGCTTCGTACATGTTTGGAATTCACATGGGAAGCCAAAGGACTGATATCCGCGGTTTTTGCTATCAAGCGCATTTTGGCTTCCCAATGCTTCCGCTCCCACATATTCCTCAAAACCGCATAGTGCATTCCGTAGCCTGTGCAAACAAGGGTATTGAAAACTACCCATAGCTTGCTTGATACCAGCGCTTGGCGAGGAGAGTACCACACAACGGTGTTCATGACGACGGTGATGACAAGAGGCGGAATGCCAAAGCAGGCTAAATCTCCCCATGAACGGGGCCATAGATACGGCGAGAAATTATGTATGGCCAATCCGACACATCCCACCGTCGAAAGGATATATATGGGGAAAAAGACAACATTGTACATCCACCAGTTGAGCGGGAAAGAGTAGTCTGCGGGGAGGATACCGATATTTCCCCATTCGTGAATAGTGTGCAGTGGTCCCCCGTTGTGAACGTCCACAGTCCCGAGAGGAATATTGATATATCCTACGAAAATAGCGATGCAAAAGGACCAGCATAGAAGACATACGGTCAATGGGTATCGGCTCAACCCTGCCGCAACAAGATAAAAGCCGGCGCTGCATTTTTTTCGTCGATGGGTTCCCTTTCCTGCATGTCCTGGCCGTCTTGCAAGTTTTACACTACTTCGATTGGGGTGGTCGGATTTTTCGGCGGGCGACGTTCCAATGGAGCTACTGCTGGGCTGCCCTACGGTGGAAGCCGGCCGCATTGGGGAGGTCACAGTGTGAAGACCGTGTGCTCTTGAGGGTTCTACCATCCTTCCGAGTCCCGTGCGCCCTTATGTACCCAAAGAAAATACTTCCGTCTCCAGAGAACAGGTCTTGTTTGCCGTTGTCTCAAGGGGAGAAGGTAACTACATCGATCTAAGGAGACAACAGTCCAATGTCCATACGCAATTATTTGGTTGGCAGCTATATCCGGGAATCTATTCTAGTATTGAATAACATTTGTTTGTGATCGTGGGTAGTTGAGGTCCGGCAAGGAGCAGCCCTGGTTGTGGAAAAAGTGCGAACAGTAAATAGCGTTATGTTAGGCACTCAGCTTAAGGTTAAATGGCCTTTAACAATATTTGGACCAGAAGTGTTTGCGTCTGGTGGAGTTCATACCCTGTTCCTCGGAACGATCTTTTGTTTGCATTGTTTTGACCGGAAATGTCGCCCGATACTCCGCTGACGTGAATAAATAACAAGAAAAGGACCGATTTGTTTGCCTGCACTACAAGCACTTGCATATGATGGGCATTTGGCTGAGCCAAAATAAACATCGGACTATTAGCTATATAGCGAGTGAAGGGCGAGCTCCGAACAGCCGCGGTCATTTATAGTGGAAACTCATAAGTTTACGATCCTGGTGAACAACGACTGCAACATTGTAAGCAAACAAGTACGGTCAACAGTCTACATTGAAAACTTTTAAGAGTACAAGCATTATGCCATGAGCTTGGAATAGTACAAGTGAATTCCATACCCACCAGGCACTGCTTTCATATCCTTGCCAGACTATCGCCTGTCGTGGTGAATGCCACATTTATGATATTTCAACACAACTTCCCAACATTGCTCTACTAGTATGTACGCTGACCAGACTTATCCGCAGGCATAAGCACAAGCCGCCCGCCTATTATTCCTTGGGTCCACCAACTTGGACAATAAGATGGCATTTTGCAGCTTGGTTATTCATGCACCCAAAGGTCATACATTTACGGAATACCACATCTTATTCATGTGACGCTACAATGTTGCATATGAATAATCCTGATACTCGTCAAGGGTTTCAAGATACTGGCTCTTCTACTTTGCGCCATTGGATTGGTTCCCTACATGGCATAGGATACAGACACACGGGATGAACGTCTCGTTAAAGCCTCCAACGGGATCAATTGGTGGATGCTCTCTTCAAGCATAAGCAAGCAAATGTATCGTTCAACTGTGTTTGAATGCCTGACACAAAGAGGATTCGTAGCAGGATATCCTAAAGTTGGAATATGCCCATAAATGCGTTACTAAAATCAGGAACAAAGACACAAAATCGCTGAACCAGAAATAGTCGCTGACTGGAGCGGTCATAAATTGGGGGATCCCTAAATAACAATGAGGGTTATGATGGCGGTATTCGGGACTTGGGTCACGAGTAAGCAGAAGAAACAGGCGCTGGAAATAAACCTGTTGATGGGGGTTTGTCTGTATATTTGTGTGTTGTGTCTACGCTTTGGAAAAAAGCACACTAGTTTCGCGTGAACAAGTTAGTGGAGGTTTTCCCTTTTCTTTGTGTTTGGTTTGTTTGAAGGTGGGGTGCCCCATTTCTGTTCTTGGATTGTAGCAAAGGGCTGTTAAAGACGGGGGCCGTGAACGTGTTGGCGGAGACGTGAACAGACGAATACACACGGCTAGAACGAGCGTATACGAGCGGTTGTGTGCTTTTTGAAACGGTTTTGGCGGTTTCGAGATGGGGAATACTGGATCAGCGCTGTCGGAACCCGTCGGGCCCAACCCCGCCGTCAAGACCACCCCATCAACACCATCACCGTCGACACCGTCCTCAAGGGAGAATGCCAAGGACAGGTGGGATAAAGTCGATGTAGAAGATGGAACGCGAGCAAGGATTCTCGAGTCCCGGGAACTTGAAGAGGATGCCACGGTTCGGTTTGGGATGAACGGCACGTCTGGGAATTCGGAGCGGAGGTCAAGTTTGCTGGCTGTTATGGATGGGGTTATAGACGGCTTGTTTTTGGCAGCTGGGAGTGTTCGAGGGGTTGGGGGGTTGATGGGGAGTGAGGATCGAGTGGTGCCAGAGAGGTGTGCGAGTGGACGGGAGAGCGAGGTGAGGCTTCCTGGAGGTTACAAAAATGGTATGTTGGCAAGTTAAAGCTGTGTTTGTTTGAGCTAGTCAGTATCGCTTATATGCTTCACAGCCTTTATAAACTCCACATCCTACACCCATCTCAACCGAATGAGCGGCGCATCTCGTGAACTAGACCGTATGGAAGCCGGTGTGCCCGATGAGATTATTGAAGACCTTGGATCCCGCTTGTCCCAAACGGCCATTGACCAGCCCATTCAACAAGTGTTTGCAACACCCCAGGTTCAGAGTACTATAAATGTGGAACCTTACGGGATCATTGAGCCCATGTCAACGGTCGTTGACACGACACTAGTTGTGCACCCAGCACTTGAATACAGTGCAATCGACAAAGTATTGGAAAAACACCCCTTAATGGATCAATCTGAATCCTTGATCATGACCCCCTACATGCAAGACTCTGACACTGATATCCCAAAACCCGATATCCGCACCAACGTACTCGGCTCAGATATCATCACTCCGGAACCGACACCCATCACCGAACACCCTCCTACCCCGAACGCCCCAAAACTCAGCCGGATACCAAAGTATAATTCATGTTCGACTTTGTTTGTTGAGGCAACGATCAGTAATGCGGATTTGAATGACACATTGCGTTGGTATGTTTATCGTACCAGTTTTTGAAAGGCGAACACTTACTGACTTGTATGGCTAGTGTGGCATCGGCATTGGTCAACCACATGAAAAAGAACCTTCAAGACCAAACATTTAAAACCGATAACATATTTTCAGAAGAATTGCATCCGCTTTCTGTAAGTACTCCCAAAACAAACACAAACAAAACGTAGACAAAAGTTCTAAGATGAGACCAATGTAGCAACATATACAATTCTACCGTCGTATGCCGAAGGAAGACGATATTTTCAAATTCCTCGAATGTTTGTTCAATGCAGCGGAACTAACCGCTGAATGCGGAATCATTACCCTCGTAAGTATCAATTTGCACCCATTCACAAACCAACAAGGAGGTTGAACGCATTTGACAATCTTGCAGATTTACGTTGAACGAATGCTCCAAAACACAAGTTTAACTCTCCATGCAAGTAACTGGACACGAATTGTACTCGGCGGGTTACTACTGGCATCCAAAGTATGGGACGATCATGCAGTCTGGAACGTGGATTTCGTACAGATATTTCCAGAAGTGGATGTAGAAGACATGTAAGTAAAAAACAAAGGCGATATCGGTATTTTATGTTTCCCCGGTCGGGTACTAATAAAGATGAGGATGCTGTTAGGAATCAATTGGAACGATGGTACATGGCCGCACTTGATTTCGATGTCAATATCAAAGCATCGGAATATGCACGCTATTATTTCTCGTTGCGAGATTTGGCGGAAAAGAGTCGGAGACGGTGGCCTTTGAAACCGCTAACGTTGCGAGATGCTGCAAAACTCGAGGTACTTTTCGACTGTTTCTAATGTTGTAGTGATGGACTGTCTAGTGTGTTCATACCAATACCATTTCACATAGGCTCGAACATCCCGTCCACCACCCAAACTAGATACATCCACCCCCAACACTCCCGACACCATTGACCCCCGTTCCTCTCCTCCGCGAACGATTCATGCATTTGAGAGGGAGGGTGCATCAAATGTTGGGAACAGTAATGGAGGAATGAGGAGGAGTATGAGTGATTATATTTTTGTAGGACCCAAACCTCCTGCCATGGTCGTTTGATGTACTGTTGGTTATTTTTTTCTGTAGTTTGGTATGTGTTTTCTTATTTGAGAATATAGAGTGATGGTACAGTGGACAGCTTCTATTACAAAATGGGATACCAAAATCATGCAAACCACAGCTTTGGGATAGACTTGAATTGCCAAATGTCTGTATGCAAAAATCACCCAACCAGATATCCTTTGGAATTGAGACTTTTAACAAAATATCCTTCTATAACATTTTCAAACATCCTCCACAATCAACTCTCCAACCCACCCCGTCGAATAGGCCGTAACTTCCAAATTCCTTCTACCCGTTCACGCTCCTCAGAGTGAATAATCTCACACGACCTCAAAAACCCCTCCAACCGCTCTGAATACCCCCGTCGAACCCACTCTGAACTTTTCGTATTATGCCCCTTGAGCCACACCGCCAAGAATTCAATGGCACTAGCTTCAGGTGTCCAATATGGGTATTTTGGTCGTTTTCTTGCAAGGTCTTCTAGGGCCGCTACGAGGGTTTCCGAGAGCGTTTGGTCAATGTACCCTGGTATGGGCAGGGTGTGGGTTGCGATGGGCGTCATGGGTGGCGGGAGTTTTTTAGGGGGTGTGAGGGAAGTGTAGAGGTGAGGAGTTGCTAAGAATTTGGCGAGAGCGGTGGGCGTGGAGAAACTGTACAGTTTTTGGGCGTAGAGGGCGGTCAAGGTGGGTAGTCCTCGTACGAGAGATGCGAAACTGGATAAGTTGCGCATAGTATGGTGAGGAAAGCCCAAATCAAAAAAATAATGGTGAGTTGTCAACATTTACAAATGTGCGACACCAACATAAAAGCAATTATACGTACCCTTTGCCTCCCTCTTTCAGCGCAACAGGACAATACCCACCACACTCAAACCCTTTCGGAAACATCGCCTTAACTTCCTCCTGAGTAACAACCCGCGGTAATTCAGCAGGTAAAGGTGTCCGAATATACAATTCCGGGTCCTCTAAGAATAAAGCTTGTTCAGATGGTCCCGCGAGGTAATAGTACTGTTGCTTGTATTCAGCCATGTGGGTGGATGGAGGTTGGATGAGGGTTTGGTGGAGGTGGAGGGAGACTGGGCAGTAGGTGAGGTGAGGGGAGAGGTGAGTGGAGATGTGGGTGAGGGGGATGGAGGTGGAGGTAATGGATGCGGCTTTGCCTATCGTCACAAAGCCAAAGAAAAGAATTAGAATATGGTCGTAAACAACATAACCATGAAGGTTAACATCACTAACAGAAACGAATAACAGACATACCACGCCCAATTCGTCCAAAATACTCTTGCCGCGCAACCATAACATCTTGTACAGCCTTGACAACCAAATTCTTCAAAGCCCATTTACTCCTCAGTGCATCAAGGTGGGTGACATTGGCATACGCGGTGGTATAATGGGTGTCGATAGCGGAGATATGCGTTTCGTAGACTTGGCTATACTGATTGAGGGTCGTGGGTGTGTTGAGGGGTGGAAGAGGGGACCTATTTTCGTACCGTAGTGCATGGCGGGGTTGGCATAAATGATGTGTCGTGGTGCGTTGGTTCACAAGGAGTACCAAACATTGAAAAGAAAACGGGATCGGAGTCGCATAGGTGATGTATCATTGGGAGCAAAAAGTGGAAACAGTTAGGAAGGCAAAATCCATATCGTATCGTATTATAGAGCCGATAAGTGAAGAAAGACGAGACCAGCGGTAGTGCATGTCGAGTACCCAAAAATGTCCGCAGCAAGAGAGATGAAGCAAACGTCCGTATCGTGCGTTACCAGGTATCGTCGTAAAAAGGATGAAAAGAGAATTGAAAGATACCATCAAAGGCACAAAAAAAAAGAAAAAGCCATCAACGATTAGCCAAACACCCAAAAAAACAACCAAACCAAAAATAAATCATACTCGGCCTCAATCTCCCAATCCACCATCCCTCTCTTCAAGCCCTCTTCAACAGGTATATCCAGCACAAAAACGCAATGTGGGACTACACCAGCTGATTCGAGGAGGTGAGCTTGGGCAGTTGTTATTGGGTATCCATCCAGAATCCACCTTTCAAAAAGCATATTAGCAAAGAGAAGAGATTTCAACAGATATTTCAGTTGTTTGCTACCCTTTTTCTTGACACATGGCACAGGAGGTAATGGTTCGTATCGCTTCAGTAACAAGTGTGTCCGGTAATGGTAATCCAGCCTCTAACGTCGCCTTCACCTAAAACATCAAGAAAGTCAATATGACAAACATCTTCAACCATATCCCAACACAAATCTTTTTTACCTGCTCGGAAACACCACTAAAACCAGCAAGACCCGCCACAATAGTTTCAACATCCAAATATACGAGCCCAAAACTTTGTGCAATGGATTTCGCGAGGGTTGTTTTCCCGGATTTGGGGGGACCGACGAGGGTAAGGTGTGGGCGGAGGAGCGGAGGTGGTGGGGGAAGGGCTGTATAATGGGTTGTATTTTGAATAAAATGCTGTGTTGCGAAATGATGAATGCTTGTCAGTGAGATTTTTGCAATGTATCGAGAGAGGATGGGAGCGATACGTTACCGTTCTGGCATTCCGATCCTTTAAAAAGTAAATACACCCCCCATAAACAACCGGTAGAGTCCCCGTACATTCTCTTGTCAAGAAACGGTTCTTTTCCAAAGTTACCGGACAGTATTTCCTAAATATCATACCATCAGCGTTAAACAGCAAAGAATAGAACCTCGAGCGTATGAAAACGGTACGTACCGAAACGGACTATACACCACAACACCAAGATCCAAGAGCACTTTGGCCTCCTTTTTAGTCACTTTGAACGCATTGCCCAATAAGCTTGCCCTCTAATCTCAAATCATCAACAACAAACTCATCACCGCCAAAGAATGAATGCACGTTACATACATATTCCAAAAAGGGTCTCAAATCGTGCTTGACGGAAGCCAAGACGGGACGTATGGGGCGAGAAGCATCAATGGTAAATAATGGGATAGAGGATTGTGAAGAAAAGGTTGAAGTGATTTCCGAGATGCGTGATTGGTGTTTTTCAATCCTAGATTTTCATCAAAAAGTTATTAAATGCATGGTTCTGAAAAGACGTTGTCGCTTTTTTCGGATGTTTCTGTACGTACTCTTCCAAAACCTTGTCTTCCCACTCTTCATCATCATCATCAGCAGCTTGAGCATCATGCGGAACAGCTACACCATCAACAACTCCACCCCGACGAAGACGGGAAACAACACGCTTCAGGGCAACACTGCTCTCACAATCCAAGACTACCATCGCATCAACATGCAAGGAATACTTTAAGAGGGTGTCACAGTCGAGTTTGGTGCGTGGAAAGGATGTTAGGATGAACCCTGTAGTTTTATACGGCTATCAACAAAATAAAGTTCGAGAGTAGGTCTTGTCAGTCTATCATGATGAATCCCATGACGCAGGAAATAACAAAACTCAAAACGGTTACCTCACTATAAAAAAGTGTTTTAAGCACATCAGTCAAAACATGCGCACCAATTCCTCCATTCTCTTGTAACATGAATTCGACTTCCTCTTTCACCGCCCCACCTTGCATTGCAGCCCACGATAGTACAAAAGTTTCAAACACGATATGCGGGATGGGTGTTGAGAGGGTGGAGAGGAGGGCTGGGATGAGGGCGTCGAGACCGCTACCGGGTGGACCGAGGAAAATGAGACGAGGAGGTGGAAGTGGGGAGTGGATGTAAGTTTGGGGTTCGGTTACAAAGGTTGTTTTGGCGTCTTCGGATGTGAGGTGGTAATATTGGCCCTGTGACATAAACAACAAAAACAGTTGTTGGCGTGGGCGTTAGAGAGATAGTGAGCATTTTGGTCAGGACTATTTGTTGATGTACCTGATATTTAACGGTGAAATTCCGATCACCTTTGACAAGGATACCTTGTTTCAACATGACGGGACAATAATCTTTTGTAGTTCCAAGTGGGATTTGAGCAGGGAGTTCTGCTTGCATTTTAGGTGTCAAAGGAACTAGAACAAAAAAAAAATCGGTTATAAAAGTCATTTTCTTGGTTTATTCAAAGTCCAAGAGCTTTATGGGTACCTGCTTTGGGCAAGAATGGGTCCATATGGCCCTGAATACTGCTTAGGACGGTCTGGATGCCGCGGTCGGCGGGGAGAGTAACGACATTGGACAAGGTTTTCGTCATGTTGGCTAAATCTTCACGGAATCCGTTGAAAAGGTTGTCAAAGTTGGGGTATGCAAGGATACTAGGTGCGTTAGGTGTCATCCCATTCGTCGTTGTGGAGGTGGTGACGGGCCGCCCAGTGATGGGATCAGACACAAAAGCCATCATACGCCCCCGCACTGTCTCATCATTAATGTCTGTTTAAAGTCAATAAGCGAGTCAATCTCAACATGTATCGTCACCATCTTTTGCCAATCAGTAAGTTGTTACCGTTTTCGAGAACGATGGTCCGATGCGGGTTGAGATCAGCTGCGATCATTGCGTTCATCTATTATGTATATGGATAGGTTTCCGCATGTTGAGCACACAAAAACAGTTCCGTGGCATGACCGGATCTAAACATACCTGGTCCATGGTCCGCGGGAATCCATCTAAAATCCATCCATTGTAGCGCTAAAACGTCCAAGAATAAACAAAATCGTTAATGGACATGAAATGCGTTTGTGGAGTGCGTTAAGCGGCATATTTTTACCTTTAATTCAAACGCTTTGGAAATGACGAGTTGAATCACTTGGACTTGAAGAGTGGGAGCAATCGTCTTGCCCAGTCGGCATTTTCGAAGAATCTTTAAATATCACAACAAGTCTTCAATCATACACTCGTAACATCAGTAACGTCAAAAGTATTTGTAAACGCACCTGTCCAAACACAGTTCCCCACACCTTGTTACCTTGCTCCTCACTCAAAGCACACCACTCGTCAAACACTTCATCCAAAGAAACGTGGACAAGACCGTACAAGTGAGCCAGGAGCTTGCTTTGCGTTGTTTTTCCCGAAAAGGGACCACCAAGGATGGAAATGTGGAGAGGCGATAGACGGGGTGGTGTGGAGAGGTATTTGGCGGGATTGGAGAGAAAAGCCTGGAGGTCCGTTTGTGAGGCGAAAAAGTAGATTTGGCCCTGTGGTAGTTGTTCCAACCAAAGAAAAACGAGAAAGGATGAACTTAGCCAACAACGTTTTTTGCATCTCCAATTGCTAGATGAAATCAAGATTTTTTTGCATACCTTGTAAGCAGCACAAAAATCAAACGACGACACTTGGACAAGCTGTCCGTTGTTGCGAGTGTACGTCACAGGACAGTATTTACCCCATATGCCCACCTCTCGTTTGGGTTCACCCTCCTCAAGCTGTGTTGAGCAAAAGATCTTGAATATTTCTTGGTCGGTCGTTCCCGCTATTAAAAGAAAAAAGAAAAGAAAAACATGTTGGAACAAACTGTTTCGTAGCTAGCTCATGCTTTGCTCCTCATGTTGCAGTCCTCTGCCGTCTCTCTATATATGCTCCCATCCAATGTACCTTTGAATCCACCGTCGGGGGGCGCGAGAGGTTTTGGCAAGACTGCTTTTGTAAAGACACCATATCCAAGGACATGCAATCGGTCCATTAGATTCTTGTACAAGACGGTGGGATGCTGGGTTGCATCGAGTTCAATGGTATGATTTGCATCAAAGTAATTGCGTTTAAAGTCGGCGAGAAGCGAATCGTATTGAGATACAGCTGCGAGGTGCGCCGTGACGGATTCGGGAGCATCTTCGGGGCGTTTGATGAGACGGTCTACAACGTCCATGGGGATGAGAGGCCATTGGACATTGGTGACGAGATCAGAGAGAGAAGTTTTAGGCTTTTTTGCTTCGCGACGCCTGTCGGTTTCTCCTTCTTCTTGCTGATCCTCATCATCCTCGCTATTCTCTTCGTCATCGTCATCATCATCCTCTTCTTCCTCGTCATCATGGTTCTTGCCACTCGATTCGCTTCCCCCTTCATTGTCCTCATCGTCATCCTCTTCATCGCCCTTGCCCTGTGCCCATCTTTCCCTTGAATGCACGACTTGGGGACCTGGATAGATGATCCCAGTCTCCATGTCAATCCACTGAGCCGCCCGACGCCGTATGAGGTCCTCATCCGATATATTGAGCTGAATCAAGACAGGAACATGGTGAGCGGGTCTCTTGTTCAAGAGGTCTGTAAGGAGGGACATGTCTTGTGCGGAATCTGTGAGATTTCCAGGTAATCCTTCGAGAACGTAGCCTTGAAAGTCTGTCTCTTGGGACGCTATCATGTCCTTGACAATGGCGATCAATGTTTCTGGAGCGACCGCACCGCCGGATGCGAGACAGGATTGAATTTCTTTATGCCATGGACTCGCTGTGTTTGAGAGTGCATGCAAAAGGAGGGATTCAGGAGAAATCCATTGAGCGTTGAGAGACGCTGCGAGGCGAGATGCCAGCGTCGTCTTTCCGGCGCCTGGTTTTCCTAGGATGAGGTAGCATGGGCGTGGAGCGATGGCGGTGGATGTGTCTGGGAGAGCTAGTGTCGAGAGAATCTCGTTGACTGTTCCCATCATAATGATGGATATCAATATGTGAAATCTAATGCATAAAACACATCAAGCTTTTGTGATCGCGGAGTTTTAAATTCCTGATTACAGACCACGATCATCCAATTTACATCCCTCACTTGGCTCTTTTTTCCATCATCATTAGCCGTGAAGATAATGCACTCATATACAAGGTATTCACCAGACTTGTTGTCATGGCCCCCATCATTGTTTGAATTGCCAACCCTTGGCAAAGAACGAGCAATTAAAGGTGATTGACGATTAAATTGGACCATATGGATAAAAACATTATTTCCAAGGCGAGCTGTCAACTCTTTGCAATCTCATATGCACAAATGCCGACCTTATTCTGAGGGAAGCAGTTGTGGTGGATAATAGTATAATACTCTGGCAATGTCCTCGTTCACCGTCACTCGCCAACATAAGAAACATTAATCATACTCATTCATTGTTACAGCTACAGCTTGAGCATTTCTCACACTCACCTACATCTCTTTTGCGCCTACCTTTACTTGAGGATTTACCAGCTTAGCGACCACATTTACTGGAAGGTACCTCTCGCAGTATCACATCACCCTTTGCGATGGCCGCTAGAAGATAACGGCGAAATTCTTCTGGCGGTGCTCCCCAAGGCGGTGCGTCTCTGTTGAATTTTCGCAATCCTTCAGTAAGTGCCCACAGATCTCCATTGGGACGTGTCGAGGAAGAGACGGGTTTTTGTTCTTCCGCCACTGAAGCTTGTGCTGCTGCTGACACTGGTTGCTGTTCTCCGGCCATTGGATATGGTGCTGCTGCTTGTGGCGGCAATGCGCACACTGGAGCTGGTGGTGTAGCTTCTTGTGGTGCTGTGGGGTCGGTTTGCGTATACTTTGACACGTTTGATCCGTGTACAGGCAGACCACGACGAGAGCGCTGTTTGCGAGCTTTAAATTTGGGAGGATCTTTGCACTATCATAATGAAAAACAATGTTACAAAGTCTCCAAAAAAGTGCTCTTGGTCTTTGCAAGTGGAACTCACTTCTCGCAGTATTACATCACCCTTTGCGATAGCTTCTTGTAGGTAACGGCGAAATTCTTCTGGCGGTGCTCCCCAAGGCGGAGCGCCCCTGTTGAACTTTCGTAGCCCTTCAGTAAGTCTCCAAAGATCTCCTTGGGGATGTGTCGCAGGTTTTTGTTCTCTGCAATCGTAGTTTCTCGTGCTGCTGGCCCTGACGACACGGGACCTTTTCCTTTCCCTGCTGGTGCTGGAGAGCGGTGGGTTTGCGCATGCATGGACTCGACTTGCGCACGCAGGGACTCGGGTTGCGTATTCATCAAATCGGGCTGCGGTTTGATCGACATTGTGGGATGGTAGAAGCGAAAGCAATATGCGAGCTTTTTATATCCCGCTATCCTTTTGGCTTTGTTGACATGGAAGGAAATCCCAATTGTTTTTATTTGATTATTGATGTTTAAGTGGATGGAATTACAATACATCCGGTTGGATTTGTAGATTGTAGGTCAGTTGCTGCCTTTTTGTTAATGTGAAGTGTTTCCTTTTTTCCTCGTCGTTATTTTTGGGATATTGGCCTTTCGACATTAGGAGTTTTGGATACGTTTTGGAGTTAACATTGTGATGGTGCAGGTAATCTGTTTTTTAGTGGCTTGACGATGCTATTAGAACATCTGGACTGATTTTTATCTATGATTTATAGCTGCTGTAGCTGCTGTTTTGTAGGGCAACACGGACTTGTCGTCGTTGATCCTTCATTTGATCTTTGTTTCTTGATCTGCCTCCTTGTCGAAAGAGGGGATATCTGCTAAAAGGTCAGCTTTACCTCTTGTCGCGGACACAAGCAGAACATCAAAAATAGAACGCAGACTCTAATTAGATCCACTTGGTCAATATTCTTCCCATTCCTTGTCAACAAGGGGGATATAAAAGGTTTCGCGCACATCGTTTTCCACCCTCATTCTGCCTTTGCTACGTTTATGCCGCATTAAGCGTTCCTGCATCTGCCTTTAATATGTACGCCGCTTGACTGCCATTAGCGTTCCAAAATTCTGCTGTGCTTTCCTATGTACGATTCTACAATGTCGATGCATGCGCAACCCGATTACATGCATGCGCAACCCCACTGCTCTTTGGCACAAGCAGTATTGGCAGAGGAACAGGAACCCATCTCTTCAGCACCTACCGATAAAGATATTTGGACACTTATTGGATAATTGAACCACATCATAGTGCTGTTTTCATAGATCCAGTTGCAGCGCCGACTTTTCGTCGTCGTCGTCATCATCGTTGATTCATCATCATTTGTCGACTCTTCATTCCACAGCGAACAAAGGGTGTAGATCGCTGCCCAAATCCTACAATGTGAGTTCACGCAGGGCCAATGTTTATTCTCATGAGAGTGCCAAGAGTCCTCCCAAATTTAAAGCTCGTAAAAATGGACACGAAACCGTTCTCCCAATGGTAAGTAACCCCGGGAAGCATCACACATATACAGTAAATTCTAGAAATTTCAATTGATATACGACGTATCTGCCATCTCATTGTCGTCATCCACTGGAAACTGTTATGAATGATGAATCTGCATAGTTTTTTAATGCATAATTCCAATCTGATGTGCATAAGTGTGCTTTTGTGGGGTTGCCTGCGCATCACGGGGACAGGTGGTTCGAATGGAATTACAAGTGTGACATGAAGCCAAGTACGAAATCAAACCAGTGCTGTGCTTGTTGCCTGGCGCTTGGAACACTGCGGACTATCTTTGGGTTTTGGGAGGTTTAACGGATATGGGCATTGGTGGCATTGGGCATTGGGAGCCATAGTCTTGCGAATCGTCCAGCCATAGTCTTGATGCTATGGGCATTGCCATTCGTACGCAGCCACGCAGCACATGAGCAGCCATGGTTGTTTAGCCATAGGCAAAAAGAGGGACCAAAATGTTGCATGGCATGTCTCATATCGACAAATGTGACGACCAAGTTTTTTGGGACATTTTGGGATGTGTGTGTGTGTGTGTAGATATGGGTGACAAGAAATAAAGTTTTGGTCGCTTGCTCCAAACAAAACGTGTTTAGTCGAGAAGACCCGCGCGCGAGGGCTTTTTGTCCTTCCGTTGTCCTTCCATTGCGTTTTCCTCGTTTGTCGTCCTAATCGTCCTAATCGTCGTTTGTCGATTGTTGATCGGTTGGGGCGGGCATTAATTTGTTAATAAAAAGCAACACAAAAAATAACTCGAGCAAATTGGAAAGTGTGCTTTAACGAGACGAGTAAATCTCTGGTCTCACTGTAACATAAAAGCTCGTGCAAGTGGAAGGGACATTTTCCAACTTTGGTTGTTTTGCTCCAATTGGCATTTCTGGCTCAAGGCACATTAATGATAATAATAATGTTAATACTGCTATTGCTTGCTGTTGACTCCAACTTTTACACACACACACACACAAGGCGACGAGCAAACGGCAAGAGATCCAGGAAGGAAAAAGGTGTTTTCAATAAAAGACAACGAAAGGGAGGGTCACAAATAAAATCAATAATCTCCCTCCCTCCCCCTTCGTTGTGCTCTTTCGTCCAACGAAACCTTTTTGGTCCCGCGCTTGGATTGCTCGCGTGTTCTTCCTCCTTCTCTTCTCCTCGGCTCTCCTCTCGTCCCCCTGGCACAATTTCCAAAATCTTGACCCCTTTCGATTTTCCAACCGGGACTTTTGTCATTCTACTCTCCCGTGCTTTTCCATTTGTGAACGACGAACGACGACGACGACGAACGAGACGTAAAAAACAACCTTTGGAGACGATCTGAAAAGTGTCTTGTTTGCGCGCGCTTGCTCAGGAGGGTTCATCGGCTTGCTTTGCCCTGGCACACCTTTATACCATTCCATCTTTTTTTTTTTTTGTTTTCTCGTTTAGCTCTTTGACTTGATCCTATTCCTCTCCCCTTCGCCCTCGCCTGCAATTCATTCTCTCCTTTTGCCCTCATCATCATCATCATCATCATCATCTCGGTTGGGAGTGCCTCGACCCGCTCCATTTCACGATCTGCACTGCCCCCCCAAAAAGTGCTTTTCGCTCACTCCACACACAGACATCATCATCATCATCACCTCCTCCTCCTCTTCCTCCTCTTTCTTGCCCTTTACCCCCTGGCGTTTTTTTTTTTTTTTTTTGAAAAAGAGAACGGGCGCGTTCGCTGTGCTTTTGGGGGGGTTTTCGTCATCTCTTATTTTTTTTTATGACTTGCGGGAGGACGAGGCTCGGTCGACTAAAGTTGCATTGCTGCTATTGCGAGATTTATTGAAATGTGTGTATTTTATCAAGAAGCTTTCTTGTCTTGAAGCGTTCATTGTTTATTCATCTTGAACATCTCGTAAAAGCGTTCAAGAACAAGAAACACTTCTATCGCAAGCCCTGAAGAAACAAAAAGGCGGCTTCAAAGCGTCCCTTTCCTGCCCTGTTTTTCTTTCATTTACAAGACGCTTGTTTGGCTGGCTGGTCGTCTTTCACGCCCTCCTCGTTCTTCTGCGCCCACTTGAGTTCGACAAACCCCCACCACCGACCATCACCCCCAAACGATCGCACCTGAACACTATCTTCCTCACACTACCGGCAACGCATCCTGCCATCTTTTTTTTTTTTTTATTATTTTTTGGATTGTGGAGAGTAGGTGTGGGGGCTTGCCCGAAACCTGGTTTTTTTTTTTTGGCAAGACGCTTTTTTATTCGTTTATTTGCCTGGAGGGTTAACCCTTTTTTTCAGTCATTCCCCTTCCGTACTCGGGTACGTATCTTTGCTGGGCGTTGTCCATGGCTTTTGCAGTTGCAGCTCACGCTACTTTTTTTTTTTTTTTTTCATTAGGCAACCCTGTTGAACTCTAGAGATTTAATGGCAACAGGGACCGTTGTCGTCGTCGTTTCTTTCATTTGACCCCCCTTTCTTGATCTTGGCCCCCCCTTCCTCCTTCTTTGATGGGGGGATACCCGCAAATCGAACAAGGTCTGCTTGTGTTTTTGGGGACAGCTCCGTAGCAAGAAAAGCCAACAAGAACGAAATAAACCCTTTGGTATCGTCCTCCGGTAAGCAGCCGATCCCTGCTGCGTACTTTGGACAAGGCCAAAACAAAAAGAACACTTTTCGACCTCGCAATCGCATTCTCTCTCTCTCGTCTAGTCCCTGGCGTTTTTTTAAAAGAAAAACCCTTCAAGGTCGACACCGAATACTTTATTCTTCCTCGCTACCACACGCACGCACGCACGCACGCACATTGCGTAAAGGTTCCAAAGCGAGGTGCCTTTTTGCCTTTTGGGCACGCTGTCTACCGTTTGGGCTATTCCAGGGAAACCAACCACATCTGCAAACAACCAAGAGATCCCGTACCAGATTTCCCTGCAAGGTACCTCCAACCTTTTTGCGCTGGTCGGCATCCCTTTCGGCTTTTTTTCAAACGACCCAAGCCAAACAAACAAAAAAAAATAACAAGATCTGACTTGCAGCAGTTGCATCTTGGGGAGGGTCTCGTTTCCTTTGCAACTTTTTTGGGTGGTTATATTTTTGTTTTGACGGGCGGAGAGACTTGACAGTCCCTCTCGAGAAGAACGGTCCACCTCTTGCGCGCGCGACCTTTTACGCCTTGCTTCTTTTTGTTGAATGTTGGACGACGACGACGGATTGACTTGAATTTACCGGTACGTTTTTTCTTTTGCTATTGTCCACCAAACCCCGTTTGCTGCGCAAAAAGAAGCGAGGCGTTTAAACAAGGTCATTCGCGTCACGACCAGGAACACCTTCTACACCCCGCTGCCCTCCCTCACTTGACCCCCCCTACCCCAAACCAACAACAAGAGCCTTTCAGGTTCAAAACGGGCGCTAAACCCAAACCCCTCCTATACCACACCACCAACACCCACCCACCCACCGACGCTTTATTAAAAAAAAATTATGTCGGCACCTTCTTCTCGTGAGGAAACTGGCAACATGCCGCCCATCTCGGCCTTTATCGACGATAACCGCCGAAAACCTCAACCGGATCCATCGTATATTCTCCCTCCTCCCACCGATTACGGCGCCCATGCATATAGCCAACAGCAGCAACAGCAGCAACAACAACCACAACAACAACAGTCATCACAACCAACCTACCCCCCACAACCCCCTCGCGCGTTTTACCCCCATGCCCAAGCCCAGCATTACGTTCAAGCGGATTTGCAGGCATGGCAACCTCCACCACCTTACCCCCCCGCTCACGGTCCCGCTCAACCTTCTTCGTATTCAACGTTAAACAGTGAAGACATGTTGCATTACCCTCCAACTCTATCGGAATCGCGGCATAGCGGTATGAGCCATCACCACCATCATCCGCAACAAGCGCAACAAGCTCAACAACAAGCAACACCCCAACAGCAACCACCACCACCGCACCAACAGCAGCAGCAGCAGCAACAGCAACATACCCATCCAGCGCATCCCGATTATGCTCACGACCGCCCGTCGACGGGAACGGCATCGTCCCATTCTCGCTCGACATCTGCACCTCCTGGTGGACTCGTTATTGGGTCTGGCCCACATCAACAAGCAAGTGTCCGCCCGAGCGGTCCTGCGCACGGTCAGTCCTCATCAACGGGTGGACGCGGCGGGCGAGGTGGAAAGGCGGATAAAGGTACCCGGAAATTCGTGTGTCAAGTGGAAAACTGTGGGCGGTCCTTCAATACATCGTAAGTTTTTCATGCTTTTATTGTGGCATATTCTTGTTTTTCTTATGTATGCTGCACACTCTTTAGAGGACACTTGGCTCGCCATGTGAAAATCCACAGCGGGGAGAAACCCTACAATTGCCCCATACCCGGCTGTGCGTCCCGGTTTTCCCGGCACGACAATATGCTCCAGCACTACCGGGCCCACATGCGCAAACTCCAATGGGCTGCTCCACCTCCGGGCGTTATCCCTCCCGTCCCGATGAGCCCCGGCCGGCGTCCACCCGGACCTAGCACACCCTACGTGAGCGAACCGTACATGATGCGCACCCAAGCATTTGCACAGCAGCAGCAGCAGCAGCAACCACCGCAAGCGCAACCCCAACCTCAACAACAAACTCCCTACACGGATCTCTCTGTTCCCAGTGAAACCCTCTCCGTGGAGCCCTACCCACGAGGAACAGACCTGTTGGGCCGCCGCATGTCCATGCCCTCCATCCCTCAACGTCCCATCACCCCCTACGCCCGCGCAGCCGAAAGCAACCCGCAAGACTACTCACCACGTCAAGACGCACGCTACGTGGACCAACAGTACATGGACCGCATGTACACTGGCTCCGAATACGTCCGCGGGCGATCCTTATCCTTGACGCACTTGAACCGCTATTCCCCTTATTTCACACCACAGCCTCCTGAAGGTGTCTGGGCGTACCATTATGATACCAGTATGCGGTACCCGCCCGTACAACCCCCCCAACAACCTCCTCAACAACCCCAACAAACACTTTCACAACAACCTCAACAACAACAACAAATGCAGCAGCGGTACACGCCCTACAATTATGACGCCCGTCGCAAGTCCCCCACATTACCCCTCTTGCGCTCTCTTGCCCAATTTGAGGAAAAGGATGCAAGTACCCCTGGTGCAACGACGGGCGAAGCGCCGGTCCTTACGGCTGGATTTGCGTATTATCCTACCGCTCCTGCGTACTCTGGGGGAATGGTTGGAGAGAAAAAGGATAAGGAGGAGGATAAGAAGGAGGTTTGTGAGTGTGGGTAGTGTTTTCGTTTGAGCAATGTGTTTATGTGAGGGATCGAGTGGTGGGAGATGGATGATGAACAGTTTTTTGATTTTTTGTTGTTGTTTTTTTGTTTTGGTTGCGGGGTTCTTGTGTGTTTTTTCTTTTTCTTTCTTGTTTAATACAGGGGTTTTCTTTTTCTTTTTGGGTTGTGCATATGGATGGTGTGTGTGTGTGTTTTTTTTTTTAAAAGAGCTAGTTTGAGGGGGTTTGAAGGATGTATGCCGTGTTGTTTGAGTGGGTTCTTGTTTTTTGTATATTTGGTTGGAGATTTGGAAGGATTTGGTGGACGGTTGGTTTTTTTTTTTTTTTTTGGCAGAGGGGAGGGGTCGCTTGCTTTTTGTTATCTCTTTTTTTTTTTTTATACGAATGTGACTTGATTGACTTATTGTTTGGCTTTTGGAACAACTTGGTGGGCTTAAGGCGCCGTATTGCCATATTGAACACTAGAGTGTTACTTTTTTAATTACTGGTCTCTATGCTTGACAATAAACTCTGCGTTTGCATCCGAGCTCCATACTGTTGTTAAACTTGCGCATTTTCAAAAAGTGTTCATGTTTGGGAGGAGGAGGTGTTTTATAACGTATTTGAAGCTTTGGCGAAATGCACGAGGGGAGAGCCCAAAGAGCGGGCAGAAGTAGGAGATTTTGCTTTTAAACTCCCCCCAGCCTTTCCCCGCCGTCCCCCGTCTATTTTTTGTCAGCTCAGCCTTTCAGCTCAGCTTCAGCCAGCAAACTTGCTCTTCCTGAATCAGATTTAGAGTACTTTAAGACCTGGGTTGGTTGTTTTGGGTGCCCGTTGTATGTGGAAAGGCAACGCCCGTTTTTCAGCCGCTGAACAACTGCACCGTACCGTCAAGGTAGGCTTTTGCTAACCGTTCTCAACATTCTCTCCTCGTCTCTGGGTTGTACTTGCCATTGATCCATCGTCAAAGGCTGGTCAACTCCACTCTACCTTAACCCAAAGTCAACAACAACACAAAAATACGGTTTATCCCAAATGCCCACCCTCCTCGTCTTCCTCACCATCACCCTCTTTCTCTTTCACGTCTTTTCCTCGCTCCCACTTGTCCTCCCCCTCATTTTTCTCACGCTCGCACTCGCTCAGTACACAATAACCCACCTCTACACATCCCACCTCCAAAAAACAACAATCCTAACTGACATCCAATACTTGACGACACCACCACCACGCGGTAGGAAAGGCACTGCGATTGTAGTTGGAGGGTCCATCGCAGGACTCATCACCTCTGCTGTGCTATTGAACCATTTTGATCGAGTGGTGGTGTTGGAGAGTGAGGAGATTGGTCAGAATGGGGATGGAAAAGAAGAACGGAAACATGTTCCGCATGGGCGGCTTGCGCATGTGTTGTTACCGTTGGGATTGAAGGTTGTTAAAACGTTGTTTCCTGGGTTGGAAAATGGCAAGTTGCAGTTTGTTGTTTTTTCCCCATTTTTTTATATTGGTTTTGCGTATTGCTTTGTTAACGAGCATTCTCGTTTTTAACGTTTAGATCTTTTGGAACGAGGGGGCATACCTACCCAACTCTCTGCCCAATATCAACACATTTACGGAGGGTAAACGCCCCAACAAGAACCAGAATCCATACAGTATTTCACATTAACCAACATATTTCTATCATAGTCTGATCAAACAAACCCCATACGTCCCAGACACGGCCATCATCCTCACCTCCCGCCCTCTCCTCGAATCCACCATCCGTCACCAACTCCTTTTATCCGATCGCATCGAGTTTCGGTCTGGGACGGTTGTAACGGGGTTGGTGGTTCAAGAAGGGGATGTGAGAGGTGTCAAGGTTTTTGATGGGGAGAACAAGGCGGGGGTTGTGGAGGGGGTTGTGGTTGTTGATGCTACTGGGAGGAGTGCGAGAGGTTTGTAAACGAGTTTTCTTTTTGTGGGTTTTTTGGTTGGGATTTTTCTCATTTTTTGTTCTTGCCATTCTACTGTTTTGCTCTCTTTTACTTTTTGTTCTTACTGGTCGTCACCCTTTCTCACCTTACGCATGCCGTCTTTGCAACCCACTTTTTTCACAACGATTACGATTCAACACACTAGGAATCAAATGGCTCCAATCCCTCTCATACCCAACACCCCCAACAACATCCTACGACCCCCACCAACAATACACATGCGCCCGCTTCAAAACCCACTCCGACCTGCCCAGCCTAGTCTTTAACGTTGGTTTCCCGGGCAAACGCCACGAAACCTTTGCCATCTTCCGCGTTGAAAACAATGAATGCATCCTTGGATCCATGTCGACGGGGAATCCCCATCCGATTGCACCTCGCTCCGATGAAGCGATGCGAGATTGGATGTTGGCGAGTGATTGTCCGGAATTGAATACCACCATGTTTGAGAGGGTTGGTGAACGGGTTTCTGAGTGGTTTTCTTGGAAGTTTCCGGGGAGTCGGTGGGTGAGGTATGAAGAGGTTGACCTTCCTGGAGGGTTTGTAGCGGTTGGTGATGCAGTTTGTAGGTAAGAGAAAAAAAAAAGACATGGACAAACGTAACCAGTTTTGTTTTTGCTCACCTCTTTTTTTTTTCTGGCCGTAACCTTTTTAGTTTTAACCCAAGTAAGTCACAATATAAATTCCCTACTTTAAATGCAAAGGACCTTACACCACTCTTGCTGTTTTCTCAGTCTACGGCCAAGGCATGACCGCCGCCGCCATCGCCGCAACAACCCTCGACGCAACCCTCCGCAAAACAACCTCACTTAAATCCCTCCCAAAAACCTACCACACCCTCCTCGCACACCGTCTAGAACCCATCTGGGACACGAACGAATCCAACGATATCCGATTCAAAGCCGTTACGCCTTCCTCGCCATTAGATTCCCATCGTGTCCGTCTTGAACGCTCTGGACGGGTTTTTGAATTGTTGGTGTACGCGGCGCAGGAGGATGCGGCTGCTTCGGGGTGTCTTTTGAGGTTGATGTCTATGGTTGCTGGACAGGCGGAGATGCTTGAGTGGAGGGTTTTGTGGGCTATTGCAAAGGTTGCTTGGAGGCGGTATTGGGAGTAGATAGCGAGTGAACGCATGGTGAGGTACGTGAGGAGAATAGTAGAGTGGTTTCGGTGAGGTTGGATAGATATCATTGAGTGTTTTATATCCAGAGTTTTCTTTATACCGTGTCAGGGATTGGGTATCTCGTCTTTTGTCTACAGAAACAATTCAAAAGGATGGATACAGATTGTATCGGAAAGAGTGCATACTGTCATTATGGATAAGGAAAGCAGAGCCTTTCCAGATATTTACGTGCACAAGGCCGGAAACCCCGCACAGTAAACATTCGTTACATTGGTCAGTGTTGCGAGTATGAGCAATCTGTTATCTGAGAGCGGACCAAGTAGCATATAACGCGGGGATGATCAATACGAACAAGGAACCAACTCCCATTGCCAGCAAAGTAATGCACCTTTGCGCAAAAAGAAGGTTAACGTAGCGTCACTGCGTCCAACCAAAAGACAAACGACACCCATTACCCCTCAACTGATGATAAATTGGTTCTTGTATGCCCCCGCTTACCAATAAAAAAGCCCGACGAAAAGGTTGATCCTAATCGAAGCACCACTACATCTCTCCTTTCCCAATCGCCAGACAGTTATCTCAGGCACAAACTCTATAGCCGGTATAGTGGACAACTTTTTCCCGCACTCTTCTCATTCTACAAGCCGCTGATAGGAGAGGGTGTTTGTTACGGTATCTGCCCACATTGAGGGCGGAGATGCACACACTTTTTGTGTGCTTTAAGTGATGGCGAATGAATCTAGCAAGGTGTGAATCCATAGTGGAGTATAGGGCGCTGTAAAGGTGTAGAGGTTTTGTGAGATTGCTTGAATGGAATCGTTTTGCCGTACATGTGGTGCTGGTTTATCTGACTTGCTTTGTTCATGTGCTCTTGTTGGTACTTGTCGTGCGTACTGTTCTCAAAAGATGTTGGAAATGATTATTGATTCGTGATCAAGTTGATAAAGGGAACAAAGATAGGTTTTTTGTTGAGGGTGATCGAGGTGGGATGGATATATCAAAAGTTGGGTATTTGGATGTAAAGAAAAAAAAGGATACAAGTATATGCCATGGCAGTAGTAAATTGCCAGGCATATACAATGCAGGAGTGGTCATGCAAAAATCAAAAGTCGAGTCTGCATACAATTCAAAAGCAAGGAAACGACCCAATGAACTAGCAAATATTAGGATAACTGGCAACCAAAGAAAAAAAAAGGAGATTCTCCCCGCCGATCACCATCCGCCCAAAAAGCACTTGTAGAGCGCCAGTTGAAAAGCAGCTGAGCAGCCACGTCTCCCAGGTTTAACACAACACTCGATAACTTGCTTGTTCCATGAACCTTTAACCAGCATATTAGCAGCAAAGATCTGTTGGTTCATCCGTTTAAACTGTAACGAGTGTGACAAGGCATCCCGCTTTTTATGTCATTTTCCACTCCTCGGGGGGGAGCATCAAGTGTTTTTTTGCTTCTTGAGATGCGACGATGAATCGGCAAGCAGCAAAACAAGTTCCCTTTTGGTATGATTTCTTTGGCAGCCTTCTCCTTTTTTGTGACATGACGCAAGGTTGAAAGGCAACAGGGGCTTTTTTTTTTGAGTGATAACAACAAGCTTGGATTGCACATGAGCAATTCTCCGTCCACGTTGAGTCTCCTCGAGTGCGGGATATATATTGCAAGTAGAGGGTCGTTCATCCTTTGGCCTCCCCCCAAACCCCCAGGTTTTTTACCTCGACCAATACCTATACTAGTAATGGTTTTCATTCGATTTTGGAAGTATCCGTCTGTAGATCAACTGGCTCGTAAGGAGTTTGATCTCGATAGCGTTATTGCTGGTAAGCAGTTTTTTTTGCTGGTGCGGCAGAGATACGCAAATCCCTAAATGGTGCTCATCTTGCAAAACCTTGCATTGTTGCTGATATAGGAAAGACATATGATCCAATCGGATTGAAAGATTTAAACAGCTACTGCCGTTTCGTGGAGCATTCTTCAGAGAACCTACACTTTTATCTGTGGTTCCTGGATTACCGGGCTCGCTTTAATGCGCTGCCTGAAGGACAAAGTTGTCTTTCTGCCCCAACGACAGTAAAGGAGACTGACGAAAAGTCCAATGCCGCATTCGAGGCCACGGAACATACACTGTCCATCTATCCTCTTCACAGTGAGATAAGAGTCGTAAGCTGTCCCTTAACTAGCATGTACAACCTTATGGTGTCACCCGACTGACGATGGAAATGTCGGAACACAGGGGAAAGATGAATACGCCAAACCGCCTTCGTTGACTGGCACTGATGCCTGGCTTTTGGACCCAAGCGCCGACACCAAAGCAGCAACAGAAACGCTCTTTTTGTCTCGCTCTCCGAAAGCCAAACTCCAACCTTTTCGGCGGGAAGTAGATCGAGCCATCTCCACGTTTATACTCACCACATCCCCCCGTGAACTCAACTTGCCGGGTCGTATCCGAACCGCTCTGATGGAAGCCGCAGAAGAAACGACTCACCCATCGGTATTTGAGCCCGCCGCACAGCACATCCGTACCCTCCTCTCCACAACAACGTATCCCAATTTTCTAAAATACGCATGCTGTAACGCCAATTACCCGCGCATGGTGTTTGCAGTGACGCTGACAACCACATTGATGCTTGCGGGTTTGTTTACCGGTATCTGGACGGTTATGACGGGTATGCCACGAGCCTACCGACTCTTTGCTGTCCTCTTTTTCTTTTTGGGTGCTTTGATTGGCGGGTTTAGAGCTGGATGTATTTGTATATACCGTGAGTCCTTGAAGCCATTTTAGCATTTGTCAGAGATACATTTCCGCTGACATACTATACTAGTGTTTGGATGTCGACGACAAGTACGCCCTGACGAGATGTGGGCCGATGGTACCTGCCGAATCAAACGTCCTCGATTATGGTGTCTTCGTATCTTTGAAAAGGAAGTGCGGGTTGAAGAGGGCCGGTTACGGCGGATTTGTGATCGGGTCTTTGTTAATGTTTGTTTTCCACCCGTTTATGCGTCCCTTCTGGGCCCCTTTATTGTTGTATTTACTCTGCCGTTTTTTTTTTTTTTTCGATAGGCATTGATAGGTGCCATTACCTTTGCGGGCTTGATGGCCGCGATTTTCTTGAGTTTGCCGAAAGGACACTATTGACTTGCATAAACACTTGGATCGACTGTAGCGCACAACAATATATGGATCGGATGTGTAGATATTCATTAGTGTAGTTTTCGTATCATAGCTGGATAGTATTCGTAGGTTAGTAGCTGTGGTGAGGATTGCTTTTGCACCGTATGTAAACATGTATATCGAGTAATACAGTTCGGAGTTGGTCCATTTCTTGAACATGTAACATTTCAACAACTTTGTTCTACGCAAATTGGGGCAATCTCACCTATTGCCGCAACGGCTATACCGACAGAAATCATTCATGTATCTCCAGTGGTTGACAGCTGCCTTATCCGAAGGTACTGAGACAAAGACTCTCGGAACTGGTACCCACATGTTCATGAGACGGTGTTGCCTGCTCAATCGACACAAATGTAATGAGAGTTCAAAAAATGGTGCATTTATCGCAGAGATTCAGTACGACGGTCTCGATGACCCACTTGAAATGTCATCCAAACTTACCATTATGTGCTTTTGTAGTGTCGTGCATACGCTTGCCATTGAGCAGTATCCCATTTTTGATGAACTGTGTATTTGAATACTTTCATTCTCTTAGCCTCTTAGGATTCCCTAGATCATAGATAGTCATCGGTACGCCAATTTCCACGGACCTACTCTGCGCACTTTAGAATTGTTTGAGAGAGTGGAAGTCAAGGCCTGTTAGCGGTCAATACAGAGTTGCAGTCCTTATGATTACTTCTTCAAGTCGGACTTTGCCATTGGTGGCAGTTATTCGTACGGGTTTGCTCCAAGCAGAACCTTTGATCGCCAAGCTTCCAATTCATTGGATTTTCAACGAAGCGGCTCTAACATGTTTTCTTCGGATCCTTCAAGTCTGACCCTTTCGGGGTTTTTGTAATGAATACTCAGAGTCCTTTGGGCAAATACACGCCAGCGCTTGCCTAACGGTAAAATGCGGACTACTCGATAGACTATTTTGAGATAAGCACATGTCATGCAATTTGTGAGTTGGTCAACATTGGTTTATCTACAAAGACAGTCCAACATGCGTACACACACACACACACGATATAGCGTTATGAGCACACGGTGCCATAGGGACCAGTGCTTGACCGCTGACTTTCTAAAGTGAACAGTTTTTCGAGCTTGAGCGGCGGGGCGGGGGGGGGGGGCTGAACATCCGTCACTATCGATAGTTAAAGTTTGACCAATTGGTTGCTTTTCGACATAGTCCGAGTTCTTGTAAGCTTTTGTTTTTAATTCCAGAAAAGGACACTTTTTCATCAATGGGTTACTATCGAGTAGCGCCATTAATTAACTCAGCTTAAAAACCTTAAACTGTTCTTCTATGGATGGTAAAGTGTTATGATTTTGACTGGCCTGCGCAGCTTGTGTTGGAGTAACCCACAGTCCAACTCTTCACATGTTGACGCCTCTAAAGGAAGGAAAAGAAAAAGCAATTTACCGTCATTTCGATTTCCTACAGTTGACATATTTACTTTGCAGCAAACCTCTTCACCATTCGATCAAACCTCGATCAACAAGCTCACAAGTAGTACTCGGTTAACGACAATGCTTTTTTTGCTTCTGTTCTTGATATTATCTACTCTGGCTGTTTCCCATGTGAGATCGGCCTGTGAGTGTGGTTACATTGACGAGAACGGTAACAGCTGGATGGATGCCTTGGTTCTTCCTTTCAACAAAATCAACGAATACAATGAACATCCAGACGTTTATTTGAATGACTACGTTCATGGCAAAGCGTTTGGTAACTACAGTTACCATCTCGACCCAAAGAACGTTGCTCGAGACGAAAACGGAGACCTCTTATTGTGGACTCGTCCTCCGGTTGGCGGTGTCGTTCCTTCCTCTCAACTATCGACTCGACGCAGCGATTTCCTTTTAGGAACTTATCGCTCTTTGATTTCCTTTCCGCGTTTGCCGGGTTCTTGTGCTGGTTTCTTTTACTATTACAACGATTCTCAAGAGATCGACATTGAATATCTGGGTCAGAAAAGCGATATGCTTTACGTTTCAAGTAAAACCATTCCACTCCCAGATTACAAAGCCAGCACTTGGGAGAACGTTCCTGTCAGCAAAGGAAGTTTGGAAGACAAATTCATCAATTACCGTTTCGATTGGCTTCCTGATCGAGTCGATTTTTACATGGATGATAAAAGGGTTTCAACACTACCTGCCTCACCCAGCATGCCAGGGAAGGTTATGTTGATGCATTGGTCCAGTGGCGATGAGAATTGGAGCGGTACCCCACATGCAGACATTGTTAGCAAATTCAGGAATGTTGCGGCTTTTTTCAACTCCACAAGTCCTACCATCAAGAGAAATTACGATACTTTGTGTCAGGCTCACCGGCAAGAATCTACAGCGCTGTGCAAAGTTGCTAATTTCTCGACTACCGACCTTTATGGATATAACGAAAACGTCATTCGCCTTTCGGCGTCGAGTACTGATGAAACGTCCTCAGCTGTGAGGACCTCACCTTCAATCGACGCAACATGGGTTTCCCTTGTGGCCTGCATAGTGGTTGTCGTCATGTATGTAAGCTAGACATTCACCATACGGGAAGAATCTCTCTTTTATTAATGGGAAAAAATACGTCAACGTTGAATGACAAAGGGGGAGCGGAGGTAAGTTCGAAGCCGTCGGAGGAGTGCGATAAAATATCTACGTCCTTACAATCTTGTGACTTTGTCGGCAAAGGAGCGTTTGGTAGTGTTGTTAACGATTTCAAACAACATGTAATCAAAACGATACCATTTACACAAATGGTTGACGAATATGCCATTTCTGTATGGCCGAATCGAGTTGCAAAATAAAGTAGATATAGCTGGAAATCATTGGTTTCCGTGGATTGGGACCGAAAGTCATAGGCGCTTGGATTTGTAACGGAATATAAATTATATAGTCATGATAAAAATTGGAGGGAATAACACACAAAAGAGTTCCTCGAAAGCTATAACCTCACCTAAAGAATAGAAACCTACTAGACCATGGAGTCTCCGAAATGAATTCGTTAGGAATTGACCATAGAGACCTTCGTACAGGGAATGTAATTGTGGAAAGGCATCGACTTCAAATTTATAGATTTAGGCGAAGCGAAAATGGTTTTGTTGACTGACGAACCCTCCTTAGATACTGAGAGTTTACACGACGCAATACAATATCGACTCGAGAATCTTTAACCTTTTTTTGAAATCACACTCACATCGATATTATCAGTCTGACTGTTGACACCATTGTGTCACATACCTCCTATCATCCTCATTTAACCTCACATTTCTCATGCTACCCTTTTGAAAACTGGCAAGTATCCGTAATCTTTATGAGCACAAGGTGCAAAGAGGACTAGTGCTTGACCGCTGACTTTAAATGAACAGTTTTCGAGCTTTATGGACCAACAAGGTTGATACAGAACAACATAATAATAATATTCACCGGTTAAAGACAATAAAAGGCAACTGCCGATATTTATCTCGTTTCATACACATTGTGCCCAACTTGTTCTATTCGAAATTCCCGCGATCCCTTCTCCTTCACCAACCAATACCTATCCAACTTGTATGTATCGTACATACTCGCTGCCAACGTCATAGCCTTGATATGGCTGGGTTTATGCGTTGCTTTCTTGGCAAACTCCCGATTGGCCCATACACACATGGCGAGGCACTCTCGCCGATGATTCAGATCCCCATACCAATACTTTAGAATGCCACCACTTTGCCTTGCTTCCTCGTGTGCCAGCCGGTCCGCTTCATACAATGCACCGTGGTCGGCATCAGGGTGTCGAATACTTCTAAAGACGACCAAGTACCATCTGCCAGATAGATCTGGATCTAGGGACGCTGCAATGGCGTTCCAGTTGAAAGCATCCTCGAGCGGAATGGTTCGGTAGTCCACATGGAGGGAATCGAGGTTATGGAGGGCTTTCTCGAGAGCAATATCGGCAGATGTTATTGTAAGATGGTCGTAGCTTGAGGACGTCTTATTGGTATCGCTGCCGACGATGGAGCTTGCTGCATGGCGAGGAGAGGCGACTACGACGGGGGGTGCCATGATAGGATGGAGAATAAACTCGTAAACGGGTCAGCTATCTTTTTGGGCATATTTCAATTGCTTGGTCTTATATAAATGTCAGGTTGGGGGTGAACTGCCAATGCAAAACTCATCGCGCAATCCAATTGTGCAATCGGGAATACTGATTATGTGATCACATTTGGGGTGTTGCATAAGCACATCACTTTGAATGACAGCGGCAAATGCAGGCCATTACGAATCTTTTTGCACGGCCATTTGTCTTTTTAGCATCCGTTTTTATTTTGTCAAAATGTGGTCACTATGATGGATGCGGCGAATGCAAATGGTAGTGTGGTCAGCTCTTTTGACAACATGCATGCATCGGCGGCCGCCAACGTCTTCAACCTACACCCATACGAGCGACATATACGTAACATGCGTCCCAACAATTGACACCCAGACAAGACAAGATGACTGCTGCTCAGATGCTTTCCCTTGTAATAAAAGATGGATCTTGGAAATCCTGCATCATCGACATCCAATGCAACGGGTCATGGACATGCACTACCGGGCATGGCTACAAGACGATTGGCAACCCTACCTCCGTATGTTCGTCCTTGTCATCGTTCGTCATTTGGCTTCAGACTTTCTCCATAGCGTCCATGCAACATTCACAAAAAAGCACACTTGCACAGCACACATGCCAGAAACGCTTTCCAAAGACATGTGACTGTTTGGATCTTAATATACACTTGATTATTCCAAATCGGGATTATGAAAAGTGAAACGAATCACACTGCAATGTGATTGTAATGCATACTATAATCAAGTCTAATGCATTAAAGAATGACTTGTATGCATGGATCCCATTCTAATGCAATCTCCACTTGTGCCTCCCCCCCGTCCTCCTGTTGCCGGAAAGCGTTTAACCCTGAAATTTCCCACGCAATTGCCTATAAAAAGGAACGCCTTTGGTATCCCCCCCCTCCTTCTTCGTGCCCTTTGCAGCCCACCTGGTTTTATTTTTTTTTCTCAAGGTAAGTCGTTGTGTGTGCGTGTTCAAGTCTTGTTTTTTGCGCGTAACGCTCATCGCGGATTCTCATCTCTCTCGCAGTCGCACCTCCTTTCAATCGTTTATCATGGCCTCTCCACATGTCATTATCATTGGTGGCGGTCTTGCTGGTCTGTCAGCCGCTCACACTGTTTTGGAGCGAGGAGGAAACGTCATTCTTCTCGACAAGAACTCGTTCTTGGGTGGTGCGTATGGTTTATTCTCGTTCATTGCGGTTTATGCCAGACAGCTCAATTCTGTGCACGCTTCTCTACAAGGTAACTCTACAAAGGCTACTTCTGGAATCAACGGTGCTGGAACGGCCACCCAGAGAAAGCTCAACATCCCGGTAAGTGCTGACTGCGCGCGCAGCTTGGCGAGTGACGCGTCGTGATTCATTTTTGGTCCGCTTGCTTACACATGCGCTGGTTGCAGGACACATCGGAAATCTTTTACGAGGACTCTGCAAAGTCTGCTCGTGATTTGATTGTTCCTCCACTGACCAAGGTCCTCACATACCAGTCTGGCTCGGCCGTTGAATGGATTCAAGAAAAATTCCAGGTGGATCTTTCCTTGGTTGCGCGGTTGGGTGGACACTCTCAACCCCGTACACACCGTGGAAAGGAAATGTTCCCGGGAATGACCATTACATATGCCCTCATGGAGACACTGGAGGACATTGCAAATGCTCAACCCAACCGTGCCAAGGTCATCAAGAAGGCTGATGTGAAGAAGCTTATCAGCGAGAACGGCAAGGTGGTTGGTGTGGAGTACGTCCGCGATGGAAAGACCTACAAAGAGTCTGGTCCCGTCATTATTGCAACCGGTGGTTATGCGGCAGATTTCACAGAAACATCACTGCTGAAGAAGTACCGGTAAGCTTTTTCTTTTCCTTATCTTTTCTTTCTGTCATGATTCTGACCAGAAACAAAAAGTCCTGAACTCTGGGATCTCCCAACAACCAACGGTGACCACTGCACTGGTGACGGTATCAAGATGACCCTCGCCATTGGTGGTAACACTCTTCACATGGAAAAAGTGCAAGTGCACCCTACTGGTCTTGTGGACCCCAACGAACCCGACGCCAAGGTCAAGTTCCTTGCTGCTGAGGCTCTTCGCGGTGTTGGTGGTTTGTTGCTCGATGCCAACGGACACCGCTTTTGCGATGAGCTCGGTCACCGTGATTACGTGACTGGTATGATGTGGAAGAACAAGGGTCCCTTCCGACTGGTTCTCAACGGCAAGGGTGGAAAAGAGATTGAGTGGCACTGCAAGGTACGTTTACCCTGGCGTTTCAAGTTTAATGAAAGGATCCTGCAAGCTGACGTTGCTTCACCAGCACTACATGGGTCGTGGCTTGATGAAGCACTTTAAGGGTGCAGACTCCCTCGCCAAGGAGATGGGTATCTCTGTGAAGACGTTGGAGGAAACCTTCACCAAGTACAATGAAATCGCGCGGACAAAGAAGGATCCTTTTGGCAAAAAGTTCTTCCACAATGTCCCGTTTGTGCCTGATGACGAATTCTGGGTGGCCATTGTGACCCCCGTTCTCCACTTCACCATGGGTGGTGTTCAGATCGACGAATATTCCAATGTGTTGACCGGAAACGGCCAAAAGCTTCCTGGTTTGTTTGCTTGTGGTGAGGTTGCCGGTGGTGTGCACGGTGCCAACCGTCTTGGTGGCAGTTCTCTTCTTGGTTGTGTTGTGTACGGGCGTGTAGCCGGTGCAACCGCTGCATCTTACCTTCTGGAAGAGTTGTCTGGCAACTCTGCCGCCCGCCGTATCGGTGGTATTGCTGGTCACCTTGGTGGTGCCCCCATTTCAATCTCTGTCGGTGGCGTCAACATTGCTCTCAGCTTTGACGGTGCCAGCGGTGCTTCAGCTGCATCAGCAGGTCCACAAACAGAACCTTTGCCAACCGAAGCCAACACTGGCCCAGAGCCAAAGGGTGAGCCCAAGAAGCAGCAGAAAGAGTACACCTTGGCCGATGTTGCAAAGCACAACACGGATAAGGACTGTTGGGTCGTTGTAAATGGTCAAGTGTTGGACGCTACCAACTTTTTGAAGGACCACCCTGGTGGCAAGAAGGCTATCATGTTGTATGCCGGCCGAGATGCAACAGAAGAGTGTAAGTTTGTATCATTTCCTTGCCAGTAGTCTGCGTTTTAACCCTTTTCTCCGTTCGTAGTCAACATGCTACACAAGCCAGAGGTCGTTGCAAAGTACGCCCCTGAAACCATCATTGGCACTCTGAAGAAATAAGTAGAGATAGTGTAGATAGTGAGTTCAGCAGGCTGGATTCTGACAGGAGTAGCGTTAGCCAGCATGACTTTTATATTACAGCATCCAGGGCGGGAGAGTCCTCTGAGAAATTGATTTATTTCGTGTGCTTTGATTTTTGATTGATTGATTTTGTCTTGAGAATGTGGGCAGATACATGTATGAAATGAGGGCGGAATGGACAAGGATTTGCCACAGTGCATCTCACACGTCTCATGTCCTTCTAATTTACGTTCTACTATGTACAGAGAGAGTTGGCGTAGACATCTTTAGAGTGGGTCCATGCCATGCAGCGAGTCTACTCTAGGAGGTGGTAAGACTGGTGGGTACCGTCGTGGTCGATGCAACAATTGCGCACTGCCCGTCCGATGAATGGATGTTTTCTTTCGTAGTTTTCCTGCTAGAGGTAGTGTGGAGTATACAAATGTAGGAACGGCACTTGACTCTTGGGGAGCTCCAAACTGAGCATACGTAGGCGCATGGGATGGTGGACTGCTATTACTGCATGGGTGATGTGCTTGGCGACGAATGTGTGCCCTAAAAGGTAAAAAGCACATGTAAGAGTCAATAAGAAAAACAGAAGCCAAACGACAAGAAACCAACCGTCGTCGTAAAGGTTTGACAATCTGATATTTATATCCCCGTTCCGACTGAATAGTTGCATCGTCGCCTGGGTCCATGATGATATCCACGGTATGTGTATCCGCATATCGACGCCGATAAAGCGAATACTCTTGATCGACATGATCAACATCGTCATCGAATGTTGACTCGACTCGTTCGTCATCTGTGTATGGTCGGGTGTTTCCAGTGTGCAATAACGCTCCAGATATGGTTGACAGATTGTACAAGAGAGCTTGTAGATCCGCTTCACTTTCGTCTACTCGTTCGTTGGGGCGGGTAGAGAGGTGCCAATCTGTGGCGATACGGACTGCGCGGAGCCAGGGTGTTGCGAGTGTGTGTGCGTTGGAGGAGGAGTGGGATTCAGAGGGCATTTGTGCGCGTGTGTTTTCTTTTAGAGCAATATTGTTGTTGGGGAATATGTACAAAATACTAATGTAGAAAGGCAGTGATCTTGCCCTGAATAAAAGGGAGAAACACAAAAAGTAAGGTAAAAGCAAGTCCGTAAAGTCGATAACTATCTTTTATTTTGGGAATGAGCTCCGCCATTGTTGCCTCAATTTGAGGATATTTTAACTCCTTTGGGGGATCATCCCCCTTCTAAAGTTTAAACATGAACAGATTGCGTAGATCGTTTGAGGCTGAGTTTTTGCTTACGTGATGGGCCCCGTACGCGATTATTTATTGGTAAGTTTGGTGGGTTGCCCGCCTCCTTTTCCACCCAGTCGAGTTTTTTTTTGAATACGAGGATTTTGTAGGGAGGCAATGCTATAGTCATTTTGTGCTCAAGTTTGGTCGTTCTTCTACTCGTAGAATGGCGGGGGGTGGAGGGGCACACACTGGCTCACATTGTAATTTGATACGTGCGCTGGAAATCAAGACTCGGAGGGGTCGACTGTGATGGCTTTTGACTGGGTCATGGAGCATACATCTTGGCAACATACATCCTCTAGTACTATCTTCTTGCACAAACTGTATAAACAAATCGGCGGCTGTGTATTTTCTTTTCAACAGCAGTGTGTGCCTTGAGTGCATTATGCCAGGTGCCATGCATTATCCTGGGGCCAAACTGTCAATGGGATTGAAATCGAGTGTTTGAATCCTCAACGAATTTCATCCGTAGTAGTAATGCAACGCACACTGAGCGGCTCTTGCTACATTCAGCCCCTTCCTTATACGATATCCTGCTTTACTTCCCTTTGTCATGCCATCCAATTGCCTTGCGCTGTGGTCCATTTCCGGTTCTTTCCGGTTTCATAGCCAGATCCATCCAGTATGGAGACGCATTTGTGGCACAGCAACGGGGGCAAGTCGATACTGTGGCCAAACGTCCCATCTTGTGGAGTGTCCATTGAAACCATCTCAAGAACTTGTTGAATTCTTGTTCAGGCACCCTTTTATTCACGCCGTTCGACAGATACCCTTTGTTGAAACAAGGGTTTTGTAGCTGGCAATTCCAGAGTATATAGTACATTATTGTCGTTTGGTGGGTAGCGAGGAATTGGGTAGGTAAGGAAAGTTGCAGTTTTGCAGGTTATCTAGTCAACTGCTTGCAGAACCGTATGGGAGGCAATGCAAGGGTTGTTTTGAAATTGATATCCTTTTACTTGACCTCCTGTTTCAGTGTGAGCTCTGACCACGATCTCCATACTTCCTTTTTTGAAATATCATAGACGCTCACCGGTTTGCCTACTATCATGGCAATGAGCGGTCATACAGCCCGCCGCTGGTGGGCTATGGTGGTTTTGACTACATTTTGGTCGTTACTGGTTCAGCTCGCATCCACTGCTGGAGCGACATCTCTTCATGCACGGGATGGGAGTGTCGGCCGTTACCCTACTACGTTCGAAAGCGTACCACAGAAATTGTTTTACTTTGAAAACTCTGAGGTTTGTTGTCGAGTAAGATACATTTCTGTGATGCACAGGAATGCTAAATTGCTCCTCCCCTTGACACAGGTCATTCTCATGTACGAAAATGCTAGAATCTGGCGATCGACTGATGAGGGCCGGACGTGGACAAAGGTCTCAAATATACCTGATCGGTCTGCTACTCTTTTGATTCACCATCCGCATGCCAAGGACACAACGGTAAGGGATGGGCGGGAGTTTGATTCTGGAATGTTGCGTGCTTATGCAGATCTTGCGTGTATAGGCCATCGTCTTGACCCGTGGAAAGGAACATTACATAACAACGGATCAAGGGGAGCACTGGAGGACTTTTAGCACTGACCTTGAACTCGTTTATTCCGGTCATGCAAAGTTTGCGTTCAATGCCAAAAAGGGAAAAGCATCATACATACTTTTTACTGGTGCTAAATGCGAAGGCAGCGATTGGACCAGAACATGTCATGAGGAGGTAATGTAATTTCCAGTAGTGTGTCAAGCACGACCGTTAAATCCCTGCTCTAATATCTTTATTTGACTGCAAGACATTCTATACAAAAGACAACTTTAAAACTGTGGAAAAGCTGTTGACCTATACCACCGAGTGTGTATGGGCGAATGGGTCACCGCATTTCGAGTACCCTTCAGAGGATGCTATTTTCTGTGCAGAATGGCCGGACGACCTGAAACATGGCGACTCGTCGCGCAAAGATCCAACACAACTTCGTCTTGTCAAAAGTGACACCTATTTCAAAGATGCCAAGCGTGAGGTTATTCCACTGGGCGGTGGCGGCGCTGTTGGAATAGGCATTGTTGAGCGGTTTTTGGTCATTGCTGTGGTAAGCTCTTTGAAGTCTTTTACTCGTTGCAATGATGTCTCTCATATCGCCGTTAGAAAATGCCGAATACTGGAGCTGCGGAGCTTTTTGTGTCAACGGATGGAAATGTGTTCAGTCGAGCTCGTTTCCCACTGGGAACCAATATGCAGCAGGAGGTGGGTTTCAACGAGAGATGATGTGAGCAGCCCAATGGGTTGAGTAACCGGAAATATCTAGGCATACACGGTGCTTGAATCATCGACAATGTCACTCGCGATTGATATGTTGGCCGGAAAGACTTCGTCAACTCGACCGTCTCTGTATGGAACTCTGTATTTTTCCAATACGAATGGAACGCATTTTGTCAAGTCGTTAGAGCATACAAATCGCGCCAGGGGGGGTCACGTTGATTTTGAGAGAATCCAGGCGTCGATTATTCAAGGGATACAACTTGCAAATGTAGTCGTCAATTGGCAAGAGATTGAGCGTTCAGGCATTGAAGCAGACAAACAGCTTGCCACAAAGCTCTCCTTTGACAATGGCGGAAGATGGGATTTGCTCCGACCGCCAGCGGTAGATGCAGAGAAAAAGCAATGGTCTTGCACACCTGCAACCTCCGGGCCCGTCAAGCAAGATTGTGCCCTACACTTTCATTCCGTCACCCATCCACATAATGTGGGGAGAATATTTTCGACAAGTGGCGCTCCTGGGATCCTAGTCGGGGTGGGGACAGTCGGTCCTTACCTGCAGCCTTACGAAAAGAGTGATACATTCCTCTCAACCGACGCTGGGCGAACGTGGATAGCGGCTGCAAAGGGGCCTCATAAGTACGAGATTCTGGATTCCGGGGCAATCATCGTGCTCGTACCAGACAAAGATACTACTGACCACGTCATTTATTCAACGGATCATGGGAAATCGTGGCAGTCGGAACCCCTGGAACTCGGAGAGTCGAAGAAATGGAAGCCTTTAATGACAATCCTTGATAATGATTCGACATCTCAGAGGATGCTGCTGTTTGCTCAGGATAAGGAGGAGAAGAACAAGTACATGGTGCAACTAGACTTTGGCGATGTATTGAAACGTCGTTGCGACAATGTGGATCATCCAGAAAACAGCAAAGATTTTGAACTGTGGAGACCTGGCGATAATGTCGGTGGACAGACCTGTCTTCTCGGCAAGTCAGTCGCATTTTACCGGCGCAAAGCGGATGCAAATTGTTATGTCAAAAAGAAGTTTCAAGCGCTCCCAACCCAGGAGGAGATTTGCGAGTGTGGTGCTCATGACTATGAGTGTGATGTGGACTTTGTGCGAGATGACTCCCGCCCTGACGATCTTATCTGTAAACCTGTTGGCGATATCAAGGATCAGCCTTTGGACTGCAAGCCTGGAGACACATATAATGGCAAATCAGGGTATCGAAAGATTCCTGGGGACGTGTGCAAGAACGACAAGTACCCACTAACGAAAGAAAAAACTTGCCAAAAAGTGGATCGGCCCATTGGCATAGTGGACCCACCTGCAGGAAGGGATCCGAGCTCCTCAGTAAAAGATTTCGATACCTCTATCGAGCACGTCTTGTACTTTCGCAAGTCATCTGTCGTCGTCATGCGGACATCCTCGAAGCAAGTATGGCGCAGTAATGATGAAGGCAGTACCTGGGAGCGCGTTCTCGAGGATAAAGGACCCATTATGGGCATGGGCCTCCACGAAACTGCTGATAAGCGCGCATTCTTCTTTACGGACAAAGGGGAAATATGGATGACGGACGATGCGCTTGCTGGTGGCAGCGGTACTTTACGGAAGCTAGACACTCCTAAGCAGTTCAATACCATTGGTCTCCCAATCATTGACTTCCATCCGGATCAGCCGGATTGGTACACTTTCCTTGGTGGGGCTCGTGGCTGTAGCTCGAACTCGAAAAATTGCTACACCGAAGCATATATTACCAAAGATAACGGCAAAAGTTGGAAGAGCATTGAAACATGGGCGAACAAATGCATCTGGGCACGAGATGTTAAATTCAAGAATCCCGCGATCGATGAGGACGCTGTCTTTTGTATGAGCTACAAGTACAAGAATGGCAATATTGGACAACCGGATTTGAATCGGGGCGGTGGTGGTGACAACACCGTCCAGTTGGTGGAATTCACCAAAGAAGGCAAAGCAAAGAAAGTCTTGATTGACAAGGGGGTTCGAGAATTCTACGTGGTCAATGGTATCATGGTAGTCGCCGCGGAAGTTGCATCCGAGTTGAAACTCTTGGTTTCCGTGAATGGCCAAGACTTTGTGGCAGCGCAGTATCCTCCAAACACAAAGATTGAGAAAAACGTAAGGGCAGCTCTTGAAACGTGATGAATCAAAATGTTTTCGTTTACTAAACATATTTTATTTTTTTCATCAGGCGTTCACCGTCCTGCAATCCACTACATCTGGCGTCTTTTTGGACGTTGGACAGAGCACCCGCGAAAATGCTGAATACGGAACCTTGTTCAAATCCAACCAGAACGGAACATACTATTCACGCATGCTTGAAAACACTAATCGAAATGGCCATGGCATGGTTGATTTCGAAAAAATGCAGGGCGTCGAAGGTATTATCGTCGGAAATGTCGTTATAAACGTTAATGAGCTCTACGGCTCCATTAGCAAAAAGCTACGTAGCACCATATCATTTGATGACGGGAGTACCTGGAAGCCTATTACTGCTCCCAGTTTCGATGCCAATGGAAAAGCGCTCGACTGTAAAGAAGACTGCAGTCTCCACTTGCATTGTCATGCGGATATGAAAAACACTGTCATGCACGCATCGCAAGCTATGCACTCGAATGCGAATGCAGCGGGTGTCATGGTTGGTGTTGGGAATGTTGGAGCTCATCTTGACGAGTATAACGAGGGTAATGTCTACATCACGAGAGATGCTGGACATACGTGGATGGAAGTCTTTAAGGATGCTCATCGATGGGCTCTTGGAGATCATGGTGGTTTGATTGTGATCATCAACGATGAAGGTCCTACAGATTTCTTGATGTACGTGTACCCGGTTTTGTGCGCTCAAAAACGTGAAACTGAATTTTTTTATGGCTTGTAGGTACTCTTGGGATTTCGGCTTAAGCTGGGCAAAGTACAAGTTCGTTTCCCGCCCAATCCGGGTTGCATTGCTGACAACAGAACCCACCTCGACCTCTCTGAAATTTGTTGTTATCGGGTCTTACGCGTCAACCAACGCTTGGACGGGCGGGATGGCTGTCATTTCTATTGATTTTGACAAGATCTTTGCTCGACAGTGTCGAAAAGAGAATGGCGACTTTGAGTCATGGATGCCGAGTTCGGGCGATACTGGGAGTGGCCACCGATGCTTCCTGGGCAAGGAGGTAACCTTTCAGCGCAGGAAAGCAGAAGCACTCTGTCGGGTCGGAAAGGAATTCCAGGACACAGAAAGGAATGATAAGACTTGTCTGTGCACGAATGACGATTTTGAATGGTATTTGAAATAATGCGTCCCGTCCCCACAGAGGATCATTCTCATCGTTTTGCCATTTTCGCAGTGATTACAACTTTTTCAAGGACCCCACCACGAAAGAGTGTGTACTATTCGGTGTCGACCCCAAGAGACCAGCAGATTGCCCCAAAGGTACCAAATACGAGGGCTCGTCAGGTTATCGGAAGATCCCCGCATCGCAATGCGCCGGTGGAGTAGACAAGACAACCGACGTGGAGCGAGAATGTGGCGAAACAGGATCCATTGGAGACGTCATCATCACATCGACTAAATTGGCGGATGAGTTGGCGGACTACTTTTACTTCAATAACACGGACACAGTGATCATGTTACTTAGGAACGGAAATACTCTGATCAGTCAAGACGGTGGCCGGAAATGGGACCGCGTGCTCCAGGATGTTAGAGTTACGGCCATATGGACTGATCCATTTTGGGATACGCGCGCCTGGTTCATCACGAGTAACAAGGAGTTATGGTATACAGAGGACAAGGGACATTCTTTCCACTCCCTCACTTTACAGGCGGTGGGATCAACAGACGTTGCCACAGCTAGTGTCCTAAGTACGCACGCCGAGGAGAAGGGCTGGCTACTGTGGATGGGTCGGCGGGACACTTGTGACGATAAGACGTATCAGAGGTGTACTGACGCATGGTGGAGCACAGATTACGGGAGAACGTGGAAGCTCCTTTTGCAAAATGTCAGGCAGTGCAGTTGGGCAGTTGACGGGATGTTTAAGGTTAAGGACAGAAACACAGTCTTTTGCATTGACTGGATGAAGAAATCCTCTGATGTGTGGGTCAAGAGGTTGGCGAAGACGGTTGATGTTGGAATGGGAAAAGAAGGTTTCAAGACGGTTATGGAACGCATTGTTGCTTATGCGGTGTTTAATGAGTTTATGGTTGCTCCCATGGTAAGCACCAACCGTTTTTTTCATGTTCTTGTGACAGGTACCTGACTTTCTGTGATAGCAACATGTCGACAGCAGTGAACTGATCATGCATGTGACATTGGATGGGGAAGAATGGGCTCAAGCACACCTCCCCGCGGGCTTTAAAGTACCTGATATCGGATATACGGTGCTTCAAAGTACAACTGGGAGCATCTTTCTGGACACGCTCGTGAACCGAGTCAAAGGTCGTGAGTACGGTACGCTTTTCACGAGTAATTGGAATGGAACGTTCTACCAGCTCAGTCTGGAGAATACAAACCAAAACCTGAATGGGTATGGTGTCTCATTGGTGTTGCCGTCATGGCCGAGAGTTTGCTAATCGGGTGTACCCCCTATAGATTTGTTGATTTTGAGAAGCTGCAAGTACTAGAGGAAATCGCTTTGATCAATCACGTGTCAAATGTTGATGAAGTTGCAGCTGGGGCTACCAAGAAGTTGATCAGTAAGATCACGTTTAATGATGGTATGTTGGACCACATACTGTCCGCTGTGATATGCAGTTTTCGTTACCCATACTTGCAAATTATAGGTGCTACGTGGAGCTTTATCAAGCCACCAAATACGGACGTACAGGGGAAACCATACGATTGTTCATCGTCTGACGGGCCAAGTTGTTCCTTGCACCTGCATTCATATACAACGCGTGAAGACAAACGGGATCAATTCTCGGCCTCCTCGGCAGTTGGCATGATTATGGCAGTGGGAAGTGTCGGGAGCAGTTTGAAAGGGTACAGAGACTCTGATACCTTCCTGTCACGCGATGGCGGACGAAGCTGGAGTGAGATAACGAAAGACGCACATAGATGGGAATTTGGTGATCACGGGGGACTTCTTGTCCTCGTGAACGACGAGGGTCCAACCGATGTCATCAAGTATTCCCTCGATATGGGTAGAACCGACTTCCGGGAACTCAAGTTTACCAATGACCTTGGCGGGAAGTTAAATGTCAAGTACATGTTCAGTGAGCCAAAGGGTACAGGCAGAGGATTTGTCATTGTGGGGACTCTGAAAGGGGGACCTGCAGATGGGGAGACGATTGCAGTTCACCTCGGATTTGACAACCTTGGGCTTCGAGAGTGCTTGTTTGATGAATCGAATCATGACATGAGCGACTTTGAAGTTTGGAATCCCGGCCGTGAGACCAGTGCAAATGGAACTTGCTTCTTTGGCCAGCAGGTAAAAAGCAGCTATTAAGCGCCCCCTTATCGGCATGACAATTCTTTTAAAATGCTGCGGTTATTTTCACTTTTAGATTGATTACTATCGTCGTAAACCGGAACGGCTATGTGTGATTGGTCAACAAAATTTGGAAGGACGAACCAATGCACGCCCATGTGAATGTACGATGGCAGACTACGAATGCGAGTATAACCACGCACGAAATGAAAAGGGCGAATGCACCCTCCTTCCCGGTCTGTTACCACCAGAACCTCGATGCATTGACGGTCTTTTGAGAAAGCCAACCGCTTACCGTAAGCTCAAGAAATCAAAATGTCAGGGAGGTGCTAACCTGGACTTGGGTGAAGTTGTGGGGGTCTGTGGACGGAGACGGTTGAGCGGTGCCAGTTGGTTTTTCATCATCGTGGGTTCGGTGGGTGCTGCGGGAGCGGTGACGTGGGGATTCATCCGGTACCGAGGACGCATGTTTGGAAGAATAAGGTACGGCATCTGGTTACCAGGTTATGCGTTATCTAGCTGTCCAGATTCCTAATTTCCTTTCTGTAACACTTTCAGATTGCCTGCGGACGATTACGACTACGTGGCAAACCGCGGCGGCTCTGGCGGACACGGTATCATGGCTACCGCGAACCACATTATACGAACAGCCGTGGCTGTCTTTGCAGAAGCTGGAGAAGTCGTTGTTGAGCGTGGTCGGCAGTTTTGGGACTGGATCATGGGCAATGTCAGACGGGGGGAGGGATACGCTCCTGTTGGTGTGCCTGTTGGCGGACGAACGAGTTTGGAAGATACAAGTTTATTGGATTTAGATGATTATTAGTGGATGAATTTTTTGTTAGGGAAATTGGGTACATTTTGCCATGTAGCGTTTTGCTTCTTGCTCTGTGAAGGGAATAACAAAATATCAACAAATGGATATTATCATAAAAAAAAAGGGTAACCCACTGACTGTCTACGGACTTTTGATTGGTACAATGGCATACTCCAAATGTTGTCAACGAACGAGCGTTGCCCAACCCATTGTGTACTGCACATTCTGGGAATGGGGCAAAGGTGGATTAACCTTTATGGTAGATATAAGGTTAGGGTTACAAAGATGTGTAGGGTAGATGGTAGATGACAATGTTGAGAATTTCAGGCTTGTACGCAGTATGTTTACAAAGAACCCAAAAACTTTAAACATTCCATGCAGGGATACCTCAAACGCAAAACGGACGACATGGCGATGGACGTATTGAGGCGAATGACGACCTCTAGACCCCGATCCCGCGTTTTAATCCCCTACTGTTCAAGAGCGAAACTCTCTTTGTCAGAAACTTTCCATTCCCCATTTTTTTTTGTTTTTTTGTGGGGAAGTGGCCCTTGTTAGGATTCTTACAAGACTAGTGCGGGGTATCGGGTATCTGAGTTTACTGTGGCAATGGATTCTTACATTGTCTGATATGCACTATAGATGAAATAGTAATGTGTGGACAATGGTGCCGATGTTGTTGGTGACTTAAGTTGTTGGATGCTTCGTTTTTTTTTTTTTTGCATATGATGCCTGCGTTTTTGTACAGACGGAGCAATATGTCACTTTTTTGTCAATATGGATGCTATCTGTTTTGATCCACATGTTTGGAAATCTCGAAAACAAGAAGTTGTTTTTGCAGTGTTGAATTCACGGAGTAGATAGACTATGCACATCCAGCACCAAGCCCATAAGGTATGTACACTTGGAGATACTTTCTAGTACTTTGAGCAAAACGTCCGTAGTGTGTCCGATCCGTCTCTTTTCGATCTCGAGCCTTGGAAATTTTACATACAAGGATTGGAAATACAAAAGACATTATAAAGAATTATTTCGAACCCTTTTTCCCGTTCCGCCTCAAACCTTCGAAAATAATGCAGAGTATGCAACATTTTTCTAATGTTATTCTGTATCAACCAACGGAAGACTAGGCATTCCGCAGATTCCTACTCTTGTGTTCACAAAATATAATAGAAGATGGATATCAAATATGTCCCTCTTCAATTGGCATCTCCAAGGGATGAAGCAAGATGGAATTTGCCAGGATATATTCAAAACGGTCTTCTCTCTCATGTTGAATAATCCAGAAGAATGTCTGTGGATTCTACCCGGAACGAAACACATCTGGAGGAGACTGATCGTTAACCCTTTATTTACTGATAGCATCTAGTGTGCAGCTGGTGTACATTGTCATGATCAAGTTTTAGCTCTTTCAACAATACCGATATTAAGATTAAGAGGGAGAGGCGAAATATTGGTACTGTATGTTCAAAACGACGTCGATTTTGATGAAGATGGCAATCTAATTCTACGGGTTTCTCGCTGTAGTTGATGATGGATTATGAGGATTGAAACAACTGTAGAGTAGGTACGCTTTTGGCATTGGCGATGTATAGCGGAAAACATCCTGTTCGTTGCTGGACGAAGGATTGTTCCTCTGAACCCCATCTTCTTATGACGATACCTCTAATTCTGTTCGTGTTTTGTTGTTGACTCTGATGTTCTGTTGAGGTTTCCTTTGTCATTCCCAGTTGGATATTTTGTTCCTTTCGGGTGATTTGACGATTTGCTCGCCGCCGCTGTCCAAGCGGCAGATGCAGATGTGAAGTGAAGCTAAACAGATTCAAATAAACCAATTCAATCCACCGATTTGCAGTGGGCACACCATGTTGTCAACCGCATCATTAAGTCGGGCATCATTGGTATCTCTTTTCCAACCTTTAACAATAGGAGCCGCAGTGTGTCTACATAATACCAACGTCTTCAAAGAACGACTGAAATTATTCATTGAGCCCATTCACGATGAAATAGTCTGGTGTAAACAGATCATTGGGATATGGAGGTACGGACTACATAATTGAAGCGGTTAACAAACTTTCATAGTTATTGCAAAAGTTCCATTGGCGCTCTCTTGTTTCTGGTATTGTGGTTATCGGTGGCCTAACCTGGCTGACTGAGAGTGGGCTGTCGATCGTAGAATGGGACACGTCCAAAGGGATGAAACCACCAATATTACAGCAAGAATGGGAAGCCGTTCCCAGAATATGAGCTGTTGACAGTATGGCGTAGGAACTTGAGTTGGTTGGCGCGCCTCACCTATCCATTCCCATTACGGGCTGCAGGTTGTTAACGTCGGGTCCATAATAGTATCTATCCATCGCTCATGCTCAAGCCAGGATTCCCATATCTAATGCCCATGTCTCCGTCATAGCACTTTTGACATTTCTCAGATGGAGGAAAGTGCTACAAAATGGAATCAAACTGGCGCCGATTGTTCACGACCAGGTTGTGATTGGCCCGGTTCCTCCAAGTTATTGTCATGGTATAATGATATGCATTGAACACCATACCATACAGTATCCGATTGGATGTCTGTTGATCGGATTCCTGCAACAATGAGAATAACGTATCCATGTTCTCCCAAGCCTTTGTCATGTTACTGTATGCTGCCACATCCGCGACTACCCGTTCTTGGATCACATTACTCCAATTGATTCAGAGTGTAGCGTATTTTCAAATCCTTTCTGATATAAAGAAAATTGGCAGGACGTGAAATCATGACTGCGTCATGTCTTTCCGAGCTACCATCGACCTTGTGCTTGCTTTCAGACCTGTCGCAAGGCAATGGCTTTACAACATGGATGCATGAATCCCGAACCGCTGAACCTTTCATGACAGGCCCCGGTGACTGAAGATCCCAATAAAAACAGCGTTTCTAAACTCCGAGGAAGTAGCATTTATTTCATCATGAGAAAAAGGGTTTATACGCGACCACGGTACTCTGACTACGGGTAAGTGGGATTTACCGTCACATTGAATGTGGGGGTTGCGGCCACCCCAACCCATCGTTTTTGCCAAGCTATTGCGACGTTTCACGGCCGACGATACAATAAGTTATCATTCGTTGGCCTTGTATTACACCGCCGCCGAAGAACTCCACCGGAGTAATTTAGGGCTTTAATTGTAATCTACAATGTCAACATCGTAGAACATATAGCTCCGGAAAGCGAAACGATTCATGTTTCGATCGTTGGAAAGAACACCTCCTAGTAGATTACGTAAGTGTTCCATCCAGAAGTCACATGATCTTAAGCGGTGGGCAATAATAGCGCGAAACTCGGCCCTCTGCTCGGTGGGCGGAGAACGAGGTTCGCTTTGTTTGGCGTTTGAGGTAAATTTGGGAAATTGGGATGGAGGAGATGTTTATATGATAACCCGGTGGAGACGAGATACCCCACACCAACGTACAGTCGAAAAAAAATGGAAATGTACAGAGCTGATATTTTACCGCTATTAGCGAGCAACAACAATGACATCAAGGACACGGTCCTCCTCCCGCCGGCTCCAAAGCCAAGACGACGACTGAACAAGAAGGTTATCCTCAGTTGTGGCATCTCACTCCTACTCCTCATGACGACTTGTGCAACAATTATTTTCATCCGGCGCCGTTCAAAACCTCTCCCTCCTATTTACTCGATTACTTTGGACGGTGAGGATGTGCCTCCACTGAACCAAACGACAACCCTTGCCTTCACGGTCACCGATTCCAATACCAATCAACGTGTCTCATACGAAGAATTTGCGGTTCCCGGGGAAAAAAGTCTACATGTAGCATTGGTGTCCCCGGGTGCGCAAGTATTCGGTCATATCCATCCAGAGGATTTTGGCGGTAATGACCTCAAGGTTGATTTTCGATTTCCTGTATCTGGAAATTGGGCGGTGGGAGTTGGCCATTCTAGTGGAAAGCATCTATTTCATGCTACCGTTCCGGGTGAACCCGTCTCTACACCAGTGCTGGGCAACTCTACATGGGAGACGATCGGTCAAGGACTAAAGGTCTCGCCAGGGGACGTTTACACTTCTCCGATTTACTTTAATGACGATGCCATCGCTGTTCACGGAAAGTACATTATGCGTCTTGAGATGCTAAACAACGGGACCAATGTACGCCCTGGTGCCTGCACACCGTTCACAATACGAGTGTACGACAAGGCGGGGAATGTCATCGACGATCTTCGCCCTTTTCTTAATTCGCCTGCCCATGTCATCATCACCCGATCCGACCAAGCGAGTCTATACCATGTACATGGGTTGCCGGCTACATTAGCAGCACGGTGTACGGGCGGCCGCAATGCGGCGCACCTTCATAGCGCGATGGCCATGAGTTCTGTGCTAAATGGGGCAGTGGGCTTTGATGCATCGTTGGAAGTGGGTCACTGGACAGTCGTGGCACAACTCGCGAGAGGGGATGAAATGATTGTTGGCAGGTTTATTTTAGTCGTTAGTTGAGATTATCTAGCATCTGTAACACAAAAGCCATGTAGCAACTGGTTTGTACATAGCGCATTAGTACCCTCCCTTATCCAGGGGATAACATAATAGGTAGTAATATAAATGCACATTCATTGACCCCTGATCTCTTCACCAACGTGGCCGTATCTCCGCCTTGTCCTGCCCTGACTATGCCATGACACCCATTTCACGCCTGAGATTGTCTCTGATTGAATCGATCGCCTGACATTTTACAAAGAATGCCACGTTGGGATTTTGAGCGAGCAAGGGAGAGGGTAAACGTGATACATCAACTTACAGCATATGAAGAGTCCCGATTAAAATCTGCTGCCCTATGAAAGGACGGGACCGCATGGGTTAAGAGCCACATGGCAGATTGAATGTTTCTTTATTTCCGTTACTTTACCGCTTGTCACGAAGGAGTTGACCTATTTCCGTCTGTAGATTGATCATGACAAAAGTAAGGACTCAATATGAGGCTAACCAAAGTTTGAACAGAAAACTACAAACCTGCAATTCAATCTTGCATTTTGTCAACTCGTCTATTTGAATGTGGGCTTGCAATCGGTCCCGATCTGCAGTTCATAGAACGTTTAAGAGTTTTGTTGAAAAAGGTCCATGCGACTCTTCTCGGGCTTTTACCATACTGCTCTCTTAGCTCTTTCAACTTTCTGTTCATTCTAAGAACATGAATGAAAAGGATTAGGTCCAAAACCATATTCGATGGCTCTATGGGTGACAAATGGAGCAAAACTTTTGCCAACATACGTTTGGACAACCTCATCTAATTCAACCTCTTTCTTTTTTAACGCTCTTCGCAATCCTTCTTCCACCTCTGCCGAATTTCTCAATGCCTTCTTGGCAGTATCCACAGCTTGATCTCTGGCATGCCGCGATTCCTCGGCTGTGGTCAGTACCTCCTCCAGATGCCTATTGGTTGCTTGTAACTTTGCATTTTTTGCGTCCATGTTTAAAAGGTACTTGTGAAGTAAAGATGTGTGGGATTTGTCCAGATCTTTATGGCTTTTCTGAAGTTGTTTGAGAGATGTTGTGAGATGTTTGAGAGTAGGGAGAAGAGGTTCAGGTGCTGCTGACTGTATGGCCAGGGCCGTTGTGGAAAGAAAGGTGATGCAACTGAAAGTACAGAGTTGAATATCGCAGGAGAACATAAGGAAAATGTACGAGGTACGCACGCTCTGTAATCATCTACGACTGGTTCCCATTTCTTTTTCCACACCTTCAAACCTTCCATTTCCCTCTTGACACTCCTTAATCCCACCAATTCTTCTTCCAGTTTCTCACACTGTATCGTTCGCTCTCGATTCAGTTTAACTGCATCTTCTAGTCGGGCAGTTACTTCCTCCAAATGCTGGGCGGATTCAGTAGATGCCGATGTAAGTTTTGTAATGGCTTTGTGTTGGGTTTGGGTCAAGGATAAGAGGGAGGCGATGTGAGGTGTGAAAGACCGAAGTTGATTTTGGAGTGTTTGCGCTGCAGTCTTGTAGATTAGGGTGAAGGAAAATTGGCGTAGCTGCTTAATGAGCCGCACCTTTGGAAGCAATTAAGTCATCGGTCGACAGCCTTAGTTTTAGAGATTCGAGTTCAGAGGTGAGGGATGTTATACGGACGGACTTTTCGGCACAATTAGAACAGTTGCGAGATTCTGCTTGTTGTCTGGGTCGTAAAAGGTTGGTCCTCTTTTGTTACTGTATGGAAGCCGGGGAAGTACTCACACCTTCTCCCTAAACATTTCCGCATTCCTCAATGCGTTTTCCCTTTGCATCTCCAAATCTACCTTCTCCTTCCCAAGTATACCAACTTTTTTGTTCAGCTCAACAATTTCTGACTCTCGTTCTGCCAGCCGATCTTCGTATGCTCTGAGGAGGGGCACTGCTGAACCTGTTGGCCGGCAGTTCTATAGAGATATTGGCGATGTATGCCAGGAGGAGAAGAGATGCAAACTTTTGAAAATTACCTGGAGAAGGTGAGCGAGAGAACTTGACGAGGGAGGAGAGTGCTGAGTTTGATACCATTGTAAAAGTGCATTTTGTCGGTTTACTGCAACAAATAGAAAAGAGCACGGCATGGTGAGTCACCCTCAAGATGACATTTCAACGTAGATTCTTCGCCGTTCAGCCCACCAGTATCCTTCAGTTCTCGAAGTTCATCCACCCACTTGTCACCGACATCCAAAGCATCCACACTCCTATTCACTACATCTTGACGCGTTTGCGTTTCTCGCTCGCTGTGAACCGTCTGTGCCCTTTGCTCTGTCAAAAACTGTCTAGCGGGTGGGGGCCGTTCCTGAAAGGACGGTAGTGCCTGCCGTACGGCAGGCTTCCACGTTGACGTCGATCGTCCCTTTGTTTCGAGTAAAGGAGGGGAAACAAATGTGGCGGACTCGCGAGACGCTGGGAGAACGAGATCAGAGTCTTGTTGGGTGGTGGACAGAGTTGCGTCTGAAACAAGAGGCCGCGCATGGCTGGGGAGTGAGATTATATGGTGATGGGATTTGGGAATAAGATCCATTGCTACTGTTTTCTTTGGGATCTATGGTGGAGAACTGGGTTTTCCTGGGCGGAAAGTTTGGGATCTCGGACGGCTTACGTTAACCTTGTTCCGACGCGACTTTTGTCGTTCAGATATTGAAACTTACGACAGTCCACGCCGGTACAACTTGTATTTGACAATAGTATAAGGGACAGATGCAGTAAAGGCAACGAACCAGCGTCATGTTTGCATAACATCTTCAATTAGACAATGTTGTTCTAGCTATGAGGTTTTTTCTTTGTCCATTGCATCTCTTTAGTTACGGTTCAACAGCAATAGACCCTGGAAGGGCAGATGCCGCGTATCCATTCCAGAGTTTCTTGCATAACTCTTGGGCGCGCTTAAGCCTGGTTCTGGCTGATAATACCCTGGATCCAAGACTTGTAGGCCTCGACCTTGGTCTGTAAATGCGAATAGGTCAGGATCGTATTACAGGACAGTAAGATGTTCTAGCAAACAGGGGAACAAGACTTACGTAGACACCAGGCTTGCCCTTGACAGCACAGCCCTCACCCCAGGAGGTGACACCCTCAACGCTGTAACCGCTGGCGGTTTGAACAAAGAGAGGGCCTCCAGAGTCACCCTGGCAAGTGTCAACACCACCCTGAGGGAAGGCAGCACAGATGTTGGTAGCAGTAATCTTACTGGCACTGTAGGCTTTTGCACAGTCTGCCTGAGATACTACAGGGACGGTGGCCTCCTGAAGGATGTTAGCGTCGGAGTTGTCGTTTCCGTCTTCTGTCAAACCCCATCCTGCAATTTTGACTTTGGTGCCAGCAGTAGGGGCCCCGTTACCGTACTTGACGGTTTCAAGGGTAGAACCAAAGTTGCTCTTTTGCTTAAGAACCCAGATAGCAATGTCGTTCTTGTCAAGGCTGGCCGAGTACTGCGGGTGGTTGATGACCTTTGATACACTGAAGACGATACCCTTCTCCGCGCTGGGAGTCTTGGATTTGTCCCAGCGGTGGGTGTGGACGGTGGTTGACGCGACAGGGATGCCAATGAGGGCCGGGCTGCAGTCTACAGTTAAAAAAGGGATTAAGCCTGTGCGCAAGCATATCAGAAATCATAATGTAGTATACTTACGAGCAGCAGTCAAGTAGATGTTGGGAGCAATCATGGATCCACCACAGAATTGTCCGCCATTGTACTGAGCGAAAGCAATCCAGTTGTATGCAAAAGGCGAGGTATCGTCACCACCAACGATTGAAGCTGGGGGAGGGGTTTGTTGGGGGATGACACCACCCATGACAGCCGGAGCGGCGAGTAGGGCAGCGGTGAGATAGGTGTTGAGGGGAGCCATGTCTGTCCTATGAGGTTGTGTGCAAGAGAGCAAAGTAACTAGAGTTGGAAAGACGCTGGATGATTGGAGGTCGAGGCGACTTGCTCTCCATTTTATAGACTTGCTGCCAAATTCCTTTCCACAACCTCAAGAAATTGCCCCTGGTCAAAACATCTTGCAAAAGACGTAAGACGAAGCCGAGCAAGTCCGTTTTCGTGCGCTGTCATCCATGATCAAAACGATCAGAGCAAGTGCGCGCAAAAAGCCAGGATGAAAGCGCAGGTCAGATAAGACCCGATCGGGTAAAAAAATGTAAAAGGAGAGCGTGGATACAGCACAAAGAAGCAAGCAATCATCTTTTTCACGCCTTCCATGTAGTGTAGTTGGCATGTTGTTGAACGTTTTGGTATCTTGAGGACCGAAGAGGATTGCATGCAAGGCTTGTGTAGCAAAGTGACTCTGTTGCGCAGTGTTCAAAAGTCTTTTTACGGACTTGGTGCCAAAGGAGAGGTGACCTTTGTTATTCATTAGAGTCAATTTGCAACAATGGCTGGTGTCCACCATCGGCTGATGCGCAGACGTCTTATCCCGAAAAAGTGACCACCCCGTCCCTCGGTCGGTTGAGGACAGATTGGGATGCTTGTTTTGATCAACAAAGGAAACAAAGATGCCAACAGGCAAAAAGATCAAATGACAGCAAGATCAGCGTTTGTCCCAAATTTTTTGAGATTGTTGATTTTCAAAAGTTCTAGCTTTTGGTTCCAAAGGAAGTATCAAATGCCAAGCGATTCCCCGCCGATCACGACAAACCTAGCGCACTTTTTGTTATCGTTGCTGTAGACCTGTTGCGGGGTATTTTACTTTTGTTTTCCGTGAACTGCTCCTTTAGATTAGTGGACGAAAAACGGTTTTTGTCTTCCATACTGGCCATCACTTTTTGGTCAACAATTTCGTTAAAAAAGCTGTACCTCCTTCCATCGTTGGACAGGTGCTGCACGCATGGTGAACACTTGTCCGAATTTGTGCACAGCCTTTTAAAGGAATACACTACTGGGAGACCCAACACTCTGAACACTGCAGCGAGTTACTTTAGAACAAAACCTGATTGAAAACAATGGTGGTCGTCCTGCTGGCAAGGATTTTCATCACATCATCGTGCATTAAAGCGCACGGGGAGCAGCACGCAGGACAAATGGTGGTTGGTTAGTTGCTGGCCATTTCCTTTGGAATGATTCATTACACTCTTTGAAGAACTTTTTTTTTCCTTTCACTGCTGTTCCTGCGTACTGATCAAAATGATACGAATAAGGAAATTGCCAAACTATCGGACTGTTTGCTGCATGGACTTGATCAGTATCAAGCATCGTTTGATTTCATTACAAATTGAACGCATGGCACTTTTGCACTGCATCCTGGATGATGCCCTTTATACCCGCTCCCAGCATATTGTAACCGTGTTTTATCTTCTAAATGCCCAAGTTGAACTCAACCAACACATTGCAGAATACCCCGACGTCTTGCATAAAATGACATTGATCAAGTCATAGCAGTCCCCACGCCACATCATGTTTGAAAGCCCAGGACCCTATTGCCACGACGCTTTCCATAAATCGATATTTCGCACACCTGTCAACAAAAGATGACGAGTCTGTGCGGGAACAAAGGCGAACGATGGAGACCCGTTTAGATACTGGTGCCGTGTCATTTACGTCCGCCATGTCATCAGCTATTGCAAGCCCAGGAAGGCTACTACGATATAAAGATGCAAAGGTTGTTGGCAATTGTGACTTGCGGGTTCCTTTTTTTCCACAAGCCAAACATCGTTACATCGACGTCTATCACAAAGAATCCGTGCATTCAGCAACACGACGGCCAGTATGAACTACCTCCGCACCGCCTTGGGGAATGGCACTAGCAGCATGCCAAACGGGATGACAAAGTCGGAGCCTTTTACGATTTTTGTGCAGGTCAATGGACACTCCACTCAGTTGACCGTTAGGGGTGATATGAGGTATGTCGGCTCTCTCTGCAAATCGCCTTTCCCTAGCATATTAACAATGGCTCTAACAGTGTGAACACCCTGCGTTCAATGATTGAAACAAACTGCAACGTCCGGGCGGACCGTTTGACGTGCGGCTCAAAGGAGCTAGCCAACGGCAAATCTTTGAGCGACTACCGCGATTTAGCAGAGGGGGCGACAGTCCAAGTTGTTGCTAGGTGCATTGGAGGCTGATGTGCGTTGGGCAGAACGCACACTTGTTTTTCATTTGTAGGAGGCACTTTGTATTGATTTGCAGTAGATTCTCTTGATGTCGGGGAAGGCACGCAGGGTTGTATATCATCGGCATAGTGTTGCATAGCTTTTCATGTTGGTATTGCAAGTGCAAGGAGAGATATATATAATTTTATTTGCACTGCATCGCTGCAGCCAATTGTCGAAAACCATCCGCAAGTCCTACATGGTCGACAACGGCATGCAAGTGCTTTGGGTCGGCTGGGCAGGCCACGTAAGCAAATGACTCCAAAAGGTTACTAAGCACATTCCATCCATCTTTATTTCTGGTGATCTGGATCTAATGCACTCTAAGATGCGTTGGAATGTATTTTTATTTTTTGCGAGTTTCGGAACTTCTGTTGCTCGTCGTCGTCGTCGTCGTCGTCGGGCTTTTGTCTTTTTTTGCTTGCCTTTTGCTTGGAGGAAGGCTGCTGGATATTTCTTGTTTTGAACCCTCAACTCTTTGCAAGCAACAATTCAGCCTTCCTTTTCTAATTTTTGTTTTTTTGCTCGCTCCGCCTTTCTCGTTTGAGGGTTAGAGGTGCTTATGGAGTAGTGAACTGGAAAGCGAGACTTCATGCTGACTTTTTAGTTGCAACAACAGAAACGTGAAACGAGCAAATAACGAACGTTGTACGGAAAGCGGAAGCATATCTTTTCACTCTACACACTGAATTGCCAAAAAGCGATATGGCCAACACCCTTCAGGAGCCGGCGGACGCACAAACCACTGCAAACCAGCAACAGGCAGATGGCATTGTAGCTGCACGGCCTTCGCCACCCATCACATCGCCTCCTATTGGTGTCAACGCTGGTACGATTGCGACGCTGCTTTTGAACGATGGGACAGCCTATGAGGGCTACTCGTTCGGGTCTGAGAAACAGTCGATCGCTGGAGAATGCGTTTTTCAAACTGGTAAGTTGATCAATTAAATTGAGCAAAGCCCAGCGACGTGCGATCTCAAATCGCACGTCGATCTTTGCGATGCTCCTGTCTTTCGGTTGTCCATATGACTCATTCGTCCTTAAATTAAGGAATGGTCGGTTATCCGGAATCCCTCACGGATCCATCGTACCGAGGACAGATCCTGGTCTTGACATTCCCACTTGTGGGAAACTACGGTGTCCCATCTCGCAAGGATGTAGATACGCATCTCAACAACTTGCAAAACTACTTTGAATCCGTCGAGATTCATATTGCGGCTCTTGTTGTAGGTCACTACTCCCATGACTTTTCACATTACCTGGCCGACTCTTCCCTTTCGACCTGGTTGAAAGAAAACAACATCCCGGCCTTGTATGGTGTAGATACGCGTGCCCTTACCAAAAAAATTCGGACAAAAGGTGTTCTTTTGGGCAAAGTTTTGTTTCCAAAGGCCTTGGTGGGTCCCGGAATCACTGGACAAGAGGACTCGGCAGCATTGCCATGGATGTCTGAATACTCGGACGTTGCCTGGCACGACCCCAACTCACGAAACCTCGTTGCGGAAGTTTCAGTGAAGAAGCCCATCGTATATACTCCTCAAGATGAGAGCAAATGGGTTCGCGGAACAAACGGAAAGGTTTTGCGAGTTTTGGCGATTGATGTGGGCTTGAAGAATAATCAGATTCGGTGCTTCCTGAAACGGGGAGTTGAAGTTAAAGTTGTCCCATGGAACTACGACTTTATTGCGGACCGCGACTATGACGGTCTTTTCATCAGCAATGGGCCCGGTGACCCGACAACGCTTAAAGAAACGATTGAGCGCCTTGCAAAGCAAATGAAAGCCGCTGATAAACCCATATTTGGTATTTGTCTCGGTCACCAGCTTATTGCCCTTGCTTCTGGTGCTCAGACGAAAAAGATGAAGTACGGTAACCGTGGGCACAATATCCCCTGTACCAATCTGCAAACCGGTCGATGCTACATTACTTCGCAAAATCACGGGTACTGTGTGGATGTTGAGACATTGACCCCCGGCTGGAGAGAGTACTTTGTAAACGCAAATGATGGATCAAACGAGGGTATTATTCACGACACACTACCTTACTTCAGTGTCCAATTCCACCCGGAGTCTACCCCGGGTCCTTGGGACACAGAGTACCTCTTTGACCGATTCATTGCATGTGTTGCTGCCTGCAATCAAGCTGGCAAGCTGGTTCCTCTTTCTAGTGAAGACAAACGGCCGGCTGCCGTGCGACACCACCCACGTAAAGTGTTGATCTTGGGATCCGGTGGTTTGTCTATTGGTCAAGCTGGTGAATTCGACTACTCCGGATCTCAGGCGATCAAGGCGCTTAAAGAGGAAGGCATTTATACTATTCTCATCAATCCCAACATTGCTACCATTCAGACATCTCAAGGGCTGGCCGACAAAGTCTACTTCCTCCCAGTCACCCCCGACTTTGTGCGCAAAGTAATCAAACACGAAAAGCCCGACGGTATATACTGTACATTTGGAGGACAGACTGCTCTTAATGTCGGTGTGAAATTGAAGGACGAATTTGAAGGACTGGGCGTCCAGGTGTTGGGTACTCCTATCAAAACTATTGAACTCACAGAGGATCGTGATCTGTTCGCCCAAACGATGGCGGAGATTGGAGAAAAGTGCGCCAAGAGCGAGTCTGCAAATAACGTCGACGAGGCTGTTGCTGCCGGTCGCAGAATTGGATATCCTCTTATCGTTCGTGCTGCTTACGCGCTGGGTGGGCTTGGGTCTGGCTTCGCTGATGACGAGGCACAATTGGTCGCACTTTGCCAGAAGGCCTTTGCGACGTCCCCGCAGGTGCTTGTGGAAAGGAGTATGAAGGGATGGAAGGAAATTGAGTATGAAGTTGTTCGCGACGCCAACGACAACTGTATCACGGTCTGTAACATGGAGAACTTTGACCCTCTCGGTATCCACACTGGAGACAGTATCGTTGTAGCCCCATCGCAGACGCTATCCGATGAGGACTATATGATGCTTCGTCGTACGGCTGTGAATGTGATTCGCCACCTGGGAGTTATCGGCGAATGTAACATTCAGTATGCCTTGAACCCCAAGTCAAAGGAGTATTGCATTATAGAGGTGAATGCCCGTTTATCACGTAGTTCGGCCCTTGCCTCAAAAGCCACCGGATACCCTTTGGCCTTCGTTGCTGCCAAGCTCGGTCTTGGAATTCCGTTGACCGAGGTGAAAAACAGTGTCACCAAAAAGACGATTGCCTGCTTCGAGCCCAGTTTAGATTACTGTGTTGTCAAGATTCCTAGGTGGGATTTGAAAAAGTTCAACCGTGTCAGCACGAAGGTCGGGTCTGCCATGAAGAGTGTAGGAGAAGTCATGGCAATTGGACGCAACTTTGAAGAGACCATTCAGAAAGCTATTCGGGCAGTCGAATATAACTTCATTGGCTTTTCCGAGAACGACATCATTGACCAAGACAAAATTGACGAGGAGCTGAAAAACCCATCTGATCAGCGTCTCTTTGCCATTGCAAATGCTCTTCACAAGGGCTACTCGGTTGACCGCGTGTGGGAACTTACCAACATTGACAAATGGTTCTTGAACAAGCTCAAGAACATTGTGGACTTGGACAAGCAGCTTGGAACATTCACCCCACAAACCGTTCCTGCGACTCTGATCCGCTGCGCCAAGCAAATTGGTTTCTCTGATCGACAGGTTGCGAAAGCCATTGGCACGACCGAGTTAGGAGCACGTAAACTTCGGACGGATCATGGAATCCGACCTTTTGTCAAGCAAATCGATACAGTTGCTGCCGAGTTCCCTGCTTACACCAACTATCTGTATATGACGTACAACGCCGCCGAGCACGATGTGACGTTTGAAGACAAAGGTGTCATGGTTCTTGGAAGCGGTGTTTACCGTATCGGTAGCAGTGTGGAATTCGACTGGTGCGCAGTGCGCTGTATCCGCACATTGCGTGAAACCGGTGTGAAAACGATCATGGTCAACTACAATCCTGAAACCGTTTCCACCGACTATGATGAAGCCGATCGATTGTATTTTGAGACGCTGACTCTTGAGCGCGTGCTTGACATTTACGAGATGGAGAACGCGAATGGTGTTATCGTCTCCATGGGTGGTCAGACACCAAACAACATTGCCTTGCCTTTGCATCGTCAGAATGTGAAAATCTTGGGCACTTCACCCGAAATGATTGACAATGCAGAGAATCGTTACAAATTCTCTCGAATGTTGGATAAAATCGGCGTGGATCAACCTCAGTGGAAAGAGCTGACCTCCATCCAGGAGGCCACGTCCTTCTGTGACAAGGTCGGATACCCCGTTTTGGTACGTCCTTCCTACGTCCTTTCTGGAGCCGCGATGAACGTGGTGTACTCGCAAAATGACCTGCGAAGCTACCTGGATCTCGCTGTACAAGTGTCACGCGATTACCCTGTGGTTATTTCAAAGTTCATTGAAGAAGCCAAGGAGATTGAGATGGATGCTGTCGCGGACAATGGAAACTTGGTCATGCATGTTATTTCGGAGCATGTAGAGAATGCCGGAGTTCACTCAGGTGACGCAACATTGGTTTTGCCACCTCAAGATTTGGATCCTGAGACTGTTAGAAAGATTGTGGATGCTACCCGCAAGATTGGTAATGCACTGAACGTGACGGGTCCGTACAACATTCAGTTTATCGCCAAGAACAACGAAATCAAGGTGATTGAGTGCAATGTGCGCGCATCACGGTCGTTCCCTTTCTGTTCCAAAGTCCTTGGAGTTGATTTGATTGAGATGGCAACCAAGGCCATGACGAATCAGCCGTACGAGGCCTACCCACCAGTGGAGACAAAGAAGGACTACGTTGCTGTGAAAGTCCCGCAGTTCAGTTTCAGTCGTTTGGCTGGTGCTGACCCTATCTTGGGTGTGGAAATGGCCTCCACGGGTGAGGTGGCTTGTTTTGGTCGGGATAAGTACGAGGCGTACATCAAGGCGCTACTGGCTACGGGATTCACCATGCCAAAGAAGAACATTCTGTTATCGATTGGATCGTTCAAGGAGAAACTCGAATTCTTACCTTCTGTTCAGAAATTGCATGAAATGGGCTACAGCTTGTTTGCTACCACTGGAACGGCGGATTTCATCCAAGAACACGGTATTCCCGTCAAGTACTTGGAAGCGCTCGATGACTCTGGCAAACTTCCTCAACAAAAGTTGGAGTACAGTTTGACCCAGCATTTGGCGAATAATTTGATTGATTTGTACATCAATTTGCCTTCGAAGAACCGTTTCCGTCGCCCTGCCAGCTACATGAGTAGAGGATATCGCTCACGTCGTATGGCTGTAGACTTTGCGGTGCCGCTCATCACCAACGTCAAGTGCGCTAAGCTGTTTGTTGAAGCCCTGAGCCGATGGAAAGAATTTGAGATTACTTCGAACGACTATCAAACCTCCCACAAGACTGTCACTTTACCTGGACTGGTCAATGTGCGTTCGTATTTGCCCGGAGCCATCCCTCAGGCAGAGGAATGGGAGAGTTTGACCAAGGCTGCGGTTGCGGGTGGATTCACTCTTATGTGCAACATGCCTTCGCCGAGCAAGGGGATGAAACCTACCGTCTTTTGCGATTATGCTGTGTCAACTGTGGCAACCCAAGAAAACGCCAATTCTATTAGCGTTGGAACAGGCAATGCCTTGAGTCTGTATATCGGCTTTGGGGCTGGCCAATTAAAGACTCTAACAGACTTGGCTGGTCACATGCGTAATTGGCCCAGAGACAGTCCAATGATTGCTTGTGCTAAGGAAACTGATCTCGCATCTGTCTTGTATTTGGCCAACCTCCACAATCGGTCGATTCACGTCACAAACATTCGCACGTCCGCTGATGTGGAATTGATTGCGATGAGTAAAGAAAAGGGCGTGGATGTTACTTGCGATGTGTGCGTCGATAGTCTCTTTTTGACGAAAACGAACGCTGCTGGTGATAGCGATGTGCAAGTCACGCAGGGTGACATTGACGCCTTGTGGCAGAATCTGGCTGTGATTGATTGCTTCTCTGTCACTGGACGGGTTGGACAGGGCCAAACCGGGCTACGCATGGAGGACGCTTTGCCCCTTTTGTTGGGTGCGGTTTCAGAGGGCAAATTGACTATGGATGATGTCCGGGCAAGGTTGTATGACAACCCCAAGAGAATCTTTGGTCTGCCTGAGCAGGTCGATACATATGTTGAGGTGAGTCAGGGCGCACAGGTTACATGAGCTGGGCAAGAGGTTGACCTTTTCTCTTTTGCGTGGGATAGGTGGAGATTGACCGTAGATCTGGTGCTGGTCGTGCGGGTGGTCCTTCCCCGAGCGGATTCATTCATCGCGTGGTAATCCGTGGTGAGACAGTTTACCTTGACGGCAGTTTCTTTGACGGACCTACTGGGCGAGATGTTACCGGATCAGTCAGAATCAGCTCCCAAAGCGTTCTTCCTGTTACTGCTCGGCGAACCTCGATTCTTCCGGTGGACCAGAAGGAAGCGACCGCGAGTGTTGTTCCCAAGAGTCCACGCCCGAGGGTGTCCGTGGACGGTCCTTTGGTGACCGGTCCCATGAGTCCTGATGTGCACACCAAAGACAGCGGGCTCTCAACGTTAATGAAGGGATCATCCATTGGAAGTACCAAGGAGTTAACCGTGCCACTTACGGAGACTGTCCAGCGTGCCGTACAACAGACCATCAACATCTCGAACAGCCCCTACATTTCGGACTATCTGTCTAGCTCTGCATCGGCAGCCGTTGCAAAGTCGCCCTTCTTCCGCAAGCACATTCTTTCCGTAAAGCAATTTACCCGCAACGATCTCCACATGCTCTTTGGTGTCGCGCAAGAGATGCGGACATTGGTGGAGCGATTTGGCAGTGTCAATCTGCTCGCAGGTAAAGTGATGTGTTCCGCGTTCTGGGAGCCTAGCACCCGGACGAGCTGCTCCTTTGAAGCTGCCATGAGGCGATTGGGAGGTGGGGTTGTGAGCATTGATGGCGAGACCAGTTCCGTCAAGAAGGGCGAGAGTTTGGGTGACACAGTTCGGACGCTGAGTTGTTACGGCGACGTGATCGTGATGAGACATCCTGCTCCTGGTAGTGCGGTACAAGCGTCCACCTACTCTACCGTTCCAGTTATCAATGCTGGAGATGGAATTGGCGAGCATCCCACGCAAGCGTTCCTGGACGCTTTCACCATCCGTGAAGAATTGGGCACTGTGAATGGATTGACCATTACCATGGTCGGCGACCTCAAGAATGGCCGAACAGTGCACTCTCTCGTACGCCTCCTCTCCCAATACGACGTTAAACTCAACTTTGTCTCCCCACCCACTCTCCGCATGCCCGATGAAGTTAAGGCAGAAGCCACCAAGGCTAACATCCCGCAAAACGAAACCACATCGCTGGAGAGCGTGATTGGCACTACGGACGTGCTGTATGTCACTCGTATCCAGAAGGAGCGGTTTACAAACCCTGCCGAATATGAGTCCGTTTTGGGGGCCTATGTGGTTACCAATAAGCTCCTCCAAAAAGCCAAGCGTAACATGATTGTCATGCACCCGCTTCCTCGCGTCAATGAAATTGATGAAGAAGTGGATTTCGATCAACGTGCGGCGTACTTTAGGCAGATGCGTTATGGGCTTTATGTCAGGATGGCGCTATTGGCTTTGGTGTGTGGCAAGAGCTCGACTGCTTAGAAGAAACTTTCATAGAAATATTGGGGGTTCTGATAGTTTTCGATTTTCTTAGAATTGTTCAAGTTTGGGTTGTTTTTAGTTTTTCTTTTTAAACTTTTTTTCACACACACATAAAATCTTGGAGGAAGGAGGAGGAGGAGGAAGAGGCGAGGGCGTTGGGACATTTTCAGCATTTTTCTTTACACATTCTTATTATGGTTCTTTGATGAAAACCGTATACTTGCTTTGTATTTTCTTTTTTGTGTTTATTTCCAGACATTTAATACTACATGTCTGTAATTTATTTCTTTGTTCTTGTCTGTTTTTCTACACGTCGTTTTTGTATTTTGCTTTTCGTTCTTTTTGGTTTAAACTGTTGCGCGGTTCTTTAATATCTCGTCAAGGGCGGCCTAGCGACCCAAATTTCACACTTAAGATTGAGGACGAGATTGGATCATGGAATTATCGACCGCTTTTTTTTACTCCCAAGAACTGGGGTTGACGATGTTGACCGATCCTTGCAGAGTAAGATGTATCATAGGTATATATAAAGCACTCTTTCCCAACTGATCTTGTTTTCAAATACGGGACACCCATTTTTGAATATGGTGGATTATGGAAATCATGACTTTGCACTGATACCCCGGGATTTGGACGGGATGGACACAAAATTGGGGGGATTTGAGATGGTCTTTTTTTTGGGGGTTTTTTTTGTCGAGTACTCTGTGGTGATGAATGGGGGTTGGCCATCTTCAACAACACGAAACGAAAAGATGCTGGCCAGAGTTCATCGCTGTAGAGTATAACCTAGACTACAAGACCCTTTTGCATCGTTTCGAGGTCTTGTAGACTTGCTCCCGGGACCTTCCACACACCTTCTACATACTGAACCCGACGATAACACATTACCACGGCCTCATCTCGCCCGCGGTCTCGGCTTCCAATTTGAGACTCTTGGCAAAAAGGGCGCGGCGGCGGCGGTGAACGAGAGATGGTTTCCCAAAGCCGTGATAAATGCGCACGAGCATGACAAGTTTGTGGTGCTGTGTGCAGATGGCAGTGCGGCTGTGAGCCCGTATTTGTCACCGAGAACAGTATTAGGATGGGAGTCGGCAAAGGCCAAGAAATCTGGACTTTTGTAGTAGTAGACTTTTGAGACTTTGCACTTTTTATCATTTTAGCAGGGCTGTTTTTTGGGGCAAACCAAACACGAATTTCTTGGAAGGGAGGGACGGAGGGGGCCAATCCGACGACGACACGGAGCCCCCTCCATCAAATTGCACCTTTCAGCAAGCAGCAGCAGCAAGTACCACACATGATAACGATGTTGTTGTTGTTTAAAGGCCGACATGAACGGAGAGAGAGCTCTAGGCTTTTTTCGTTGCACGCAGCCTTGCGATTTTCCTCCCCTCCAGGGCAGGCAAGTTGCCTCAAATGGGAGCCCTTTCACATAGGAGGCCCTCCTCCTCCCCCCCCATCGATGCACGCGCTCCCAAGTCCAGCCTTTTTTCAGATTCGTTCTTGTGGAGATTTTCCGAACAAACCATGTGTGTAAAAGAATGATTTTTTTTGTTTTTGTTATCAATTTCCCAATTGATATCTGAAAGCATGCGTTTGAAAAAACCAATGGAGCCACATGACAAAATGCTCCAAACTTGTCGGCGCTCTTTACAATACTTTTCCCGATATTACTTGTAAAAAAAAATGATATTATTTTTGCATGGGAAGAATGGCGGGTGGTTGTTATCAATTGCTCCTGCCCGCTCCTGCAGGGTCTTTTCCATCGTCGTCGTTTGTTCGTTCGTTCACATCGCCAAACAACAAAAAACGGAGGGTGAACAATCGCCAGGTGCGCGCGCGTGTGCGCAGACCTTGTGTGTTGCTTGTCATGTGGGTAGTGCGCAGACAAAAGCAAGTGTGACAATAAAGTGTGAAATAATTTATGCAAGGCGATAATTAACGGTTTCAATTTCTAGTTGTTGTTTTTTTTTTTATTTGGTTTGTTAGTGGACAACTGGAAGGGAGGAGGAGGAAGAAGAAGAGGAAGGGTTTGTGGAGAGTGTTGCAAGTACAAAGGCTTTGAACACCTGCAGGGGAAACGTAAAGGAGGAAGGAGGGAGGGAGGAAGGACGAGGAAGGAAGGAGCTGGGGGGAAGGAACAAAAAGCCTATCGGTCGGCTTGCTTGTTTTTGTTGATTTACTCTTTTTTTTTTTTGCTGTTTTTCGTTGTTGCTTTCAGTCAATCTTTTTGCGTTTGCGTTTGCGTTTTGAGTGTTTGGAAAATGACAAGCAATCCAAACCCTTCTTCTCCCCGTGCTTTTTTTTTTGCCAACTTGCCTCATCCTTGTGGAGGTTTATCAACCAACTTGTGTGTTTCCCCGCTTGTCTTTGAAATAGATTTACAAATATATATCCAATGCAATCATGACTGCCGTTGAGCTACTCTTAGGCTCAACGTCGTCTTCTTTGTCCTCGTCTTCATACCCTCGCTCCCCCGCCACATACCCATCTCCGCCCATCGACTTTAGTTCTTATCAGAGCGGGGGACGCCCAGCAACCATAAAACCTACATCGATGACGGGCATCCCCATCCCGTCCCGTGCGGGATTCGCTGACCATACCATGCATAAAATGGAACCGACAGCTGGACTGGCGGCTTCCACTCAATATCCGTCAGGGATCCCTTCTCAAGACACTTTAGGTACAGTTTTTTTTTTTTTTTTTGTTTTGGCTTTGGCTGGTATCACACACACACAAAAGAAGCGCATGGCTTGCATATCATAAACAAGCTTGCGAGGCTGAAACTTTTAACTGGACACTTGAGAACCCTAGCTCACCTAGCTCACTCTTGCTTTTCCGTACGCTTTCCTTTTGCAGGCGTTGATCTCTCGTCGTCCTTGGATGAAATCCTTGCATGCTTCAAAGCTGGCTTATTGTCGAGGGATGGATATGTGGCAGAGCGATCCACCATTTTGGCAACCTTTGTTGCAAAGGCCTGCATCCCAGGCACAGATCGCATGGCCTTGCTAAAATCCCTCAAGGAAGCCTGGGATGCACGAATGTTGAGCCATGAAGAGTTTGACATTTATTCTGCCAAAGTGTTTTCGGAATTGACTGCGTCGCCGGCAGTCGGATGGTGTAAGTTGCGAAATGTTGGCTTTCTTTGGCGATTCCCTGGAACAAGCGCTCATTCTGATTCATCTCATTTCCAGATGGCACACCAGATACTGGTAGCGTTGCTGGAAGCTTTCAGGAGATGAGCATGGCTGAGCCAAATCAGAAAAGTAGGCTTTCCCGCACGCATCATCGACCCTCGAGTCTTGCAATGGATATTCATCTCTCATTTTTCATTTCAGATTCCAGTATGTATTATTCCATGCCACGATCCACTGCCGAAAGACATACCAACTACGGGAGACCAAACACAGCTGCAGGCAGCGTGCAAGGCCCCATGAACGGACGGAGCATCACCACTGCGTCCCATATACCGCATTCTTACACTTCACACCATCATCAACATCCAATGCAGCAACATCACTATGCATCCTCTCTAGACTCGAATGCCCATATTTTGTCTCAATCCGCACCTCCTGTTCATTTCACCGCCTTGCGCAACAAGCACGAAACACACCACGCCGGATCCAACTATTCGCAAAGCTACGCACGCCAATCACAGCAGCATAACCATTCTCAACACACGCAGCACCAACAACCACATCCAGAACCGCAACGTCCTCAATATCAGACCCACATGAGGCAGGAGAGCTCCTCGCATCCCGCGACTACTCAGCAGCCCCCTCTGCCCACGACTAAAACTAAAAAGGATTGGCGCTCAAAGAACACTGTCGACCCAGAAGTTCTCAAAACTCAAATCGAACAAATGCTTAATGCTCCTCCAGACCCTCCACCTCAAGCCGATCGGGTACCGCCCCCGCAAAATCATAGAGGTTTCGGAGCCAGTGCAAGGCAATACAATATGGACGGTTCAGCATATGTGTCTGGTATGTAATGCCTTGACGTGCACGGTGCGATACAGATTCTCATATAACACTTTTTGTTTTCCAGAGTTTCGAAGAACCTGGCGGTGTCGATGGTGTTTATGCTCTGGGCAGTACACACCCGCACTACGCAAGGGACCATTGGGTGCAAAGACGCTTTGTAACGCATGTGGCATGTGGTATAACCGTCACGGATATCTCCCAAAAGACCGATACCGCGAGCATGCCAACGATGATATGCACCTTGTGTCCTCGCCATCTAATGAACACCTTGCATCACAGCACCGGTCCTTGGGTGCATCGGTACCAGTTAGCTCCTCCCTTGGTGGATATATGGAAGAGAGAGCTACTGTGGTCAAGGAGGAAGAGACGCATCCTTGGGTATACAACGAGTCTGTCACCACAGCAAGCAGGATGGATACCAAAAGAGAACCTTCCCAGTTTCATTTGAATACTACCGCTGACATACCGCGTGAGGAGGTATCCCACCAAGAGTTTCTGCCTGCATCGTTGCCAACCAACAGCACCTTTATGATGCGGCACACCTCTCATCCGTCTCAGGACCAATCGAGTCATCAACGATTTCGTTCCGAGCAGCAAAAGCCCTACAATTTCCGGCCTTTTCATCAAACATTTACACCATCCCCTCCATCAAGCGGATCGCCGCAGACACAACTGTCCTCTATAGAATTTGATATGGATCTTGATATAGACCAGAACGCTCTCGGAACGACGAGTTCGATACCCACTGGGTTCTTTTACCAAGAATGGGACAATAGAATGGAAGACAAGGGGCATGGTTTGATAGACGTGTTTGCAGTGAGATGAGCGGGTACACTTTTAGACGTTTTTTTTTGTGTAGATAGAGTTTTTGTTTACATTTGTCGTCGTCGTCTTTAGATCAGTATGTAGATCGTCCATAGTCTTTAGAAATTTGAGAGAAAGAGCTGTAGGGCAGCCTTTCTTTTTTGCCTTGTATCTGTGTATCAATATATTTGAATGCAAACTTCAAAGATAAAAAGGTCAACCAGCCCATAACACACACAGAAAGGCCCAAAAGGCGGAACACTTCACACTCTTTTAGTCACCGTGCCGCTCTTGTTGCTATGGCAATTGTGCACGAGTCGACTTCCATCCGGCGCGGGGGGGCGAAGGATAACGAAGGGTCGGGGGTACTTTGCTATTGTTTTTTGCCTAGCGGGTGATTTTTGGGAGATTTTATTCCTCGACTTTTTGTGGGGATACCATCTTGGTTTGGGCAACTTTTAACATTTCTATATTATCCCCTTTTTGTTTGCTTTTTTTTGGTTTCTGCATACACAATCATCACCGTATCGAAACTGATGACCGAACCCACGCTGGGTATTGCTCCCCAAGCACACCATCCACCACAGCAAACCCAGGCACAACAGCATCAATCCCAACAGCAGCAGAGCTCCTCTTCTTCTCCCTTTCCTGTCACGCCGGCAGCTGCTCCGGCAGCCGGACCGGTCCCTTCCCGCGCGTCTAGCGCTAGCACGTCGCCTACGTCGGGGTCACACTCGAACGGTATGATGAATATTGGACTTGCGAACGGTGGAGACTCTGCGAGTCAGAGCTCGGATAGTTTGGCCAATTCTCGTGAAATGTATGTATGACTTGGTTTTATACAGTTTTTGGGAGGGGAGTTTGGAGGAATGGAATCTCGGCATGATTGCCCTTTTTTTTTGACACACTGGCTGCTTTGAGTCTGGCAATGACGGGTCCCAATCAAGTGGATTTGGATCTCGATGGGGATTGGGAATGCTACGCATGGATATATCACACGAGATGTCTAAAGACTTCTTTTATTGCCCCTTATCACACTAGGTTGCACGTATACATACAGGATTATCTAGTAAAGAATGGATATAAGGACACTGCCCAACGATTTGCCATGGAAGCGCAAAACGACTTTCCATCAAATCGGTCTGTTCCAATTGACACCCCTCAAGGATTCTTGGTAGAATGGTGGACTGTTTTCTGGGATATTTTTGCGGCCCAGCATCCATCTTCGCGAGATGGAGATAAGCTAAAGACAGTTCCTTCGGACGAGGCTAGAATTTTTGCGCAGGTTCGTAGGGATTCGTTCGAGTTTTGGTGCTCCTGACGGTGGATCCAGTATTCCAACATTTGGCTGTATCGTTCCAGGCACAGAGAGAAAGAAGTGATCCACAGTATGCTCAGCGCATGGCTATCATGCGACAAGAGCTTGCACGCCAGCAACAAGCTGCTACTGCTCATCAAGAAAGTCAACAAGGAGCACCACTGAACGGCATCAATACCAGTTTAGATACTGCCCGATCTCAAGCGGCCAATGCAGTTTCACCTCCCTCGGTTAATCCACTCAACCCTCATAGTAGTCCTGGTATGGTCATTTTGTCCCTCAAGGGCCCTCCAACAGGTCATTAACTTGATACATGGTTCTCAGCGCCACCTGCCTCGGATGTATCCCAACAATCACAAATCCCCGGACCATCTCCTCGGATGCCTCCTCATCCGTCCCCGTCCATTACAATACCACCAGGTTCTGGACGAATTCCTCCAACCCAAGCCTTTGCAGCACCGCAAACGTCACCACAGCAGGCCTTCATTCACATTGCGAAACAAGTATTCCCAGGCCGCGACTTGAACACCTTGACAAAGCCTGAGCAAGAACAGGTTCACAGCATCATCCGGCAACGGTGCGTGAATAATCTTTTTTATGAGATGATAGTGTTACAGTTGAATAACATTCGTGTCTCTTGTAGGTTTCACCGTCAACAGCAGGCGGTCCAACAACAACAGCAACAACAGCAGCATGCATTGATGATGCAGCAGCATCAACAGCAGCAGCAGCAGCAGCAACAACAACAGCACCACCAACAACAATTGCTCCGGCAGCAACAACTCCAACAGCAGCGGGCTGCTAACGGTATGAATCCGGTATTACCCGTAAGTGTTCCGACGGTTTGCAGTCAAACCCCCCGGTACAATTCTCATTTGCGCTCTACTTGCAAGGATGGCGATGTATCTCAACAAGCGCCACATCAAGGTGTCACAGATCTTAGTGGCATCACACCTATGGCAAAGCGTGCTCGTCATAATAGCTACAGTCCTGTCGTAGGTCCAGGACAGATTCCCCAGCAGGGCCTTCCGGCTCAAAGCCCCAATATCCCCCCTTCGCAGACGCAAGCAGGGATGCAGCAAAGTCCTGTCGTTCAGAACGGTGAGTCAACATAATATTGCGATCATTGGAAACCGCGGTATTCGATATCCGAGAGTCTGATGGTCGATATGTAGGTATGATGAATCCGCAGATTCAACAAGCCGCGTATGCGCAAATGTTGGCAGCGCGAGGCGATGTTCCATTAACGCCTCAGGTAAGCCCTCCGTCCCTCTGTTGGGAGATATAGGGCGGACGTTAACTCACGCTTCGTGAATGTAGCAGCAGCAGCAGTTGCATATGCAACGTCGCATGAGTGCGATGCAAGGAATGGCGCAGCCTGGAATGGGAGCTCAACTTTCACAATTGAGTCCACATGGCATGGGGATGAATCCTGCGGCCATGAGACATCCAGAAGGATTACAGAATGGGCAATCTGCTGAGGCCATTATGCAGCAGAATCAAGCCAAGCAGGTAGACAATTGTGGAGAACGTTCGGAAATGAAACCTTTTGACTCATTCTCAATTTTGGTCATTTAGCAACAACAGCTTATGCTCCAGCAACAGCAACGGATCAACCAGTATCATCAGGCGGCTGCTCAATCCATTGTACAACGAAGTCCCCAAGTCGCCCAAGGACAAATACCTCCGACTACTGCGGGTTTGAAGCGGAAAGCCAGTGATATGGCACAGGAAAGCCCGATGCCGCATGGACAAGGCATGGTCACACCCACGTCCGCGCAGCAAGCGCAACTACAGGAGCGAATGATGCAACTTCAGCATGCACAAGCCGCGGCTGCCAGTATGGGAATGAACGTACCGCAAATGGGCGTCCACCCAAATGGTATGATTCCGGGCCAGATGCCACAAGACCCGCGAACGGCGCAGGCGTTGCGACAACAGCAAGCGCAAATGATGCAAATGCAGCGATTGCGCATGGCACAGGAGCAACAGCAGCAGCAAGCTCAAGCACGAGCGGCGCAAGCTCATCAAGTGCAAGCACACGCTCTTGCTCAACAAGCACAAATGCAGCAAGCTCTTGCTCAAGCTCAACAAGCTCAACAGGCCCAACAAGCACAGCAGCAGGCGCTAGTGCAGCAAGCACAGCAGGCTCAAGCTCAGGCACAAGCTCAGGCACAGGCCCAAGCGCAGGCACAAGCTCAATCCCAGCAACAAGGTCAAGGTCAACCTGCTCCTCAAGGACAGGTTCAAGGAGCTGCCAATGCTGGCTACCGGACTCCAACTTCGCGTCCTGGACCTGGTATGGTTCAACAGCATGCAAAGGTATGTATCGGCTACTTTCAAGGTTGGCAAAAGAGTGCTTACATTGAGTATTGCAATCCCATAGATGGCAACACCAGGCGTTCCCACATCAGTTACAGATGGCGCAATGTCTGGTCCCCCTGCAAAGCCGCCGACTCCGGCCCCAGTACCAGGATCAGCTGCACCGACGGCCCAAAAGTTTGCAGTCCCACAAAGCATGATGCCCTCAGCTTCGTCGGTAACGGCAATGGACGCGCAATCTGTCTTGGCCGGCTCGTCCCAGCCGCCCAGCACTGATTTGGCACTACCGACGACTGAAACGGACGATTTTGATTTAGAAAAGATGCTTGGAGAAGACTCTTTGCAGGATTGGATAAATAACTCTAGCGTCATGCCCGGCGGCGATACAGGTGATCCTTTCGATAGCCTGCAGGATTTTTTCATGGGCTCAGCCCCTGAAGGGCTGAGCCATCCTGACAGCAACACCAACCAGTCGGGAAACGGGGTGGGGACTAGCGGCCAAGCAGAATCTTCCAGCGCCGAAGGTTCCGATGGCGCCGTCGATCGTGACGGTGCCCCGGCTAGTCTCCAAACGTCCGTAAAGGCGCAAAGTTCAGTAAGCGGGAGTAACTCGACAAGTGTCACCCGCCTGAACCAGAATATACCATTGCACGAGGGATATTTAAAGCCGCTCGCCAATCTGAGCGGGCACAACGACAAGGTGATGACATGCGCGTTTCAACCGTCTGGAACGATGATGGCATCTGCTGGGCGTGATCTAAAAGTTCTTGTCTGGCATGTGGCACCCACTGAGAATGGTGTGACCGATGGGAATAGCCTTGGCGAGCCAATGAAAATTGCGCAATTGGATGGGCACACTGCTCAGGTTACCAATGCCAGGTTTATGAGTTTGGCAAAGATTTGTGGACCAGAGGCCAAATCGATTGTCCCGGATGATATCCCAGTGTTACTGGCGACGAGCAGCGCAGACAGTACTGTTCGAGTATGGGATCTGACTCAAATCAAGGATAAAAAGAGCGAGGATGGGACTGGGGTTGCGGAATTGGTGATGACGTTTACCGGCCACCAGCGACAATTGACGAGTGTGGATTTTTGTCCGGTGGCGGCTGCCCCTGTAGGTGGAGTGGCGGGGAATAAAAAGCTCATGATGTGGGCTGCTAGCTTGGATGCGGAAGGTAATATTTGTGTTTGGGAGGTTTGGACGGGCAAGGTTGTCAAAACTTTTGAGTTGGTATGTTGCTGTGGTCTTTTTGATGAAATTGGAATGAATAATGCTCATTGAAAATTTTTTATCATTCAGCCAACGGCGGGGAAAGCATCAAAATATTCCGCCTACAATCCGCTGCGGTTCCGGCATAACCCAGGTCAGAACTCAAATCCCATCTTGGCAGCCGCATTCGGGACGTCCATCTACTGCGTGGAACTTCCCATGTCAGATACCGCAGGGATGGCTGGCCAACACAAACTACATACACTCGAGACACCCCATCAAAAGAACATTATTAGCCTCGACTGGAGCGTCGATGGCAATTGGCTGGTAACAGCCTCAGAGGACAAGATTGTTCTCTGGGACGCACGAAGTAGCGGGGCCATCAATATGGGCATGGTTGTTGGGGCCGTGAAAGTCGAACCCTTCCGCCTCTTTTCGCAGATTCCGACTCAAAGCGGCAAAATCTCCAGCTGCGGCTTCATCCAAACCCCCTTATCAACTCCCACTGCCGCTTCACCTACTAGTACCAACCATACCCACCATTTATCCGACATGCCACCGTCAACACCCCGAACAAACCCTCTCACCCTGCCACCACGCGTGGTGTTTGGAGAGTACGAAACAATCTACGTATGGGACGCCCCTGGCGATGTCTCTACCGGCGGTGGTCGGGCGTGGCATGGAGGTGGTCTCAAGGTCGTTGCCCTAAAGAGCTGTCAAGCGGGTGTGGTCAGCTGCGTTGCTAGTGGACGGTGGGGAGACTTTTGTGTGCTTGCTAGCGGAAGTCAGAGCAAGGAAGCCAATTTGAAGGTTTGGAGAGTTGGATAGAAAACAAGTGTGGTGCGCGGCTTTTGTTACCCATTTTTTTTTTTGCTCTACGGACTTTAGTCTGGTTGTACAAGGAGCATGGACGGAGCGAGTTATTTAGCACAATTGATGATGTGGGGGGGAACTCTGTTACCGACCTTGCCCTCTCCGAACCCTTTTATTTTCATTGATTCTTTTTTTTTTTGTCATGGACATTTTCCAAAGAAGTTGTGGTTTTTTTTCAATTATTTTTTCAAATGTATCGGTTTATTGTTTTTGTTTTTTGTTATTGCTGGGGGTTTTGGAGTAGTAGTATTTTTTCTTTTTTTTTTGGTTTATTAAAATATCAAAAAGTTTTATTTTCTTTTTTTAAAATGTGGGTGTTTTGTGTGTTGCATCCTTTTTTTCTTTTTTTCTATTCTGTATATATTTTCTGTTTGTGGATCGTATCTTGCATTTTTTTGTTGGTTTTCGTGATATTTCTATCTACGGGCTTCACAGAATAGGGTTTTAGATGGCGCCAGTTCAGATTATTGCAGCAGTAGGAGTGTTGAGGGGTACATTTAACAATGATACGTAAGCTTGTTTTGTTTCTGAAGGGGCGGTATGAGCAAGTGCCTTTTGTTAAAAAAGGAGTTGTGAATCAAGATAAGGTCAAACTTTCCTTTTTTTTTGGATGAAAGTCGGTTGTCATAAAACATTGGAAGATACGGGACAAAAGCGATGGGCACTCACAAAAACAAGAAGCAAAGAAGAAAAACAGATATAATCATAAACAAATCAAAAAAAAACTGCTATGGTACAAAAAAGAAAAAGAACATTGCTTTGCCCCCATTCTACCCGACTGCACCCAACTTGTGTGCCCCACCCGCACCCCCCAACTTGATCAAAGCACTCTCATACTCTTTTTTAAAAGGTCCAAAGCGTGCAACCAAACAATGATAATTATGTCTCAAATGGGGTGGGATCATGGTTAATGTCAAGCAATCGGGGGACGGAAGGCGAGGTGGTGGTGGAAGAGAAGAATCAGTTGGATCAAATTGCATAGAATGACGAACCAGTTCTCCTTGAAGGACTTGAAGGTACTCTTCGGCTTTCATGACACCGAATCGTTTTTCTAGTGCTTCGCGGCCACCGGGTCCTCGGGTATCATTTGAACCTTCTTCTTCGACGTGGGTGGTGGTGTTGGTATAGGGGTGGGTATCTTTTAGGCGTTCACGGCCTTTACGTTGTCCCATGATGATGTGTTCGAGGTGGGTGGGGTGGGAGGTACGTACTTCTTGGAGGTGTTCGCGTTCAACGCGGTCCATGATGAGAGCAAATGTTCGCATGGTGATACCGGTGGGGTTAAGGTCGTTTGAGCTGGCGTAGGACCATAAGAGTGTGCCGTGGTGGGTGTTCCATTCTCCGAGAATAAATGCGACCATGGTTCGGTCGTTTTCGAGTGGTGGTGTTGTAGAAGGGTTTTCGTGAGGGGAGGAGCCTTCGGTGCTTCCGTCGGCGCTGTTGGCTCGAGATGGACGTTTGGTTTTATGTCGACGGGGTTTGGATGCTGCAATGTATGCGCAAGCTAGGTATCGTCTCACGTGTCCTTGCTCGGTCTCGGCGGCGGGTGGGGTCGCAGAGGGTGTACTGGATGGCCATTCGGTGCGTCCGACAATGCGTTCGCAAACTTCTTCCCAGAGTTGACTTCTTTTCATTAGTTTCTCCCAACTCCCAATGTCCTCTACTTGCTCCATGTATCGAGGGGTGGCTAGTACAACCAGCTTTCCTTCGACATAAAGTCCTTTGACATTTTTGAGAATGCTGTCGACCGTTGATTTGGGATGCTGGTCAAGCAGCTCATCAGGGACGCGCCAAATGTCGAATTCAAATGGTCCATTGCCGAGACGAATGTGGGGGAGGAGGCAGGTTTTGCGGCTGGATGCAAACAGTTGTATCGGGCGCCACTTGCCAGTTCGATGTTTATTTCCTCCTCCGCATTCGGTGCAAAAGGCGTACTTTGCCGTGCATGCTATAGAAAATATTAAAACATGATTTTAACCTCAACGGAATGCTAGCAGGAAAAGTTCTTTTGTTTGTGGTGTGGATAAACAGAAATAAAACATACCTGGACAAATGTACTCTGTGCCAAAAGCAGGTTCAATCCACTGTCCACGGACAGACACTGTATGTTCAGAGCCATTGACTGTCGTCTTTGTCACCGGCACACCAATCTCATCACCCACTAATCGCATTCCCCCGACTCCAATATCATTTTTACAAACTTCGCAGTGGATAACGCGTTCCCTAGGATTTCGCCAGACCCTTTTACGCCTATTTTTAAGAGCAGGCTCGTCGGGCGCGGCACCCCTTTTGGCCGCACATGGTAAACAGACGACATCAGATGCGTATGTAGCTGCTAGTTGATGTTCGCGCCCAAATATATGGGCACGGGCAATGTTCACGGAGCATTGAGTGCACAGCACTTCTTCCTCTAGGAACATACGCCTTTTGCATTGGGATGATTTCAACAATGTAGCTTTACGTGGGTATATGTGAACTGTACGAGAGCCGGACGATGCAGACGGCGACGTCTCCGTAATGTCCTTGCTTGCAATATTGCTTGTTGGGACAGTCTCCCGCGGAGAGTGTGACTTCCCGAGGGATGGTGTGACATGCGAATGTTTACGCACGTGAGGCGGTGACTCATCGGACCTTACCCTCCGAACGTTAATTTCTTGTGGTTCCGACTCAGCCAGGAACTCAACAACATCCTTTCCAACAGCTGAGCCAGGACTATCGTCCATGCGAAGGGATTTCAATGTGCATTCACTCTGCTGAGAGGTTGGTGAGTGTACCAGCGGATCATCTACATCGATCTCCGAGTTCGCGCGACTAGAGCGGTCTCCGCCTTTTGGGGAATAGTTGACATCCAACCACGACATGGCTCGTTCAATTTCGTGCAGGGGCTTTGGCGCATTACTAGCATCCCATCGACTTGTCGCTGACTGCTTCAACAAATGAAATTTTGAGTTGGAATTGGGCATCAGTCCAGGTTATATATATGATGTTGTACAAAGCGTATTTCTTTGCAGCAGCGAGCATGTACATGTAGACACATTCGGCAAGATTGGTTACATACCTGGCCAGTGGTCCGAGGTACATCAAAGTCCATGATACACGGCGCGGATGCCACAGCTTGTGACTCCGTCGCAGCTGTTGTCACAGTGTCGTTGATGAAAGCAAGGTACTCTCCCACTTCATCCATCACCTGCCGACAGGATGATTCAAGACCCAGTCTTTGAGGCCCGTGAAGCGTTGGATCCACAAGATTGTCCAGAACAGCTGTATCCTCTTGATCAGCAGCGTATTGAGATCCCATTGTGTCCAATACGGCGCCATTGGATGGTCGAGGTGACGAGAAGGCGGCAGGTCTATTGTAGGTGGTTTGCGGCCAATATGGTACGGACGATGGAGTCCAGGTGCCCAAAGATTGCCATGGCGCATGATAAGGTTTGTCGAATTGAAAGTGCGGGAAGGTACTGGTGACCGTGTTACTGACAGGTGTATATGATGGTTGATGCGTTTGTTGCGATGGGTTAAATTCGGATGAATGATGCGAGTGGAGATGTGGTGGATGGCTGGACAGCGGTCGTATGGACGGAGCGTATGGCGGTGCAGTGTCCGTATCTTCAGGAAAGTAAAAACGCATAGCATGGGCAAGAAACAGAGAGAAACCAAAGAATCAGTTAGCCTTTTAACCATCAATGACAGAGAAAACGGATGGCTGCAAAAGGCCCTTGGTGAAATACCAACAAAAAAAAAAAAAAAAAAAAGATGAATGACTACGTACAATGCGGCGGAGGAAAGCCCCTTGGCGGTCCAGGAGACTGCCGAGCACCATCATACGATAAAGCTGACACATTTACATAGCGAAGACTGGGCGAATCTGGTCCAACAGAGTACTGCCCGGAAGCAGAACTGCGGTCTGCCATCAGATCGTAAAGATCGGCAGAGTATACGTTGGAGGGAACAGATATGAACGGTGCCATATAGCGCATTGTAAAAGCATCTCCGTGATCATGAAGCGCAGGATTTCCAGCGATCCTACTCTGATCCACTTGAGAAACACTGCTGCTCGAGTCCACACGATGGCTTTCCGCTGATATCTCACGATGTGTAGATTGTGTTCCTTGCGGATATACCTCGTCCCAATCTGGGCCGTACGGAACCCATTCTCCAAGCGATCCAGTCAACATGTTGGCCTCCGTTGTTGCTTCCGTCGTCGTTGCCGCGGTACTGCTCCTTCCGATGTTGTCGTCGTTGTTGAACGTCACCAAATAAGGTTGTGAATACATCGGAGGGCCCTGGCTGCACGTGTCCTCGCCTTTGAACCCAGGCATTTTTCCTACTCACTCTATTCCTTTCTTGCCGCCCTCCGCCCCGTCGTCGTCGTCGTTGTCGTCGTCGTCAAAAGTTCGTAAATCCAAAAGTTTAAACCAACAAAAACTCAAAACTAGGTAAAAATAAAACGTGAAAATGGGCAAGGCTTTGTAATAAGTGCGACAAAAGGGCAAAGCGTTCTCCAAACATGCGATCTATGTGGCACAGTCACAATAGCGAGTCTAGAGCGTAGAGTCAACGGGACTTTCTTCTCCCCGTTGTGGCGGAAACGATAAACAACAGTATTTTGTTGATGACGAAGCAAATCCTTTTTTTAGATATTTTTATAATGTTGGGATACTTTAAAAGGGCTGTAGCGTTTGCTGACCCGATTTTAGGTTTTTGTTTGGGGGAGATTTGCAAGTGTTGCTTTCTGTGCCATAAGTGTGAGGGTGTGCTTTTTGGGCGGGGTGTGCAATGTGGTGGTTGTGTGCAATGTGGGTGTGTTCAGCCAAAGATGGCGGGGGCGAGAAACGCCCAAAATCCAAGGTACCGCGTTCTACCACGGTATTTGAAGTGTTATTCCCGCCCATTGAAAACTAAAATGGGCCAGAACGGGCTTTCTTTTTCATGTGCAGATGCAGGTTGCGGGTCATCTGTAAAAGTCCGCTAAACGGCATCACATGGGCAATTGTTGAGTGGGCTTCAAGTCCGACCACGAAGAAATTCCATCTCCCCATTTTAGACCCTGGTTTATCTCAGCAAGAAGGGCACTGGGCGATTCGTCGATTCGTAACAAGCATTGTGCTTAATCTTAGTCAGACATTGATACATGAAGCGTGCGCATGTTATTCAATGGTCTCGTGGTGTAGTTGGTTATCACATCAGTCTAACACACTGAAGGTCTCCAGTTCGAACCTGGACGAGACCATCACCGTTTCTTTTCTTTTTTGCACGATGGCTGAATGATCTCATCTCAGGACGGGAAGGAAATGGAGCATTTATCATGAACAAGGACTCTTGTCTGGAACCAGGACCAGACTGAAAGCCATGGAAATGACATTTTGTGTTCAGCTACCTAGGCCAGGGCGTTGTTTTGCGAACTCACGCTCGATGGTCCTTTTCATTTGACCCTTTTAGCAATTCCACGTATAATCTCATTCCGCATCTTGGCACTTTTATCCTATAGAGATTGGATTCACAAAGGTAAAATCTTTTTTGTTGCTTGTCCACCCGTCATGCTTTTGAATCCAGCTTGCTAAGCTGAACGGTGCATGAGAAAGAGACCCATCTATAACAAGCGCGTTCATACTCTAAAAACCAACACGAGTTGTTGTTTGACCATCGATCACACTTGTCCCCATACAGTGCTCGAAATGCTTCTGCTGATCAAGCAGAATCGACATATGCCCATAATACCAACCCCGAACATGAGTACACACACATTCTGGACTATTTGCCCTCCCCTCCGGTCGATCATTCCAAAATAAACAGCTCTCATCATTCAACCAACATCCAACATCTAAAAATAAATACATCCTTTTAAACCACAAGCTTATTTTTAGTGAATTGAAATGCCCTTCCAAGCCTCCCACCAGAAACAAAAGTTTAGTGTGACATAAGCCCTATGCGCCACAAATGATGTAGTACCAAATTACAAATATATCCATAAATAGTAAATGACTAAAGTGTGATATTTTTGAAGTGTTCAATGTTTATTGTTTATTTTGTTTATTTTGGGTTGATTTTCTGGGGCGTTACTTTGAGCGACGATGAATGACCTTTTTTTTTTTGCTTTTGTTTCCAATCCCCCAGAAGACAAGGGTGTGTTCTCGTGTGTGATGTGTGTGCTCCATTGGAGAGAGAGCAGAGTAAAGATAGACTTGATATTTTCCATTCAGAGGACCGTCACCAGCGAGAGACAAAACCAAGTAGGGGAAATCAAGCCAGCAACCGTTTTTTTAATTCCACCAGCGAGAGACAAAGGAAGCTCCTTTTGTTAAAACAACCTGCTTTTTTTTTGGAGTTGATTTGAACAAACACACCATTAGACAACAAAACCCAAGCACACAAAACTTGTTCGCCACACGTTCGGCTTTCTTGGACCACAACCCGAAATCCGTTGACCAGACTGATATCGTTGCTTACTTCTTCGTCTTCGTTTCTGTCGCTCTCCTTCTCTCTCTGTTTTTTGTTATTTTTTTTGTAAAGAAAAAAGGGAAGGACAATTGTAATTGAATGGGAAGAACTCTCGAATGGACATCGCGCACGACAATGACAAACTCAACACACAGTGTGAACATGCTGCAGCATGAAGCCTTGAGTGATAAACCGGGGGACGAGACTGGCTCGACAGAACCCGAAACGGGACTCGTTGTTCCCAAGGGCAACATGCGTCGTGAAGTGTCTTGTTATTCGCTCCTTTCTGCCTATCAAGCTGGCTCGAGTGGTGGAGAGGAGGAAGAAGACGAAAAGGACGCAGTGCTACCGCTTACTGAATACCCTCCTCCTCGCCTGCTTCGCACGGTGAAAAACACAAACGGTTCGCGCGCTCACTTGCAAAGTCTCTATGCGACACTGGAGGAAGTCATGGCCGTCAAGGCCCGTCTCAATCGAACGAGCACAATGGCATGGTCGGCGGACGACATTACCTCGCGGTCCAGCAGCACAGGCATGGCATCCAACTCATCCGGTAGCACCTTGTTTGAGGATGGGGAGCATCCCGCAGTGCCGGCCAGTATGGACACCCTGTGGTCGGACGACACAAACGAAAAGAAATTAATAAGCATATTAAACGATGAACGTTCCATCGGTTGGTCTCCTGCCGTGCACCCTCGGTTGGGACCTTTACCCAAGCCGCCTCCGCGTTCACCACTCCCCGTATCACCCACCTCATCTCTTCCCACTCCGCCTCACAGTCCACTCTCCCGCAATCTATCGCCACCACCTCCACCTCCGGTTAGCCCTCCCACCGATTCCGACCAGGAAAACTTGGTTTTTGACTCGCGTCCAAACGTTGCAAACACAAAGGCCTTGAAAACTCTTGGAATACTCTCGTCAAAGGAAGCTGACGCGGCCAACGGAGCAGTGCAAGGCAACTCCAAGGCATTCAAAATGCTGGGCATTTCTGCTGATGATGCCATGAGCACTGCTGGTAGCCAGAGCGGCCCAAGTTCCCCTACTGGCTTTAGAGCACTTGCTCTTCGTCTGTCAAAGAACGAGGCACAAAAAGCGAGACGGGCCATATCGACGGGAACTCTCCAGTCACCCAGTGAACCAAATGCTCTTCCCGCTCTCCATACCATCACCCGTCTCTTTAGTGGCCCTTTACACAAACTCTACCCTGCGGCAGTGTTCCGACCATGGAAACGACGCCATGGTGTTTTGGCACCGGGACGGATTTACATTTTCAAATCGGACTCGATGCACGAGCGGGCGGTAGATTGTTTGCCTGTGCAGGTGGATACGGAGGTGACGACGGGACTGGGGGGCGAGATGGACAAAAAGGGCGGATTCACCGTGCGAACTGGGTCTCGCACATGGTTTCTGGCTGTTGATCATGCGGATGTGGAAATTGGATTGGAAAGGTGGATTAAAGCGATAAAGGATGCGGTATTAAGGGAGAAGTTCAGTGTTGCTACATTACCTCCACCTCCACCCCAGTATGAGGACGTGCTGTCTGACGAAGAAGAGCAAGACCTTCCTCAACTACCAGAAATCAGATCCATTGTACCTACCCCCGTACGCATCACATCCATCCCCACATCACCCACGTCCCCATTGTCTTCAGATTCCCAGCTGTTCCGTAGCGATTCAGGAGTGAGTACCCTGTCATACCACAAGAGACCTCCACCTCATTACCGCGGATCGATGGGTCCACCACCACCGATGCCGCTTCCAGAGGTACCACCCGCATTCTACAGACTGTCTGTTCTCTCCTCGACATCTTCACATGCATCGTCTGGATCCCAGTTACCGGAGCAGATTGATGAAGCTATAAAGACATTGGATCACCTCTTGGAAGATGGAATACAAGCCGCTGGACGGGGTACCTTTGGAAGGGATGGGAAGCGATTGCAAAGTGTTGTAGGCTAGCTTGCAAACCGACGGGTTTTGTGCTATTATTCCTCATGAGACGTTTATGGATGTTCTGATGTGAATATGAGACGACGTAACGTATTCTATGAAGGTATCTATGGTGGTCAGTCATTCACGGGCGAGATCCTTTTTACGGCGTAGCGCATTGTGCTCTTTATCTAGTCGTTTTTTTGTTGGCATCGTCGTCAGTCTTTTGTACAATTCTTTTTGATTCTCTTGATATGCGTAGTGTTGTCCTGTTTTTGTTTCTGGTGCTTACTGACAAGAATAGAATATACAAAAAGATGCAAATAATGTCACTTTTTATTGATAGTTTCAATTTGTTACAAAAGCTTGCTCAAGTACTCTTTCCATTCCTCTACACCCCACGATGACGATACACTATTATCAACCAGTCCGTTCACCAATACCGTCGGACTAACGTGAACAGAGTTTTGCCTAGCGATTTTCAAATGAACCTTCAAAACGGGTGTAACAGCGTTCCCTTCATTGGTCGCCTTGGGCGTCAACAACTTGAACACCTCCTCCTTGTCAACACCGACACCATCCGACACAATCCCCACCAACTTTTCATAAATGTCTTTCCGACTGAGCTCATACGTCTTGGCGTCATCAAACTGGGTTTGCACGTCAAACAAGAGTTTAGACGCATCCCAGAATTTCTGTGGGGCGAGTGTGTGCACTGCTATAGCTGTTTCGTGCAGCAAGGTCCCCTGTGGATGCCATGGTTGGACTTGATGGCGGAATGTAAACGATATGGATGGATACTGTGGATGAATATCCTGCAGGATGCGAGAAAAGATCTTTTTGGAAAAGGGGCACTGTCGACAAAGTATTCATATGAGATGAAAAGTCAGAGAGGAAAGTTGATGGAAAACGACAGTTACATACGAGGTAGTCTAGGTAGACTTCAAATTTAGTGGACGCTGAGGGTGAGCCCAACGTGTATCCTATCATCATTTGAATGACCTTGAGTGAGGCTTTACGTCTAACCACATGAGTAACTAGACGATAGGCGAATCTTGCAAACCTGTAAAGTACTTTGCGGAAGCCATCTTTCTTGGATTTCGATGATTTGTGTATTCAATAACTGTTGAAAAAAGTACGCACGATCAACGGCGAGCCTTTCAAGACTCGATATCTGTTTCCATTCCAACCGGATTAAAGTGCTCGCCTTTCCATAGCGATATGGCGCACCGTTGCGGACCCTGGTGTGAAAAGCTCATGGAGAGATGGGTAAACAGTTCACTAAAGGACCCAAGTCATCGTTGGTTGATGCAGGTGATTGTTCTGCAGTACTCTCTAGGAAAAATGTCGGCGATGCTCGATTACAAGTACGAATGCCCCAATTATGCCGGTCCTAGCCAACATGTCGCTGCAAACGTAAACTGTTGATCAAAATTGTATGCATTGTATATGACGAATAATAAAGAGGTGACTGAGAATATTATAGTGTTGAAACTGCCATTTCCAAAGTTTGGGACTTGGCAGTCACTACATCCTTGGAATTCCTGTAGCGCCAGTGGGATATTAAATGTTATTTCTGGTGCAGGTCAACAGTTATTATTCAAGCCGAGCGCTGCGTCCCAGGTAGGTCGTTACTGATGGCGATCACCAACATGTATACCCTTTTTTAATACTCGTAGTCGAGACAGTCCTTGTTGAGCTGTGAATCATGTCATGGTTCCGTCTTTACAGATTCGGAGCCAAAAAGACTCAAGGTTCCGCGCAAAAGCTCTGGCAGTAGGGCAATGCCATGAACCATAGCAGTTTTTTTGGGGGATTGACCATGGAGGGGTAGCGATCCTTGTTTGCTCTGAATACAAGTAGACCACCCTTTGTTTACTTGTTAGCAAGATGCCACACTACCCTCAAATCCCACAATAACAAGCATGAACAAAGGTCTTGCTCTCGTTTTTGCAGTCGAAAGTCTTTTTAAATTTTGGTTGCCGCCGCCTTTACCATTTCCGTCTCATTTTTTGAAAGTCCTTTTCTTTTTTTTGCCTTTGCCCTCCGATCCCCACCCGGGAGATTCCCCTCCAAAGGCCCTTTTGTCTTTTCTAAAACATTATTTGACTCTTGCCAAACACAGTCGCTCGTTGTTGGCATTTGACACAACATACCTCATACCACCTACACTACGCGGACCTCTTTTTTTCAATGGCGGATACGATTTTGGATGCCAGTCCATTCGCTGGAGAGGCAAAATGCGGGACTAGTGGATGCCCAACGGCCTGGGATGTGGAATGGCGATTTGTTGGGTTTGTATTGGTCGTTATGTTTGTAGGTGCACACAAGACTACTGGACGCGATTAAGTTTGACATGTATTCGCCTTTGACTTTCCAGACTCGTCACACTCCTTGTTGCCTTTGTCGGCTTGGCACACCTTCGCCTTCAATCAAAACTCGCTATTGATGGCGGCAAACGTCGTGGGGTGCCAAAGGAATCGGTGGGTATCGTAGTATTATACGTCAATAGTATCTATTTTTAAACATAGACATCCTGACTGACCTTGGAATAACTCCCGTTAGCCTCGGGAAGAACTCGAAAAGCTTCAAGCAAAATGCGCGGACCTCGCCTCCGATGTCAGACAAACTATCGTCGAGGAATTCCCTTCCACTACCACTACCTTAAAAAACGGTGTTCCTGACGTGGACAGCGAAGGAATCGAGCAAGTCGAGCTTGCTGACGTCGGCCAATTAATGACATGCTATAGTCCGTCCTGCAAGGATGGGCAGACATGTTATTCCCCTTCTTGCGTGCGAGGTGCGAACCGGATTGCTCCAACCGTTGCTAGAGTGGAAAAGCCATATGAAGTGAGGCATCCAAAGCGCGAGAGGAAGATGTCACTGTTCTCCCAGATTTTGTCGCACAAATGTGGAGCGTTCCCGACAAAGACGGGAATTCCGGTATGTCTTTTAATACGAGTATAGACGACCGTCATGTATGTAGTTTACTCATATTGCTACCATTCGCAGCCTACCACTGTCCACAGCGTCTTTTACCTGGAAAAGCTCCCGACAGTAACCCAACTCAAACGCCTTTTGGAAGAACGTATTCTGAGCCGATACCACCGTTTTAGCGCCATCCCAATTGAAAGTCAGGATGGCACCATTAGTTGGCAGCCGTATGAAACCGTCGACACTGACGCCCACATTATTCGCAAAACCATTTCCTCCGAATCCGAGATCAAGACTTATGTTGAAAGCCTATTTGGTCGCATGTGGGATGTCAGCAAACCTCTCTGGTTTGTCCACTTGTTGCAAAACGACAATAACGGAAACTCGGCCATTGTATTTGAGATACACCATGTGTTGGGTGATGGATTGAGTCAGATGCAGATTTTGGGAGACTTTGTAACGAATGAGAATGGCCAACCGCTCACTATGGATGAGAAAAAGTTTAAGAAACTCCAGAGCCGGCGACCCAAACCGTCCCTTTTGAGTCGGGTTTGGACAAGGACGGTGTTGTTTGCAAACACTGGGAGGGCGTTCGTCAAGGTTTTGGGATTGCCTATCCTGAGAGGAGATTCGGAGACGGCTGTAAAGGTCCGTGTCGGGTGATCCGTGCTTTCGGCATTTTGTTGGCCATGGCTCATGAGATCTCATCTGTTCGTTTTTGACTGGAACTTTATAGACCGCGGTTTCTCGCTTTGCCAGCAGCAACCGAATCCTCATTACTGTCCCACCTATTTCCCTCCAATCCATCAAGCTTATCAAAGACAAGCTTCACGTAACAGTCAATGATGTCCTATTGGCAGCCCTCGGTGGAGCAATGAGAATGTATCTCCAATATCGCAGCGATCCCAACATCACAGATCCATCCCTCCGATCCCGCGTCCGCCTCCGAGCCTTGATGCCCTACTCTTTCCCTCGCCCTCTAGATGACCTCCACAACAAATGGACCATGATCTCTGCCGAGCTTCCGGTCCGTCAACCTGACCCTTTGTCCCGCGTCAAGTTTGCCAAGCAGACCATGGACGCTATCAAGAGCTCTCCAGAACCCCTGGTTGCTGTCCAACTCCAGCAACTTGCTTACAAAGCTCTTGGGCATGAACTTAGTGCTCAAACGAATTTGGACCTGTTTGCCCGCCATACTTGCATATTCACCAATGTCCCTGGGTTCCAGGAACGCATTTATATCTGTGGACAACCTGTGTTGGGCATGCAACCTGTTGTCTCTAACGCCTTGTTGCAGGTCAGTGCTGTCAGCTATGACAATTTCATCTGGATGAACTTTGTTGTGGATGGGGAGACTGTGATTCAGCCTGAGCGGTTGGCTCAGTATATGGTGCGCGAAGTAGAGGAGTTGGCTCGGGCTGCTGGTGTTTCGGCAAAGATTTTGGATACGAAGGACGAATAATCCTGAGATCTTGTGGTTATGATATAGATGGTGATCTCTGGTAGACTTGTTTATTGTATTTATTTTGCCATTATATATCCAGATAGCTTACAATCTCCTCCGCAAAACCTGTAGAACATTTCGTTACAATGAGGATGACGCTCAAAGGCAGTTGCGGTTGCTATAAATTTCGACCATCTTTTATATCTCCTTAATAAGGACTCCAAGCAAGAATTTAAAGGCTGGCATGGAAAACATTTTCCCAACTGTGTTAGCGGGTGAAGAAGCGTTGTTTGTTCGGGGAGTAAAGAGATGTGGCATCGGCATTATCTGCAATAAAGGTAATCGCTCCCGCGCAAATACCACTGCATCCTCTTTTTACTTCCTTGTGATTCATGTTATTTCTGGAAGCACGGACGGGTGGTCTGTGTGGCAATACAAAGGTGAAGTTGGATCATGCTGCCACTTCTGCTCCTTTTTGTTTTTGTCTGACGGTACTGCGCCCACTCACTACACATGACAAACAAAATATCTGCCATAGGATACTGTAAAAGAGTCGGAACTGGAAACCTTTTGGAACATACCATGCCATATGTTCCATAGCCTTTGTTGCAATGTACCTTTGTCCAAAGCAATTTAACGTTGGCTGTCCGTTTTTCCGCACTTAACACATTCCGATCAGTTTACGTAAGCTTGTCACATCATCTGCTCACACGGAGATCCGTCTCCTATTTTTTAATGACTTGCAGTCTTGACCTTGTTTGTTATCCCCTTCACGACGACATACAATATGCCACCTCTCACTTCTGCGACATGGTTCGACTATGACCATTTCTCTCGGAATCTCAACATTTGCAGTAACCCAACCCATCCAATCCCATTAAACGACCTCCTATATACCGGCGACCCGATAGCAGACGCTGCCTACACGTCAGTCAAAAGGAGTGGGCCGCCTTATAGGACTTTTGACGATATTCTTGTCAAACGGGATTCAGGCAATCATGAACTGACAGGGGCCGAGCGTGCTTTTCTACGGGAGGTTGAACATGTGCCTGAGTGGGTTGATTGGGATAAGGTCAATAGAGGGCGAGACGTTTTTTGGAGGAATATGGGGGCGATTCAAGTTGTTCTATTATACGCAAGTCTGGCGGGTGAGTTTGTGCTTTTATTCTCTTACTGGTGCGTTATTCTAATCAATGTCCATCCTTTTCTGAACAGGCGGATTCTCCATTCCCCGCGTTAACGACGTTCTCATCAGGACAGGATATCTGTCCAACCCTCGCCATATTAATCGTCGGCTACTTGAAACCGGCCAAGTAAGATACCAGTCCCATGAATCTAACATCCTACCATTCAATCCCCATATTCGAACTCTAGATGATAAACGACATTATGCAACATGGCCTCCGACCTGGATCGGACGGATGGAAGTCTGTCTTGCGCGTTCGGTTCTTACATTGCGCAGTGAGGAGACGACAACTGCCCGAAAAAACAGAAGACACTGTTAATTCCAAAAAGGTCATTCCCATTAATCAAACCGATTTGGTAAGTTCTGCAGAGCCCGCATACAAATGTGTTTTTTAATCTTAGTAACTATGACCCGCAGATTGGAACCCTCCTCGGTTTCCAATGCTCGGTCATTACCGGGTTAACCTACCTATGGATCTACCTCACACCATCTGAACGGGATGACTATACACACCTATGGCGCTACGTGGGATACCTCATCGGCGTAAAGGAAGAGAATAACCCTTTAGCACACGGATTCGAGGCTACATGTGCTTGTCTTAGAGACTACTTGGAATTATGTAAATACTCCATTCATCATCTCTAAAAGAAAATGAAATTACTAACCTCGTAACACACCATATGAACAGATTTCGTTCCAGACCACACATCCACCCAACTCTCACAAACCCTTCTCAAAACCGTTTCCTCATCAGACGGATCCAAATCAAATCGACCGTCTTATGAATTGAACGTCTCCATCACACGGAGATTTCTTAGCCCGGAACTAGCGGATGCGCTTGAACTGCCCTTGCCCACCCTGAGATACAGATTGCTGGCACTCTTGTTTTGTTGGGTTGTCTGGGTATTTGGACTATTGGGTTACTTACCTGGTATTGGAGGCCGTGTTATCGAGGGTCGAAAAAAGAGGATGGTAAGTGTACCCCATTTTCCTTTGGTTCAAGCTCTCACTTGAGCGTACAGGCTTTACTTAAGCGTCCCAATTGTGGTGTTTGGCTAGGCGAGAATTATGGAGGCGATCAACAGCAAGTCTGGTCAGCCTTCACCTGAACGCGGTGTGGTCTCGAAGGATGAATAGCTTTGAGTGGACTTGTTGTGGACTGTTTTTGAGTCATATTTTGACGACGGCAATGAGTTCTATAGGAGTAGCCGATTCATGCATAGTATCTGTAGTTATGAACTATTCGTTTCTCTGTTTTCTAATTAGGTAGTTATAATGAGGACATTTTGTGTTTATATGACCATGCAATTCTCTTTTGATGGTCGCAAATGCTTCAGTGCAGCGTGCTGACCGCTAGCAAAAGAACCATTGGTCTTCTTCAAGGTAAAGTCTCTTCGTTTCTATAAGCAGAAAATGTTACAAGCCGGATATAAAAAAGCTGTCCACACACGAGCCCGGTACTGGTCTCGTCCAGGTTCGAACTGGAGACCTTCAGTGTGTTAGACTGATGTGATAACCAACTACACCACGAGACCTTATTAGACATTGAAGCCCAAGGACATTCATATCATTATATAAACTCGTAGCACTTAAAGAAAACAGTTGAGCAGAACGACATTAATAGTTTATTCATTTATCATGTTGAATGTAAAGCGGGCTGTCTTTTTGGCAGCGGCGAATACGGGTGCTTTTAAAGTGTAAACCCAAGCAATTCCAACCTTCATATGCATAGCTTGAGTGAAAACTGAAGGGCAAGCGGACACCTTCTTCTCATCGTACGCAACCGATACCAGCGACAAGAAGATCGATTCGACATGTCAGTTGGGACTGGTAACAGATCATCAAGGGTCGCTAAATTGCCTACCCTTTTGCCCTTCTCTTTGAAGCCATAATCAGGTATAAAACACTGTTGGCAAAAGACCCCAAGCAACGCTCCACAAACTCAAAATCTCAAAAATCATACTCTTATTTTTAAAAAATGTCGGGTATAGGTAACCAAAAAAAAAGAAAAAAAAAATCTTGTGTGCGATTAACTACGTCGCACTACTGACAAAATAAACTTCTCTATCCTATCCACCGCCAGCTTCGCCCATCTCCACTTTATCCACTCCATGATCCGCATTCCGGTTCCCTCTCCACCGATGAAACCATGACAAAGTCCCACCCTTTTTGGTTTCTTCCAACAGGATGTCGGTATCGGATGGGAAAAAGTGATGGAAGAAGCTGATTTAGAAAGGAAACAGTTAGAGTTAGTCACCAGTCAGTTAAAGAAAAAGAGATTCAAAAATACTCACTACTTGAACACCCAATCACCCAACATACACCCTCCGACAATCAGCAGCCCGACTAACCAGAACCCAGGTAGGACATGCACCCACTCGATCGTCCCCCGTTCAATAAACTTGGCCCACTCCACCACAAACATGACACAAACGTTGAGTGCAAAACTCAACACCAGCACTCCACCTGTGATCCACCCGAATCGCCCTACCCAGACATTGGCGTTCATGGCCGCCTTTGTCAGCACAACGGCGAGCATAGGCGCCGAAAAGAGGTAGCATTGAACGTAATATCCAGCGCTGTATCCAGAGGGATCCAGAACGTTATCCCAAAACGCTAGCCAAACGGCACCAAAGATAAATAGACTATGGATCAACGAGGAAACTAGGGTGGTGATCATGTGGCGGGGTGACCAGTAAAGTCCGGATTTGACTTGCTTGTAAAGGGGAGGAGTCGCGAGGAGGAGTTTATCGGGTGCGTCGTAGTCAAAGATGGCAAAGAAAAGCGGTGGCAGGGATGTGAAGAAGACGTTGAAAGCCGTGAAGAAGATTTCCTCATAGACCAGCTGCGAAACGAGGACAATGAGTACAACCAAGATAACGAAAACAAAGCAAAGTAGAAAGAGAGAGCGGTAACATACCTGTCCACTCCACATACACAAGAACCCAAACCACCATTGCACCGTAATAAACACGAAATTCTTGTAAAAACTATAAAACACCAATCCACTCAACCGATTGCGACTCCACCGACCATGTACCCCACAAAGCCTCGCCAAGAACCGAAATTCTCCAATCGCATAATCGGAAGCCCGGACAGCCTGCGTCCCCTCTCGTCCGACGACGCCCACACCTACTGTGGCAGCCTGGATCATGGACACGTCGTTGGCACCGTCTCCGATCGCCAGTGTGACGCATTTGAGGTTTTTTTGAACGAGTTGGACGACAAGAGCTTTCTGGAGGGGTGTAACGCGGCAACAGATGACTGTTGCGCAGTGGGAGGTGAGGGCAAGTAGATGAGGTGGGTGTGGTGAGTTGGGGAGGAAGATGTGGTGAAGGGTTGCGCCTGGGATGACGAGGGCATAGCGCCGGGGTGTGGTACGGGTTGTGATGTTTCGAACCGCTTGGTCAATTTGTGAGGAAATCTCCTTGTCCGTTACACCATCCAATATGATGGTGTCCATGTTGGGTGAAATGAGTCGAGAGGATGCACCAATGTTGATCGCGGTTTCCATTTTATCCCCTGTCAAAAGCCATACTTTCATTCCAGCTTCGAGAAGGTACTCGATGGTCTCTGGGACTTCGGGCTGCAGACGGTCTTCGATCGCAGTACATCCCAGAAATCGCAAATCCCTTTCAACAGTCTCGCACGCAGCAGCAATCATTTGCTCCCGATCTTCGAGACTCGTTTCAGCCTCGTCATATAAGACGCGGAAGGTCTCATATTCTTCTTCAGTCAAGGGTTTGTATGCAACCACAAGGGTACGCAATCCCTCCTCTGAGAAATGCTTGAGCGCCCCCTCGGCAGCGTCGATTGCCCCCCTTGGGTTCCATTCGCTGTTCTTATCTAGCCGGTCGATAACAATGTTATCGGCACCTTTGCAGAACAGCATAATACCATCCGCTGTCCGCACAATGACACTCATCCGTTTTCTATCTGATGTAAAGTCTAGTAGACCCAGTTGCTCCACAGACATGTCTTCTCCTAAGCACTGGATGTTGACTCGATCCTTTGTTCGTGAGAGAAGAGTAAATCCAGATGCTTTGACACCATATAGAAGAGCGGACTCATCCGGACTTTGCGACTCGTAAATTAGGTTATTTGTCTTGGGATCCACGGACGGTATAACGCTATGACAAAGTGCCAAAGCCAGGCCAAACTTGATCATCACATCGCGGACTGCTGGGTCCAGCCCCGGCTCCTCCAGAGCCTTTCCTATAACTCCAGGCTCCTTCATCTCATCCAAAACTTTCCCTCCGACATACCAAGAACTGGGCCGCATATCATTCATCGTCAACGTCCCAGTCTTGTCCGAAAATATGTACTCGACAACACCGAGATCTTCGTTTAGGTTACTGTTGTTGGCCTTCATTTTGACTTTTGTTATGGATCCATCAGGGTTGACTCGGTTGACACGCATCTCCGCGTCCCACATCATGTACTTTGCTTGGATTACTCGGACGATTTCAATGGTGACAAACAGGGATATCGGAATAACATAGGTGTACATGCCAAAGAATGAGATGATAGTAAATAGGACGTGCTAGAAATGTGTTGATAAGTGAAAAGTTATGAATATGTCGCACTGGACGATCAAGACTTACTCGCGAAGGGTTATCATCAACCGGTCCCAGATACCAATTCACTGGATAATTTACCGGATCAGTCGCCTTGCTCGCCATTTCCCGATCATATGCTCGTTTGTATAACCTCCACTCTAGCCAGACGCTACTAATCAACAAAGCCGCGTTATACACAAAAGCGCCCATAACAAGCCAATTGAGCTGTCGTTCGAGAGTAGAGCTTTTTGGCTTGGGCTTTTTGAGATTTTTAATGATTTTGGTATTGGAGCCGGTGTAAATGACGATTGCGTAGGCAAAGTCCGTGTTGCGGAGGACTGCGCCGCGGAGCATGAGGTTGGTGAGAGAGAGGGAAAGGGTGATGTCTTCGCCGGTAGCTTGGCGGATGTGGACTCGACCTTCAAAGGCAGTGAGTCTGTCGTTGGGTTGCTCGCATTGTATTTGGCCGCGGAGTCTCGATACGACCTAAAATAAATTCGTGAGTCCCAGATAACTATGCCGTTTCAATCATCGGTGCACACCTCATCCGTTGTTAAACCACATAATTGTGGTACTGCACTCCGTCGCTTCAAATTCGTCTCCCCATCCAACTCGGCCGTCTCTATGAAACACGTCCCGTCTTCATATGACGTGCTCAAGAGCATTGCATCTACCGGACACTTGTCGCCTTTTTTCAGGTACACGATGTCGCCAGGTTGAACGTATTGGCGAACCGTCTCAACCCGTTTCCCGTTGCGAAGAAGGGTGATAAGTCCAGTATTTGCGGCCTTGTCGGCTTTGTAGCGGTGCTATTTGAAAATTCATATTTAGTACTGCGCCTGGCGACGTGGTCAAGACGGCTAAAAACGAGACTCACATAGTCTTCATACGCTTCTTTGGCTAGCGAGAAGGCAAGCACAATCACCAGGGGAAGGATTTGGGATGCAGGGGAAAGACTAGACACTCCGACGGCAACTGACAGAGCACCAACAAGAAAGTAGATATTGTAGAAGCGGCGAAACTGGTCGTTCACAGTGCAATCTGTCAGTCAATGTTTAAAGGGAGCCTCGCGATCCATCACGACAAACCTGATAGTACAAGGTTTTGGGGAAAAAGGACAATAAGGTATATTTGGTGGTCCGGATGTAATTTGACTTTTTGTGATATGTTGAATCAGAGGCGGGAAAGTCGACTTCCCAAGGACCTTGTGGTTGGGTATGCTTTCTATGGAATTTGAAGGGTTTTTTGGAGGGTAAAGAGTGGATCGTGACTATTGGGACATCAGAAGACACTGAGTCAATGTCAGTCTTCCCGCTGACAAAAGTAACAGACGTAGAATAACCAACCGTGATCATTTGGCTTCCCAGTGCCATAGCCGCCCATTCCATCTCCATTCAGCTGGAGCGGCTGCTGCTCAAGTGAAGGCGGTTGAGCAATACCTTCAATCGGTGTCTTTTCCTCTGCTCGTCGGGCAGCAGGCGATGATCCGCCAACCGGCGAATTACTACCAGAAATCGAGCGCATGGATGGTGGTGGTTGTGTCCCTCCGGCCGCCATGTCCAACGCGTGCAAGGATCGGTTGGAGCCGCCTTCCGATGGGAAAGGCGTATTTGGCGGGTATACGCTGATGCTTGTGTGGGACGATGGAGACAGTTTGGGGAGTCTGCGGGGGCGAGGTGAGAGGCGTGTCAGTTCGCAGACTCGTTTTTGGGTGCAGTCGCAGTAGAAGTGTTGCGTCAGGGGAAACGTTTGTGAACGCCTTGTGGTTTCGGCGGCTCACTGGGAACGGCTGTGACCGTCGGTGAGTCTAGCGTGTTGCTGGATACGAGGATAACGACTTGTAGTAGTGTTCACAACCTAAAAGCCGAGATGACAAAGGATCTTTTTTAGAGATGGTACAGAGTAGGATATGTCGATGATGAACACCCAAATTTTGAGAGATTTGTTTTTCCGATATCGAAATGTGCTTACCCCATAAATCCAGCCTGGTTTGTGAACAAAGTGCCGAAACGACAGTTGTTTGTCTATTAAGGTTATAGGCGACAAGTGTGCTAAATGGTTGCGGCTGTGAAATCGACGGCGTATGGGCTGAGCCAGTTCGGACCTATGCACGCACGAGTGCCATGGCAAAAAGCCCAAAAGAAAAACAACAAAAAAATCAGCGACACCGTTTTAAAGTAATGGCAACTGCTCAAGTCGGCCGAGGGAAGGAAGAAAAAAAGAGCCTAGCAGAGGATCTTGCTAAAATGGCAAACGGCCATGGCTTCTCCATTTTCCCATTATTTTCGTGTTCCTTTTTTTGCTTTTGGGGCCGTTCAACTTTTTGTCAAAACGCTCCAAATCCATAAAAAGCTAAAACCCCGTCGAGGAAAACTGTTCGTAGCCTTCTAGCCAGCCCCCCACGTTTGCCGAAATCACCAAAACCACAAAAAACCGCAATACACACAAAAACAGAAATCCGCAGTAGGCCGATTGGAGTCGTACAAAATCCCGACTTTTACAAGGCCCCAATTGGTGCAAAAGAAACGCACCTTGAGTGTGTGTGTGTCGTGTATCTGTATCGTTTGTTTGGTATGCCGTCGTGTAAGCTTTGTGCTTTTAGCGAACGGTTTGTCGGCAGATGCGAGTGTTGCAAAAAGAAGGGCTATGGTGGATGCATGAACCCATTGACGGCTTTTCAAAGTATCCTCAATAATGATTCGATTCAAAGTTTATTCTCGGACTCTTCGCATCGGCCCACATCACATGATGTTTTCCACGTGTGGAGCTTATCGGCTTTAAGGCTTCTTGAGGCATTTTGTCATGATGCTCAGCGTTTTATTCCCTTTTTTTTTATGTGCACTGCTCAATATTTGTCAAGCGCAAGCGCATTTGGTTTTAGTGATTTGCACTTTTGTTAAAGATGGAAACATGGGAGGTTTCTATTGCTCGTCATCCGTTTCATCCTATTGTCTCGTTGGCTATCCACATTGCATACCATACCGATGCACGTTACAACCATGTCGCAAGTGCCCCGCCATGGTGGGCTGAACCAAAAAAAAAAAAAAAAAAAGTGTTCAAACCGCAGTGATGACGGCATCGTAATCCATGAGTCAGCAGCGACGTGTTGGTCGGAGTTTTTCATTTCAGAGTCTGTTGTGTTTGTTTTTAACAGCTGCCCCCCACAATACGCACAATCCCAAATGCATGACCCAATAGCGCATAATCATAATAGGAGGAATCCCCATGCGTGGCGGCAAACCCTTGCTACTAGAATACCTCAAGGGTTGTTCGCGGTATGGCAATCTCAATACTGAGCCTGGGGGCTAGACGTCTCCGGGAGCCTGGATCCTTGGATACACCATCACTTTTGTATTTTCATGACCCTCAAGAGTGAACAATAACCGAGGACAACTGTTTCCTAGAAGAAACGGAAATTTTAAGATTTATGTGAGCTCATCACCCCTTTGTTCAGCCTTGGCTGTCCCGGTTCCAAAATGTCCTATAGAACTCCCTGGCGAAATATTCAAAACAGTATTCTCGTACATGCTCTCGGAGCTTACAAAAATTCCAATGTCTGGTCCAAAGCACCTTTTCTCGTAAAACTGCGCATCATGATTTTTTCCTGGCTCGTCCCCTCTACACCGGTACGAGTAGCGTTCATGTACGCAATGCGGTACTACAAGCTACGACATCACGAGAGAGCAAACGTCCTTGCGTGTTCGCCTGTGGATGGAGTGCTTCCTATTGTGGAGATGAGCGAGCAACTGACGGAAAAGGAGCGGGAGTTGGGAAAAGTCAGTTCAGCGCTGGAGAGTCCACATTTTATCGTCGACGCGAGCGTTCGGGCAACCTATTTGGAAAAGACGCTCGTGTTTATTCAAGCCGGAGCGCTGGTCCTAGCATTTGTCGGAAGGATTGCGTGCCATCAAGACATTCACCACATTGATGTGATGACGACTATCGGGGCCATGTGCAATGTTATTGTTTGCATATGTACACTACCCCGCCCGTCGCTCAACATACCGGTACGGATGCGACGACCCAAAGTGGAGCTCCCACGGTGGCTCGAATATTCAGCCATCATGTCGACCGCTATGGCAACATTGGCTCTGTTCATGTACGCAAATTTGCGACTTTTAGACGGCATATCGCGAATGATTGCTATACCTGCGGGGGCAGTCTATTGTGTAGGGGTTGTGATTGAAGCGTTTTATGCCGATGGGAATGTGGATTGGAGACAAATGGGCATATGGCGAAGGGTGAATATGGTGATGACGTCATTGATGCTGCTACTTGTGCTTAGCATATCTTACATGGATACCATAGTGAAGGGAAATACCGAGCAAATGTGTTGGCAGTCTATACTACCGATGCTTTAATAAAAACTAATGTAATACCAGTCAATCCTTGCTTGCTATGCTTTTGCTTTCCTAACGGCTACGTCGGTACACAGACACCTAGACATAGCGATGATGATGATGATCACGATAATGACATGCTTCTCGCCAAAGACTTTAATGATGACGAATGTCGATCGTTCATCACTTCCTGAAGAAAGCGACGACAAGTGCCATCCTTTCAGCGGTTGTCGTCGTTGGTCGTCGAAAGTCCGTAGCTCTGGACGACGTACGCGGCAAAGTCACTGCAACGGCAAATTGCGCAGAGAGTTCGAAACTCGAGGCGTGGAGCAATCGATACTTTTTAGGGATACAACTTTTCCAGAATTCAACCGATATATCGCCAACCCTGAACGCAATTCGCTGCTGAAAGGCAATAAAACCATAGAATTTTGCTCAGGGAAATTAATGACCGCCTGAAAGTTAAAAATTGCATTCTAAAATCTTTTGGATAAAAGATATAAAATATTATTGAAAATGAATCGGATGAATAATCAACCCTCCTGCCCACGGTTAGTAATTAACTGTATGGCGCAGTGTGGCGTAGGAGGACGGGGAAATAACCCCGTGGATAAAGTGTTCAAAAAGAAGCTGGATTTAAAAAAGGCCAGAGCGCAGGAGTAAATGTCCCTTGCATCTCCTCGACATTCAGCAATTTACGCTGTTTTTTTATTTATAAAATCCAGCCATACACATGGAGCCTTCCATTCAACCTGCGCACGACACTGAAAGTCATATAACGGATAGTGACATCACACTGCATTCCAACACGATTGAGAATAGCGTCTCCCTCAAGATGGACCTAAAAGATGACGATTATTCCGCAAAGAGGCTCTCCAAAGCTTGCTCAGAAAGCGTGGAATCTCTGAGAGCGTCGGTGGATATCGAGGAAGTGGATCCCAAAGACGTGGCTGCATACCTGAGTTCACCTCCAGATGGAGGATACGGTTGGGCTTGCGTTTTGGTACGTTATCCAATCATTCTTTTGGGATTCCGGGAACCCTATGAATATTTACATGTCGTTATTAGGCATCGTTTATGGTTCATGTGGTGACGATTGGCGTGCAGTCAGAATATGGTGTCTTTCAGCAGGCATACAAAGACACTGAGGAATTTGGATGTAAGGCTATTCTACAATATTCTATCCCATACGCGTATATCCTAAAAAAATGATTTGGTCTCTAGCTGTCTCCAATTTGGGAATTGCATTCGTCGGGTCATTGAGCGCAGCCATGATGGGTTTGGGAGGCATACCAACCGGATGGTGAGTTCCTCAAGAGTCAATGAGACATACAGACTGCTGAATACTCACACGTCACCAAATAGGTTGGCCGATCAGTATGGCTACAATGCGGTTTGTGCCGTCGGAGGCATCATTGAAATGGTCGGACTCTTACTGGCATCCCTATCCACCGAATACTGGCATCTCGTCCTTACCCACGGATTCCTGATGGGTATGGGTGTGTCCGTGGCGTATTATCCCGCTCTCTCTGTTGTTTCCCAATGGTTTGAGAAACGACGAGGTATTGCGCTGGGAATTGCGGTGTCTGGCTCTGGGATCGGTGGAATGATTCTCGCACCTTTGACTCGGAAACTTATTGCCCAGCTCGGTTGGAGGTGGTCGCTGCGTATTACGGCTTTTATCGTGGGGGCAGTTGTTTTGGCTGCCTCTGCCGTGATCCGGGTTCGGTATAGCGCGCCTAGGAGTGGATTTGCGGGCGGTTGGAAGGTTGTCAAGGTATGTAGCTTGGGCATGTCTTTTTGCGAGTTGACAGACACTGATGCGTCCTGGATACGTAGGACGGTGTTTTCCCACGTATTTTTGCCATTGGATTGTTTGGGTCCTTTGGATACTTTGTACCTTTCTTTTTCATTCCATGTAAGTCACTGTCGCGGGTCTTGTCGCTGTCATCATTTGACGTCTGACATTGTTTGTTCTTTACAGCCTTTGCAGCAAGCCACGATCTCTCTGCATCTTCCGGCGCTCTCCTCGTCAGTCTCCTTAATGGCGCGTCCGCTCTCGGACGCCTAGCCTGGGGATTTGGCGCCGATACCTTTGGACATGTCAATACACTCGTCATGTGTATAACCATGTCCGCCCTGTCCATGCTCGTATTTTGGCCGTTTGCAACCAATTTTGCTACCTTGATTGGCTTTGTCCTTGTGTATGGCGCATTCAGTGGAGGGTTTGTGTCCCTTCTCCCAAGTGGTGAGTAATCTTTCAATCTTACACTGATTGAAACCAATGAGTTTGTTAACATTGGTCTCTTTTGCCAGTCATTGCGCAATTCTACGGTAAAACTGGGCACATTGCAACCATCACCGGCATGATCTACTCTGCATTTTTCCTCGGTAACCTCCTCGGTTCTCCCATCGCGGGAGCCATGATGGACCGCTTTACAACGCATCCCACACCGGATACGAAACATATTGACTTTCTGCCATCCATTTTGTTTGGAGGCTTTATGATGGTCACTGCGACTGTATTTTCGTTTTCGGTCAAGTTTGTACGGAGTCGGCGGTTGCTGACCAGGGTGTAAAAAAAGGACTTTTTTGTATTTATTCACTTTTTGTGTATATAGTTATATAGTAGGGATACGGATAGCTGTTTAATGGCCAGGAAACGGTTCTTTAACAAGAGTCATTTATGTACAAAGTAACGATGACGCTGCCCTTCACAAAAGGAGCAAGGCTTTGGTGCCTCTGGAGTTAAGAAATGTGCGTATCTTAAAGAAACCAAAAAAACACAGTGCTGAACTGCATGATCATTGCAGTTGCAGGACAGGGCTGTCTCGCATCTTTTATAACCCAAGATCAACCGGGAGGTCAAAAGCAAAAAGAAAAAAAAAATATATATATATATAACACTTTCCAAGTCCAATCTTAGCTTAGCCACGCGAAGCTACCGTAAACTGAGATGGTGGAGGCTCGGACTAGGGTAGGCTCAACGGGGTGGCTCAACGGATTAGGCTCAGCTTGTCTTCTTCAGTTGACCTAGTGAGAATTTCCTTTATTTCCATTATTGCATCCCATTCCTCCAACAGAACATCACTACAGCAAAACTCTGCAGACCAGCCGACAGATTTATCAAACAATGACCATTGCCAACGGAGGAAAGAGAAAACGTCAAAAAGGTAGTCACTCAAATACACCCAACGTTTACATTCTATCCACCCAATGTCGAGATTGGGTAATTTGCGCTCCCGCTGCCTGCCTTTCAGGTGAACGTCAACAAGCTCCCCAGTCACAAGAAATCAACAAAGTCAAAAGGTGGACAGAAGAGAAACGAGAGTTCTTGCGCAGTCTTGTCCGCAAACACGGTGAAAGAGGAAAATGGAATGAAATTACTGCGGAATTCAATCAGGTCTTTGGGCATTCCCGTAGTCAGCTTTTCGACTATTGGCGGAAAGTCCTCAAACGTCAGCCTGTTACGACGATGGATGAGGACCTGGATGTGCCTGTAGGTACCAATAACCAAGTCGGACAAGAGGACGATGATGTGCAAGAAGACGGAGAAGTGGAGGAATATGAAGAATAGTCCGTGTTAAAATGGAACTACTTGCGAGATTTTTGCATGGCAGGAATAGCGTTTGCAATGTCTATATTCCCCATAGCCTTTTGTATAAATTCTCTGTATGGCAACATGAGTGCGACGGGAATGGACCTTGATTTGCACAAAAGACGAGGTTTTCTTGTTCAAAGCTTTCCTTATCCATGACTGCGTTACCCTGACATGAAGTTTAATCTCAGACGTCAACTCTTGGCATGGGATTGTTAATACGCGGAAAGTCTTGTTTTAAAAACAAAGCCCCCGTCTTGCCGATGCTGAATTAAACCTGCAGCATAAAAGCATTTTATTCATTCCAACTGTAGATAGATAAAGCAAACGGATAACTTACGACGTCCTACAGCAACCTATGCAACGTCGATCAATCGCCATACGCAAAGGAAGCGTTCGACTCCCAAAAGCCGCATTTCCGCAGGCTCGATTTTTGGATGCAATTTTCTTTATCATTTGATCCGGATCCATTCAGTTCCTCAACGACCGACTGCCCACGGCAAAGGATTGCAGGCACCCGTTTGCAAATCAGCGAGCAGCTGAAAACAACTCGGTCCCCGCCCTGTTGATACACCCTTGCACCGTTTATAACAAGGGGCCTTTCACACGCTTTTCGTCTATCCTCAAACTTGCTGCCGGATCTCGGCTTTTTTTGCGCTTTCCTAGTCGCCACAATGCGGATCCTCATCAAGGGCGGTGTCTGGAAGAACACCGAAGATGAAATCCTCAAGGTATGTTTTATTATTGAACTGAATGCTACAAAGGTACTGGCGCTCACTGACAATCGAAATGGCGCTTAGGCTGCGGTGATGAAATATGGCAAGAACCAGTGGGCACGCATTTCATCCTTGTTGACCCGAAAGAGTCCCAAACAGTGCAAAGCTCGATGGTACATATCTAATATGCGCAATATCATTCCAGTTTTATTGTTTATGCACTGAACCTGTATTTGACTTTAGGTATGAATGGCTCGACGCTTCGATCAAGAAGACGGAATGGTCCAAAGAAGAGGATGAGAGACTTTTACATTTGGCAAAGCTGATGCCGACACAATGGCGTACAATTGCGCCAATGGTTGGAAGAACTGCAGCACAGTGTTTGGAAAGGTATCAAAAGCTTTTGGATGAGGCTGAAGCGAAAGAAGGGGTAAGGCTCTACGTCCCTAAATTGTGTCCATGTCCAAGGTTGACTTACTCTGGCGTCCCATAGGGGGAACTTGGTCCAACAGGTGACGATGTCCGACGATTGCGCCCAGGAGAAATCGATCCTGATCCAGAAACGAAACCCGCCCGGCCTGACCCTGTCGACATGGACGAGGACGAAAAAGAGATGCTTTCCGAAGCGCGTGCCCGTTTGGCCAACACCCAGGGTAAAAAGGCCAAGCGCAAGGCGCGTGAGAAGCAACTTGAAGAAGCGAGGCGTTTAGCTGCCCTTCAAAAGCGACGTGAATTGAAGGCTGCTGGGATTGATGTTCGGCACAAGCGTAAGAAGAGAGGAATGGATTACAATGCTGACATTCCTTTCTACAAGAAGGCACCAGCTGGATTCTGGGATGTGAATGAAGAAAAGGAAAGGGAGGACCGGGAAAAGCGGGGCATGACCAACGTGCTTTTGCAAAAGCTGGAAGGAAAGAGGAGGGCCGATGTTGAAGAGGCCGAGAGGAAAAAGGACGCAAAGAGACAAAAGACCAAGAAGGAATCTGGTGAATACGTTCCCCCTCAGGTGAAGCGAGCGGCTGAGCAGTTGCAGTTTAGCGAGAGGAAAAAGTTGGTGCTGCCTGCCCCACAGGTTAGCGAGAGTGAGTTGGAGGAGATTGTGAAAATTGGTGCTGCGGGAGAAAATGCCAAAGCTATTGTGGACACCGATTCCGCCAGTGCAAGTCTCCTGGGTGATTACTCAACCAGTTTCCGCGCCCCTACACCAATGCGGACTCCTCGGACCCCAGCCGTTGGTGATACCCTGAAGGCTCAAGCACGTAATCTACGGGCAATGGAGTTTGCTCAGACACCTCTTTTGGGTGGGGATATCGACCTTGAAGGAAGCCTCGATTTTGCAGGAGCCACACCCAAACCTGCTGCACTCCAAACGCCAAATCCTATGGCGCTTCAAGCAACTCCTCGCGATAATACCGGACAGTTTGGCATGACACCCCGAGGGGCACGTGGAGCTGCTGTTGAACGAACACCGTTCCGAGATGCTATGGGAATCAATACTCCACGCTCAAGCGAATATGGTGGTTTTGGCGAGACGCCGCGTGCCGAGCGGCAACGGCAGAGTTTGATTCGTCAACAGCTTGCAGATCATTTCAAGTCACTGCCTAAACCAAAGAACGATTTCGAAATTGTCGTTCCCGACGGAGCCAAGGCGACCGATGAAGAGCCCCAGGAAGCAGCACGTGTCAATGGTGACGAAGATGCTGCAGACATCGAAGCCCGTGAGCTTACAGCCCGGCAAAAAGAGGAAGAAGCTCGACTTGGTCGTCGATCACAAGCAGTCAAAGAGAT